GTACTGTACCGTTCATCCCTGTGTTTTTGGTGGTTTGAGATCAATATTGTTGGGGACTTTTAATTGAGGCACTCAACTCTGTACAAGCTCATCAACTCAATTGCCCCCGCGCGCGCTCTGCTCCCCCCAGCGCAAGCCATAGAATAGCGAGGATTCTCCATCCCGCCGTCGAGAGGAATGGGGAAAGAATTGCGATGGCGTTCTGGCTTGCGCATTGCTTGACCGAGCTGACAGAAGACTAGGGGGCATTGAAGTTGTGCCACGGGCCTGGACGTTGTCGCGGTCTTCGGACTCTTGAGTCCGAGGTTCGAACGAGGCCGAAGACCGAGCGAACAGCATACGCAGCTGCCTCAGCTCCGGACAGAGCAGCTCAGCATCTCCCACCGAGAACAATTCGCCCTTACTCAGCCCACGCCCCATGGATCGCAGGTGGGTCGATCAGGACGACGACCCGCATGCGTCCTGTCGTGTCCAGCAGCTGCGTCCCCAAGACTTGTGCCTGTATCTCCGGACAAACGAGATAGTCCTGCGCAGCGTCAGTGCCAACACCACTGCAAGGCACAGAAGTCCGGTCATCACTTCACTCGCAGGCACAGGATGAGTGTTGCCACAGTGTACCGATTAGAAATGCGGAGCTCTGGCTCTCTCGTCTCTCTATATTATGATTACTCAGTAGCACAATGTCTATCTGCCCGATTTTCGCCCGTGTCCAACCGAGCCAATGCTCGCCGTAAAAAGGGGGAAATGAAAGCGCCTGAGGGAAACAATTTTGTACACTTTTGAACATAATCGTATAGCTCACCCGGCGCGCAGTCCTGTTCAGCGTCTGGAGCGTCTCGAAGTAAAACGAGGTGATGAAAAAAAACAAGATCAGAACGCCGCCTGCCAATGCCCGGTATTCATTTCTCAAGTTAACGTGCGCCTCGTCTGATCAATCCAAGCACCGAAGGATAAAATAAAAAAGAAATTTTCTGAAAGTGACACAGTCCAACGAACGGCGGAGAAGAGAAACTCCAAAAAAGATTGAAACGCCAAAGTGTTCTGAAGTTGGTCCAAGAGGAGCCGGATGGCTTACTGCTTAGCCGCAACAAGCGACTTCTTTTCGCTTTTCAACTTGGCGTTTTCCCTCGTCCTCTCGTACTTCAGGGTTGTATCGCCTTCCCACATGGTGCCAAGCCACCGGTCCCAGATGGTGAAGAAGGGCTGACTGAAGTTCGTCTTGATGCCCCAGCTCTGGTGGTGGATATCGTGGTAGGTAGCGTTGTTGCTCGTGATGTTCTGCAGAGGGTCCCAGGGCAAGGCGTATCCGCAGTGGTCGTCGACTGTCTTTATGGTGCTGCTGATGTAGAAGAAGATGGACATTCGGGGAGACATCAACGAGACTTTATAAGCGAGACCGGCGCCTGCGGTGTCGAGCACGAAGCCCTCGACAGGGTGGTTGTATAATGCGCCATAAGCGTACGGAACGTAGAGACGGTGATGGCGGGCGTGCCAGTGGGCTGTGAACAGAAGCATTAGCACTACAGCGGACGCAAACAAGGCATGTAGTCAGAGTTTGACGGGGCTGAAGGGGTAAACATACTGTACATCCACTTGTTGACATGCATTGCGCGATGCCAGAAGTACTGCCACGAGTCCAGGAAGGCGACAGCAACCCAGAATTGGAAACCAGGGATGATCAGCCAGTATATCGCCTTGGCCAGCACCAGCTCCCAGGTCGCAAAAGCCGGGACCGACACATCCGAAGTCGCATCGAAGCTCGTCAGGAACGGGTACTTGCCACCGGCCAGGGCACCGGCAAGCAACGGGTGCGAAGCCGACATGTTCTTGGAGATGGCAGCAGCATTGAGGCCAATCAAGCCCAGCACGGACGGCAGCGCCCTCTGCGCAAGTCGAATCCTGGTGGCCCAGACGGCGACGTCGTAGTTCTCCATGCCCGTCACCTGCTCAGGCTCGGTGAGCGACAGGACTGCGGCAGTCGCCATCTGGATGATCTGCTCGATGATGACATCCCGTGCGACCTGCCACCTGGAGGCGAGGTTCCGTTGGGCGATCTCCTCGGGAGTGTGCAGTCGGTACTGGGGAAACAGGTCGTAGACGTCGATGATGTGGAAGATGCCAGACACGACCCAGTAGGCGATGTGTGGGCCGATGACGGACAGCCAGAAGTCAGAAATCCAGGGCAGCAGGTCAGGTATCGGAGCGGTCGTGTAGGCCGGCAAGGGAGGCAGGTCCGACACCATGGTGCCGTTGCTGAGACCGGCGGTCGACATTGTGACGGTGGTCGGAGTGGCGACCATCACGAGAGCGGAACGCCGGGTTGTGAATGATTCAGGACGTGCAGGTGCGTGCGTGGGTGGTCCGTCTTTTTATCGATAAGTCGGTCGCGCGTTGCGGTGGCGTTGGGCAGAGTGAGAGAGCTACCTAGCTAAGCGTGCAGTGCCGTGCTGTGCTGTGCTGTGCGCAGGACGAGAGCCTGGAGGCTTGTTGAGTTGAGATGAGACGGCAAGACAGAGGATGCCGTGAAGACCAAGGGAGAAGACGGCTGACTGCTGGGTCTATAACTTCTGCTGAAAGCTGGATAAGCCCTTGGGCTCCTTTTCTCGACAGAGGTTTGTCAGACGTTTGATGGGATCGGCCGGTCGCCAGCAATTGGAACCCGGCGGCGTGGGCCCTTTTCACCAATTTCGCTTGCTAGTCAAATCCGTCCGTTTCTTCCGGGTCTCCTGTTGTTTGCCACCACTGGTCGAACCACTTTTTGGAGGCCGTCAATCCGACGGCACGTACGAGCAATGTTGATGAAGCCACAATATCGAGAGTGTTGGCAGACGAATTGGACCGGTAGGCTTGCTCTCCTGTCACTTGCTTAAGTATGTTTGCATCCAGACAATGACGATGCCCATTTCTGATGCGTTGTCTGCCACGGCGGACAGTTTGCATGAGATGCATGGGAGTTCCTGGGTGGCGATCTACCTCATGACGGGCCAAGCCCAATGCATCCAGCTCAGCCAATGCGACGCGCCTGCAACGGGCTGGGAATGCCAAATGCGAGGCGCGAACTTTGTGCCTAATTCCCAAGCTTGTGACAGCCGCGGACATGCCGTCTCGATGCATTAACACAGAGCAGCTCCTTGACGTCGCGTCTCTGTTAGTGCGCCTGGACTACTGTAGAGACCTAACCCGGGCCTTGTAAGGCCCCGTACCGGCTTTCAAGGTTGCCCATGAACCTCGACCGAGATCACAATACGCTCGCCTTATTTTCGAGCGGCTAGTCAGTGCTTCGAGTCCCATCATAGGCTCACAATGCAGACAGACCCAATGCGCTGGGACTATTCTCGACGTGCAGTCAGACTTGACTCTGCAGTTGGTCAGGCGGTAGGTAGAAAGGGGCTCGCTGCTCTAGAGCCCACCTTTCCTACCACCCCCCCCCATTGCCTTGTTGCCCAGATCATACCCGAACCCTGAAAGGCCACATTCCGCTAGTCCAAATCTGCAATGGCCCAGTCCACCCCTCAAGCCCCACACTTCGATTTTCCATGGACATTTTCCCCGCGCCCAGCTTCAGAAAACGCCAGTCTAGAACCCTTCGATTAATTGTCCAAATTTTCTTTCCCTCCCCTTCACGACAACTACCTGCGACCTCTCCTCTCTACCGGTGTCTCCCAGCAAATACCGTCAAGATGCTTATCTTCAAGGATGTTATCACCGACGACGAGATGATCTCGGACTCGTACGACCTCAAGGAGGTCGACGGGATCGTCTACGAGGCTGACTGCGCCATGATCGAGGAGGGCGGTGTCACCGTTGGTAAGCTTCACACAATGTCTTGCCTATGGAGGGAAGGAGCATTTGACTGATCATGTCTGTCCCTGCAGACACTGGTGCCAACGCCTCCGCCGAGGAGGCTGACGAGGGCGTCGACGACCAGGTCGTCAAGGTCAACAACATCATTACTTCTTTCCGTCTCCAGTCCACCTCGTTCGACAAGAAGGGCTTCCTGGCTTATCTCAAGGGTACGAAATAATAACCACAATATTCTCCATTTCGATTCTCGTTGTCGAGAATGGGCAGGATTCTGACAAACGGGTTTGATAGGCTACATGAAGGCTGTCGTTGCGGCTCTCCAGGAGGCCGGCAAGGGCGAGGACGAGGTCAAGGCCTTCCAGACTGGCGCCCAGAAGTACGTCAAGGAGAAGCTCCTGCCGAACTTCAAGGACTACGAGTTCTACACCGGCGAGTCCATGAACCCCGATGGCATGGTCGCCCTCCTCAACTACCGGTAAGTTCGCACTCAAAAGTCTGCCTAGTCCGTCCATTATACTAATGAAATGTTTCTAGTGAGGACGGTGTCACCCCGTACTTCATCTTCTGGAAGCACGGCATGAAGGAGATGAAGGTTTAAATACGTACCTTTCCGTCATCTCTCCTTCCCTCGATAGTTGGTCCACCAGTCTACCTTGTACTCCGAGGCATAGACGATTTAGCGCTGCCCGGATCGGATCTTGGCATACACAAACAAAAATGATACCATGAACGACGCGAAGTTGTCACCGCAATCTTCAGAATAAAATGAGGCTCCAAAGCGACGTGAATATCTCTGGTGACATGAACACTTTTAGCGGATTAGAACCGACCCACACGGCCTAAGCTCAACCTACAGTACACATGTGATCCCAAGACCAGTTGCCCGGTAGTATTATCTATTGAACCCTGTACTATTTGAAACCCCCCCAAAAGGCTACTTTGTACAGGTTTATCCCATGCGAGACTTACCCTCTAGCGGGTCGTTCCATAACAATACATCTCTTTGGAAGGGTGCACGAGTCAATCTCTATACGTGGAAGTCTGAAATCTGTTGTGAATTGTGTGAATTCTACCTTAACCAGAACGCCAGTGCCATGCATGATTTGAGGCCCAACCAGAGTAAGAGACTTGAAAATGGGATATTCCACGTCAAGAGGCTAGAAATACGACGGAGTCCAATGCTAAGACTCACTCTTCTAGAACGGTCGTGTCGACATGGGCACCGGAGGGGGCGCATCTTCGTCCGCCGCGTCGACAGGGTTGCCACCCAGCTCCGGCTTCTTCTTAGGGGGCGGAGGCGGCGGCGGCTTCTTCTTGCCCAACAGCCCAGCGGCGTTGCTTATAGTGCTGAGATGCGACTGTGCGGGCGAGGGCGTCCTGCCGGGCTCTGTCCCGCTGCTACCACCCGCATTCCCCAAGTACCCGCCTACCTTGCCAGATACACCATACTTCTGATCGAGGCTATTCGCCGTCTTGACCCCGGACGCAACTTGTTCGCCGTGCCGCTGTCGGAAGTTGTTTGCGGTGGAGGCTGCCGACTTTGCATCGGATAATGACACGGAGCTCGGGTTCTTCTTAAAATCTGTCATGGTTTTGAGAGCAGCTTGTTTCTGTGCCCATGTTGTGCCCTGGGCCGGTGCTCCCTGGGCCGGTGGTGGGGACGGCGATGAGCCGCCACCAAAGCCTCCAAACTTGGAGAAGCGTGACTGTAGCTCGTTCACCGTCCCCGATCCTGATGCCGGTGGTGGGGCCGGGCTATTTGCGCCGGACCGTGAGGGCGGTGGTGGAGGCAGGACCTGCTTGTTTCCGCCGCCGATCCCGAGCCCTGGTACAGAAATTCCGGCCGTGCCCAGCCGATCGACGGCACCTTGGTTCAGAAAGCCAGTCTGGCGGCTCGGGGCCGCAGGGGCTGGAAGCCCAGGTGACGCGCCGGAAGAGTGTCCTGGGGATGCACTGTTATTTCGAGGAGGTAGCCGAGGAGGCAGGCTCGGCGGCGGTGGCTTTGCGGACGCTGAGTACGGCGGCGGCGGAGGACTGACGGCTGGGTCCCTCCCATCGGCTCCGTCTCTCCGGCCGGGCGGCGGAGGAAGATGAGCCGTAGACAGGCCGCTTGTGTCGACCCGGTAGGGCCTTGGTGGTGCGGGCGGCTCCTCTACTTCCTGTTCCTGACCTGCGTACGAAGAGCCTGGCCTAGCGGTTGTCGAGGAAATTCCTGGGGGCGGAAGCACGCCGGCACCTGTTCGCTTCGGGGGTGGGGCGAAGGAGGCCGGATCCCTAAGGTGTGAAATAGGCGTGACGTCTCGATCTGCATTGCTCTGAGTATTCGATTTGCGGCCGAAGACGGCTCCCTGCATCTTAAATCAGCACAGGGCTCGACGCTGGCTGTCTATCAATCGGCTGCTGTGTCACCCACAACTTGACCCCTGAATGTGGTCTCGTCCTGCCGCGGGTTGTCAGTAACCGCTTCTGTAGAGAGGTAAGAGGTAACAGGTGACTGGCACAAGAGATAGGCGTACCTTGTCCGGGTGCCAGCCGTTCTTTGCGATTTCCTTAAATCGAGACATGATGAGCACCTAAAGATCAGTAAGGTTGCGCACTTTGTTTGGGCAAAAACAAAGTTGGAAAGGTTCTGTGCTGAGAAAAGTTGCGCGATCGGGAACCACTTGCTGTCAAGTGTTCACTCAAAACCGGGAACCTGACGTAACTTATGGCGGGACAGGACCCCTGGAAATACCCTGTTGCCCAGGCGAGCTGCCGAGTCAGAGCCACCCAAACAGCACTTGCTCGCTTGAGCCTTCACCCCACGCGGTCGACGCGTCCCGCAGAGAGGCTCAAGCCCACTCGCGTCTCCCTTCACATGCGTCACGATTCAACATGACGGCCGCCAACACAGACACTGAGCTACTGACAGAGCATTTTGGATACCCTCCAGTTGTAAGTCATTCATGAGATGCAGTCACTTGTTCACTGTAAGCAGAGGAAAAACTCACCAGCAATTCTGCAGTCGCTCCTCGACGAGATCATCAACAGCATCAACGTTATCGCCGAGCGCGCCCTCGCCAGCGTCGAGCAGGGACTACTCAACGCACCACCACAATATATTGGCTTTGGAAAGCCACCAAATCCAGCCGCGAATTCAAAATCCAAGAGGAAAGGCAAGCAGCAGCCACCGCCAGAAGATGCACAGCTGGACCTATCCCCCGAGGCGATCGAGCAACGAGCGCACGATGAAATCTCAAGTGGCACACACCAGCTTGAGACGCTGCTATGCGCGTCAATCGACCGCAATTTCGACAAGTTCGAGCTATACGTGATGCGCAACATCCTTTGTGTGAAGCCGGACGATAGGGACTGGCTGCGACTGGGGCACTACGAGGGGCTGAACTTTGAGAACCTACCCACGACGGCGCTAAGCAAGAGTGACGATGCCGGCGCCGACAGCATGGACGTGGACACGCCGGACAGGCCGACGGTGGAGTCAGTCAACCGCCTGCGCAGGAGGCTGCAGGCGTCGCAGAAGCTCAACACCATGCTGCACGCCGAGAAGACGCGCAACGACGCGCTCCTCGGCGAGCTGCGGTCGCTGGTCGGCAGGGTCGGCGTCAAGGGACCTAAGGCGTCCGTTGCGTCGGCCGAAGCCGCAACACCCAAGGACGAGCCCGCCGGGGACGCGAAACCACCGTTTGCGTTTCTGCACAACAAGGGCGATCTCACACTGGCCGACGCCAAGACACCACTAACTACCACGACTGCGTTCTCCCTGTCGCAGCTCCAGGCGCTGCGGGCCCTGTCCACGTCGCTGTCGAGCATATTACCGAATCTTCAGGGCAGCGGGGGAGACGAGGGCGCCGCGAGGCGGACGTGGCGGAAGGAGCGTGTCGAGTATGTCGAGGGCGCGGCGCGGAAACACCTCGAGAACATCAGAGGGCTGGAGCTCGGGAGGGACGGGGAGGTGCGCGATGGGGAGTGGCAGGCCGATGGGAGGAGGTTTGCCGGCGGTGAGGTCGCAGCTCTTGAGGGCGTTGTGAACGCCCTGGGAGGCTCGGGCGGTGGAGGTGGAGATGACGAGATGGGTGAGTAGAGGGACGCAACTTCTGGTTGCAAGACTGCATTGGCCCAGGGGGCGGTGGAAGATGGCCTTTTACGGCTCACGCTGTTCAAGATGCTGTAAACACCAAGAAGCAAGGTTGAGCATCATGAGAAGCAAGACCAGGGACGCACCAACTGCTGGGAGATCGGTGCGGGACTACCAGAGAGAGAGCTGTTTTTGCGGACGGTGCTGGGCGTTGTGGAGCTGTCGGTTCCGGAAAGGAAAAGGTCGGCTTAATGAATCAGGATGTTTATCTCAGATGCTCTATGAAGTACCAGGTCGTGTGGTATTCTTTATCCTCAAATGCTACAGTACATAAGGCGGCCGCATCGGCTGCCCTTCATCGTCTACGTTTGTCTATCTCTTCGTGCACGATTATCAGGCCGTAGCACGAAATGGATCTTCTCCAAACTCAAGCGACCTCCACTCAGCCGGTGAAAGCAGCCCACACTCTACCGCATATGCCCAGAACCGATGCCTCCAGTACCTGCCCTTGTGCTTTTGACCTTCGCCGCCGGTCAAACTCACCTTCGCGTTCTCCCGGTGCTTCCTCACGATCTCGACCGTCTTCCTCGCCTCTTCCGTCTTGCCCGCACTGACTAACGACTGCAAGAGGGTCGCGAGCGTGTCTAGCGTCAGTGCAGACCCGAGGTTGCTCACCTGCTCGAATATCTCGAAGGCCTTGTCCGGCTCTCCTGCAATGGCATACCCCTTGATGACCCTCTCCCAGAATACCCTGTCCAGGCCGCGCCTCACAAGCATCCGCCACTTTAGGCCGCCCTTGTTCATGAGATCCTCCACAGCAGCAAGGTTCGGGGGGTTGAGCCTGAAATAGTGGTCTACAAGGATGGTGTGAATGTACGGCGACATGCGGAGGCCCTTGTCCTGGATGTGTGTGCGGATGGCCTCTACCGCATGGTAGCTGTTGGAACCTGGCTCGCTGAGGAGCAAATGAATCATGCGCGCGAAAGTCCGCATGTTGGCTTCCACGCCGGCGGCTTCCATCTTGTCGAAGAGCTCGTTGACGGACTTCACCACCTCGGCGGCATCCGTGTCCTTGGAGTTGCCGATGAGGCCCTCGAGGAGCACCGTGAATGTCGCCGTATCCGGCTCGACACCCTGGTCTTTCATCGTCTTCAGCAGGCTCTCGACCTGTGCGGCGTTCCCTTGTTGGACCATGGGCCGCAGCAGTGTGTTGAAGGTCATGACATTTGGCTCGATGTGGTTTTGAGACGCCCAGGCGAGGACGTTCTTGGCCGCAGACATGGCGTTCAGACGGATCAGTGCGGAAACGGCCGCGTTGACCGGAGCGATGGAAAGCTTTGATTGATGCAGCATCTCATCCAGGGCCCGCAGTCCTGCTTCAGGCTCGCCACAATCTATCAGCCCCACGACCCGAGCCGACCATGCAGCTTCGTCCACCTCGATACCAGCAGCGAGCAACTTTTTCCAAACATTCTCGATACCGGCGGCATTCTTGGATCTTCGGCAACCTTCAATTAAGGAGGTCCAGGTCTTGACCGTCGGCTCGAGTCCGACGCTTGTCATGCTGTCCCAAACCTCGACGGCTCTCTTCGGCCGGTGCAAAGCGGTGAATGCCATGATAAAGTAGTGAAATAATTCGATCATCGTCTGCATTTCCTCTTTTCGATCTTCACTGGGTACAGCATTTGGACCCCAAAGACGTGACCATGCGGTCTCAGCAGCATCAGCATCGCCCATCCCAAGGGCTGTGGTCACCTGCTGCTGGATGTCTTTGCTGCTTGGACCTACAGGCTGCTTGACTTCTGGTTTCCGGACGATGCTCTCCGGTCTTCGCTTAGGCCTGTCGGTTTGGCGAAGCTGAGAAATAAGCGAATCCCACCGATCCAAAACATAGCTTAAAACACGTGGATGTTCTGCGAATATGCTCTGCAAACCGGTTTTCCAAATCGGAACCGCAGCCAGTACCTTTCCCATTGATTGGAGAAGGGGTTTCGCTTTCTCCTGTGCTTCGAGGGATGAGCGGGAAGGGTCCGCTAGGATCACAAAAGACGCTATTGCCACCATTGGAATGTCCCGGAAGTCGTTGCCTCTGATCTGTGGAAATACCATATTGATCGCCTTTATTGCCTCGCCGGACCGCGCATGTTTAAGGAGGAGCCCCTCGTCCAATTTTGGGAATCGGAAAGACCACTCCTGTTCACCGGGGGGACCCCATCTGCTGGAGAAAAGACGATGTTGATGGAAGACGATCCAAGTATCGATGAGATCTTGCAACAGCAGGTCCTTCCTAGCCATGGACCTCTGATAGGCCTCGGCGTCTGAATAGTCCGCTTTGGCAGTGCTCCTGGTCACGAGATTGTGGATGAGGCTCATGACGCTATCGGCCCATTTCTTGCAGCTCAGGGAGCCAAGGTCGTGAAAAAGCTGGGTTGTCTGGGCCAGGGGTGGCAACTTCTCATTGTCCCAGTCGCTCATCTTCGCTTCTGCAACTTTGGTCACAAGAGCGGTTCCTCTTTGCTTCAAAAGCCGGTTTCTGCCCTCGAAGGGCACATTATGCCACACTTTGGCCAAGAAGAACTCGAGACAGGACTCAATGCTCTGCGACCTCATCATTGGCTTCAGCCGTGCGAGGTCGTTGTAGTACTCGAGGGCGGCAGGTGACTTTGAAGCCGACTCCGATGTCAAGTCCTCCTGGCCTACTTGTTGCCGAACCACTTTCTCGAATATCTCCAAGCTGTTCTCCTTGGGGCCGGTTTGAAATTTTCTCACGGTCTTCCTCCGATCCAGACCTTTGAAGCGCGGTTTTGTAGCACCTTTGTTCTGACCCGGTGCCTCTCGACCCGATGCCCTCGGGTCCTCGGGTTCTGTAGCATCAATCGAAGGGACATAATCATCATTGGCGTGCTCTGGAGTTGGATATGGCCTTCCAGCTGAAATTGAGCTCATGTGTGTCTTGGCCTGAAGCTGCCATTGTGGTAGGCGAGGAACTTGAGCTCGATACAGCGCTGCAGCCAGGAGGCGCCTGCGACAGGTGCAGCATATCATTTGGAACCTCTGCATCGGACGCGATTTTCTCCCTCACCGCGCCCCGTGACGGAATTGGAACCGCAGTGTCTTCAGATGATCGAGCTCAGCCCTCCAGGTCTATGTCGCCTTGTTCTGCATGCTGGTCTGGGCGGTCCAACTTGGTGCAAAACTGTGAGAAATGAAGAGGTCTTCAGTTAGTATTCAGGTGCGTGTGCAGTGCAGATGTTCAAGGCTGGGAAAGAATTGTGGGGGAAGCTTGGGCCCACACCTAACCAAGCCAGGAGCCAGTCAATGCCGCATGTGCTGTGTGTTGCTTGGTGCACTGCAGGGAGTCACTGCGGTGTACTCATCATACCTACCTACCTAGCCACAGCGACCGTCTTCATCTCGTCCCGAAGTCTCACTTCCGAGATGGTCCCCCGGCTTCTGAGGTGACGATCCCGGGCTAATTCACGACTGTGTCGTCCAGGCCTGGTAAGCCCCCATGTACATATTCCTCGTCGACTTTTCCGTTCCAGGGTTGCACTACATTTCGTAAAACCTCTGCCTAGACAAAAGGTGTCTTCTGTTGTTTCTTGACTCCTTGACTCGCTTTCATCTTGACCTAGCCTCACCACGATTCACCTCTCTTCACCTCCTCACTTCGCTTCATTCAAGACAATACCCTCCCACCACTTTGTTGCACATGCAGAAGCCGGCATTGCTAACACCATCAACATGACGACCCTTCAGCCACGCAAGCCGTACACAGAAGAGGAGCTCAAAGTCCTCTACCCCTCTGGCCTGGAGCTCGTCCAAGCCCAGGTCCTCCTCCGTCACGGCGAGCGTACCCCGGTCTCGGCTCGCTTTCAAAATGTCGGCCTCCACCCATACTGGCCGTATTGCAAGTCTGCTAGCCACCTGAGAAATGTAGTGCTTGAGGCGAATAAAGACGGAGTTGTGTTCTCGGCCCTTGAATGGAAGAAACGCCTCGAGTCCTTCGGCGTCGGCACTGACTCGCCTCTACTAGCTACGGGTGCCACTGGTGGTGTGGATGATATCTGTGAGATGGGTAAGGAAACCTCCGCAAACATTTCTGTATATGCTATATTAAATATGCTACAGGTATGCTCACTGATAAGGGGCGCGAGACTACTCATAGCCTTGGCAAGCGCCTGCGTGAGCTGTACGTCAAGCAGCTAGGCTTCCTCCCTGAGATCATCGACTCGTCTGAGTTCATGTACCTGCGTGCTACACCAGTCCCACGTGCCCTGGAGTCATTGCAGCAGACCTTCGTCGGCTTGTATCCCGAGGACAAGCGGACTGCTGACTTCCCACCACCTACCATTCTGCTTCGAAACCTATCCGAAGAGCAATTGTTGCCCAACGAGGGAGGTTGCGCGCGCTTCAGGACCCTAATGAAAGCGTATGCCAAGCGCACAGCAGACCGCTGGAACTCCAGTGAGGAGATGGACTATCTGAACAGCATATATGGTAAATACATGCCTGAAGGAACGCGTGTGGCCGTGGACGCAAAACCCCGGCTCTCGGGCATCATGGACACTGTCAACTCCACTCTGGCCCACGGCCCCGAGACCAAGCTTCCAGACATCTTCTACGATACGAAGGCCGTCGAGACCATGGAAAAGATCAACGTTGAGGAGTGGTAAGGTGGTCCAACGCCCCGTGTGAATATCGCCGCTGCTAACTTACTTGGTCTTTAGGTTCGCTGGCTTCAAGGAGTCTCGCGAGTACCGTACGCTGGGCATGGGGTCTCTGCTCGGCGACATCACTGAGCGTATAGTCGCCAACGTTGAGGCCTCTAACTTGGGTAGCCAGGACAACACCGTCGTCAAGTTTGGCATGTCCGGCTGCCATGACACTACCCTTGCCGGTACCCTTGCCAGCCTCGGTGCCTACGAGACTCAGCGCTGGCCCCCATATACGAGCCACGTCGCGCTCGAGGTTTTCCGCAAGTCCACTGCCGCTTCTGCCGCGAGGGCTTATAGCGAGAAAGACGTATCCGCCATGAACGCTGCCGCTGCGAACAAGCCAATCTCGCCAACTGGCAAGACGCTGCCCACCATCGGCCGCAAGACCCTCCAGGAAATGACCGAGGACGAGCTGAAGCGGATCGAGGGCCATTACGTCCGCATCCGATATAATGACGAGCCCGTCACTATCCCTGGCTGCAAGGCCGCGGGTAACCACTTGGAAGGCGACGAGAGCTTCTGCACGCTGGCAGCCTTTAAGAGTATCGTCGACAAGATTACCCCCAAGAACTGGAAGACGGAGTGCAGCAAGGTAGACAAAGACAACATCCTGCCCGCGAAGCCGGAGCCTGCCGGGTACTAGAGATGAGCATCGATTGAGAAGAGTGTTAATTTTTTGGGTGGTCACATGTCTCCATAGAAGGATACCCCTCTGGATTAATACGTTTGATAGATAGACGGACGAAAGGGTTTTTTAGAACATAGATCAGCAGAACGGCTTTTATGCCAACGAACTAAATATTGGGTATATATAGGTCTCCAGAATCATTCACTTGTTCCACTTGGTGCTCTATGTGCCCCTATCATAGGCTGCCAGTCAGTCAGTCGCCCCCTTTACGATGCTCATCACAAATGCATCCTGGAAGGACTTCCTGTGATCGCCCAGGGCACATGTCCTCTGGATGGATGATCTCTCTTGAATTGACATCTGCATCTGCCCTAGTGAAGAGAATTCCGAAGATTGTGACGATCGCAACATCGGTAAGATCAGGCATGAGCTTGCACGGCACTCACTGGTTCATAGAAGCAAGTCATGAGGTAGTCGTGAGCGTTTTTGGAAACACTTTAGCAGCAATGGCCTCATAACATCTGCTGCTCTTTCCGTCGAGTTGCAACACACCGCCGGAAGCCTATGATTCTACCTCGAGATTGCCTCAAATCTCGGCTGGCCGGAACGTGGAAGGCAGCCGCCGTGTCCTCCTCCCAGCAGGTCGCAATCTGTATGCGTTCAATTGTGCCCCCTATGCAGTCATTGTACCAGTGAATGGCCCCAATTTGTTCTTTGAACACGAGAAGAGTTGCGTATGTTAGCACTGGTACCAGTATCGCGCGATGATCATCGTGCTATCCGTGCCAACTCCTACGCAGACACGAGTTACATCGACCCGGAATTCGTGGTACCCTCCCAAGTCTCATGCACTGGTCCCTCAGGGACGCCCACAGACTCCACTGTCAGCCGCAATGCGCTGCACGAAAAAGGCAACCGGGACGGCAAGAAATATTTCAGAAAAGCCAAGATGCTAACGAGCTGAGTCGCTTGAACATTCTCGGTGGAGGGCCCGAGAGCTTGACGAAAAGCGAACTCAGATACGGAGGCCGGCGAAGCCCTGAAATATACGACTCTGGACGCTGGCAGTCGAGAAGATTGCGGGTATTAAGACTGCAAGAATAAGCGGATGAAAGGGTAGGATTTTGGTGCGGCCGCTTTGGTCACACCCGAGTCCACCGAAGAGTCGTGACCAATCTCTGAGCCTATCTGGACTATTGAGTCCGATCATCTCGCATTAATTTCCACCAAAAGGTTGAGGTGACCAGCAACGACACAGAGTTCAACTTGCAAGCTTGCGTATATGCAATGATCTCCAGGGCCTGTCACTTGGCGGCCAATTCGTCTCCAGCGACTGCCTGCTGCTGCTGCGGCTGCTCTTGTTGCCTCGCTGCGGCAGCCCTTTCCTTGGCCCTCTTCTTCCTTGCCCTGCGGACCTGAATCTCGACATCCTGCATCTCGGCATTTAAAGACACCAGCCGCGGGATGACCTGCTCGACAGCTTCGACGGCACAGGCCTGGGTCTGCCGCAGAGACAGTGGCGTGAGCACGCCGAACCATCGGAGAGGGTCCCTTGCGTTTTGCTTCTTTGGGTCCGCCTCCCCTTCAGCTTTGTCGCCACTGGCAGGTGCGGCCTCGCCCGGTGCCTCAGCCGCCTCAGCTGGAGGATCTGACGGAGGATCATGGGGCGCATCGTCGCCCCGGCCCCGGACGCTGTGCGACACGCTGAAGACTGGCAGGCTCCCTTCCGTGCTGATGCTGACCTGTCGCAGCGCTTGCATTCTCTCGTCGTAGAAGTCTGGGCCGTATCGCATGCCTCTCTCGGCTGAGAAGTTGGCGCGGGCCAGGTGCTGGAACATGCTGGTGTGGAGCTGGCCCAGCTTCACGCGCAGGGTGGTGTACTCGTCCAGCAAAGTGAGATATCGCTCAAGAAGAGCGTCTATGGTGTTGGGGTCCATGGCGAGATTGTCAATTGGTTGTGCAGACGCATGTATGAGTCGACGTGTATCGACTTTCCCAAAAGAAACAAATTTCCCCACCGGTGAAAGGACGGAGCGGCTGATTAACGCGAGTTGGTGCAGACGGTCGCAAACCTCGGAAGGGTGCAAATAAGATGGGCTGCGGCTGTGGCCAAATTTTCACGGGCACCCCTCGGATCTTGCCGCAGGTGGGAACCACAGTGCCCACAGACCTGGTGATGCTACCATGAACATCGTAGCATGAGGTTGCTTATTCTCTGCCCCTGAGTGCAAGAGACTATAAACATGCAACTATGCAGGAGGCTGGTGAATGGACGGAACTACTTCCTCGAGTAAGGGCATCGCGTGCTCTGTGGATACCCCATGGGCAGCTCCATACTGTGTGACTGTGTACAAGTTCTCCAAGGACATCGTCGCAAGGATGGACAGGCGCGAGGAAACAATCGGGCCTCTGAGGGGGGAAAACTTACTCGTCAAATCCAATTCCTGCTGCAAGTCATCCCACTAGTCCATGCGATTGATTATGGCATGGCATCGACTCAGCCCGGATCTCAGCATCGGCGACCTGACTGCCCGTCATGCCCGCGTCCGTGGGCATGAGGTCATTGAGGCATTGCACGAGATGGATCTGCCGGCTTGCCATTCGTGGTCCTAGTACACAAGGCCTTGGTTTCAGTGACCGTTTCGAACGGCTAGGGGGCACAGACGACGCCATAACCGTCCTGTCCAGTCCTGCCCAGTCCTCTCCTGTAGATCCGCAGCCCGGGTCACAACATGCCATCTTTCCTCGGCCCTTGCCCACAACCTAGAGGATTCTGTATCTACTTGTCACCCAGCCGAGTGCAACCCTCGAGCGTGCTAGAGCCGCCAGAGCACCCCATCCCTGTACAGATCGCCCACCTCAGCCACGTGCCGCTGAGTAGCCGAGATGGCATAGACGATACATCTATTTGTGCCATGGGCCATGAGCCGTGATTTGGAGCTTGTGGTGTCAGTCGTACAAGGTCGCTGTTGTTGTGCGCACGTAAGCTTCTTGCACGGAAAACGGAGGGGCAGTGTGGCCACATGGGCACTGGCGTCGCGACGCGGGACAACAGTCGAGCCCTTGGTCGGTGAAAAGCCAATGGCCATTTGACAATCATGCGACAAGCCTGCCAACTGCGTCGCTGGTAGATGCGTCTACAAATTGCATGCATGCCAGAACGAGACATGGCCCCTTGAGCCGAGTGCTCAGAGCTTCCGGAAGGCTTCCAGATTGCCTCTTTGGACGTGCTGACGTGCCGCGGCCAGCATGCGCACCCTGATGCAGTTAGCAATCCATGCGAGCACACATCAAGCATCTGGGATCTAAGTAGTCCATGTGGCTCGTCACTTCCGGCCTTTCCTAGGCGCAAACGCAACGGCCTGGTGGCCGGCTCGTGCTCCTGCGCTTGCGCCTGCTCTACGGGTTATCTCACACCGCCCAGCACGCAATCTTGCAGGCCGGCCCGACAGAGCCTGGAGGACTAAGGGCCGGGAGCCTCGAGTCTAGTCGAATCCAGTCGAGGCGATTTGGCGGCAGCCAGTGTTGGGTATGTGGCGTTGACATGTTTGTTGCTCTTTGTCCGTTGCGTAGGCTCGATAGCAGGCGGGGGATGAGCATCAGGATCAGGATACCCCAGCCAGATGGCCCCGGCTTTCGTCCGTCACAGATTGGGGCTATATGCAAGTCGAAGTCGAAGAGATGGATTGGCGCATCTTGTTTTCTGCATACGGAGATCCTTCCATGATCTTCGACTCGGCTATCTCTTGATTGTGCGGTTGTCTGTCTACTGTACGGTCTGTAACAGTACACTCAGCCGTCAGCCGTCAGCAGCCAGCAGCCAGCAGCCTCAGTGTTTCTCATATTTCCGAGACTATGTAGTTTATCTGTCTATCTGGTGTCCAAGACGGTCATCCATGGATGCGAAGAGAGTCACGACTGACCTTGGAGGTAGGTCGTGTGGTCGAGGTCACAATCTGACGGGTGGACAAAAGTTCCGTCGATATCCCCTGGTTACAAAAGATGCAAGCAAGAATGCAGAAGTCCCCTCTGGTCGACTGACTGCCCAGGTGCCGTGTAGGAGAGTCAACGCTTCCAGGGCGGATTGTTGGATTAGATTGCTCAGTGGGCACAGCTGGTCGCGGTACATGCCGTCCCTCGCGGCGCAGGGTGTGCTCACTGGTACACTCTACCACCTCTGTCAAAACAAAACAACAAGGGGAAAAAACCAACCCCCGTCCATGGGGAGGTGGACTGGCTCTCAGGCTAGCTGCAGGTGCATGGCCTCCAATTTTAGTGCCCCAAAAGGGATAGCAGCACTAGCAGCACCAACCTGACGGGCCCTATGCAGGCTGGACTGGTCTTCGATTGGAGGCGATTGGGGGGGTAAAAAAGGCCTGGGTCCCCGTCTCGCCCCCCTGGCCTGCTCAGGCTGCCCGTCCTCCCTTCCAAGGTTGGGACTGCAAGCCTTGGCCCCCTACCAAAATCCCCATCACACACTGATCGCCATCGCTCGCGAGCACTTCCCATGGTCTAGGTCCTCCGCCGTCCACTCGCACTCCCGCCCGCGCCTTTTGTCTTTCCTCCTGCCTGCACCAGACAAAAAGTTGCACGAGGCTGAATTGCATTGCATCCATACCCATTCAATTGAACTTTATTACCTGGCCACACGTTCTCTCTGAGCTAATCCAGCCCGCTTTCACGGCGACCTCATTCCCGTCGTCGTTGCCAACCCTTCACTTCTTCCTGCCTCGCTCTCTCTCTCTCTCTCTGTCTCCCTCCCCTCACTCCTCACTTGCCCTGCCCTGGCCTGCCTGCTTGCTCGGCCCTGCCCTGCCCCGTCCTGCTTTGTCTCGCCTCGCCTCGCCTGGCCTCTCCTTGACCGCCTACGCTCACCTACTCCAAACCACCTGGGATAACAGGACGCTGCTCCTCCCCCACCGCCGTCGCAGAAAATCACCTTAGCAGTCGAGCGAGAGTCAACCCATCAAGCCAAACCGAAGCCAAGTCCCCCTCCTCGCGCTTCAGTCCTGTTTCTATACACTCGACTCAGCAGCACCGCACTGCACCGCACCGCACCGCACCGTACCGCACCGCACGGCGCAGCACAGCACAACCCCGTCGAGGCGTCCTCCCCCCCAAACCTTTATCAGTTGCTGTGATCCGGGCAACGGCTCACGATAAGAAACCACCTTCCTGCAGGCCTTCTGCGTGCGTCGTCTGCCTCTCAACCAACACAACAGATCGCTGCCCCTCCCGAGGAGCAGCTCTCATCTCGAAGAATGGTGGTCGCAACAATCAAGTCCGTACTCCACTGCCGTCCAATTCAACACTTCGCACCTTGCATCCCCGTCCTACGTTGCCCAGCCGTCCCCTTATTCCATGGCCCCCGTGGCGCTGCGCTCATGTGCCAGGGGCTGGGTGAGCTGCAGCACCCTGTGCCTCTAGTTAAACTTCTGGCTTTGCACATGCCACCTGCATTCCCCTCCTTATTGGGCTCGAATTGTCCAGCCTGCCCTCAGGGTGCAGCAGCACCTTCTTACCACACCTCGTGCCAACGCACACCGCGCCAAATGTTGCCTTGTTGCGGCAGTGGCTAATTATTTCCTCCTGCAGATGCGTTGTCGTCGGTGACGGTGCTGTCGGCAAGACATGCCTGCTCATCAGCTATACCACCAACAAATTTCCCTCCGAATATGTCCCGACAGTATTCGACAACTACGCAGTCACTGTCATGTAAGACGCGCCCAACCCCCGGTCCCAGACAAAAAGAGAAAGGGGGAAATGGGGGGAGAAGCCTCCGCTGCTTTGCACTACGCGTGTCAAAGCGGCGTGTCGCGTTTACCGCGTTGCCGCTTCTCCCGCCCTAGGCTAATTCCGAGTACTACCCATCTTGGAGTTGTTACTGCGCTGACCGCGACATGTGCCAAATTAGGATCGGCGACGAGCCGTACACACTGGGACTATTCGATACGGCCGGTCAAGAAGATTACGACCGATTGCGGCCCCTATCATACCCACAGACCGATGTCTTCCTCGTTTGCTTCAGCGTCACCTCCCCCGCGTCGTTTGAGAACGTCCGTGAGAAATGGTTCCCCGAGGTTCACCACCACTGCCCTGGCGTTCCCTGCCTCATTGTCGGAACACAGGTCGATCTGAGAGATGACCCCAGCGTGCGGGACAAATTGGCCAAGCAAAAGATGCAACCGGTGCGGAAGGAGGACGGTGAGCGCATGGCTAAGGACCTGGGCGCTGTGAAGTACGTCGAGTGCAGTGCTTTGACGCAATACAAACTCAAGGATGTGTTTGACGAGGTACGAGTGCCTGGCATAATGATATTTGGTAGTCACAAACTAATCAGGGTACAGGCAATTGTTGCGGCTTTGGAACCCCCAGCACCTAAAAGTAAGAAGCATAAGTGCTTGGTGCTCTAATTCGGCCCGCAGACTGCGAGCATGCCACGGTCATTTTGTGTCGACTGGACCCATCTGTACCTAATCGAGGGCGCAGCAAAAGAGGTCAGGTGGGCTGCCTGGGATAGTTGAATGGTCTGATGCAGAACATGGGTCGTTCTTCTCATGTACACGGATTAGACACCCAGCCAGCTTTGGGGCACCCAACGGGACGAACAAGACCAAGTGTCACGTTCAGGCCCCTGATCGTCTGCGAAGGCGGCCAACACGGCAGGTTTTCCATGGTTCCGAGGACCTCGAGGGACTACTTTGGCCAGAGGAGAACTGCGAGTGTTCAGGTGAAGGAAACTTCTTTTTTAGATCTGGACGTGTTATTCGTTGAAGCGACTCTTTTCCCACATTTCAATACGAACAGATCTGCATCTTCTTGACTGGAGTCTCCGTCGAGTCGAAGACTTGTGGCCTCTTGAAAATGCCACTTGGTGGCTCAACAGCACTACTTCATGATTGATTACGAGGCGTTGGGGACATCACAAATGCGGTCTTTGTTTAACTCTAATAGGATCACTCTGGCGACCGGTGCGCGAATATCATTTGTGACCTCATCAAAACACCGCTCTCAAGTGCTACGAATCATCCATTCAATGCCCGCTCATCATCGATTTCTTCTAGGCCGGTCATATCAAGGACCCGGAACCAACCTTGGCCGAGAACGGCGTCCCTCCACAGCCCCCTCCACCCCCCTCAAGGTCCCGGCGTCACATCGCGGAGTGTTTCTAAACATTCTTGGCATCTGAACTTTTCTCAAATCCCAACACGCGCCTCATTGGACCAGCGGGCGTGCGGAGGCCCAGGTTCGCGTTCCGGAAAACCCTCTCGAGATATGCTTTCCGGCGATGGGCGCGCAGCGCAGACAGAGTGCCTAACGCGCATCCCACCCCCAGAGCGATCGGACGTGCGGTTGCTGTGAGGAGGAGGCGGGAAAGCCTAACGGGACCACAAAAAACAGGAGCCTTCGCCTGGGGAGCTTGCCAATCAACGCACCTGGACGGGATCGTCCTTGCAGCCCCTCTGCCTGTCCCGAGGTTGTTCTAGGCGAGGTGGCCGGCAGGTGAAGGACTTAGGACTTGTGTACTCGTGCTCTTTCACGGCTTGTGTAATATGCTTCTAAATGCCGTTTGTTGGATGAACGCGAAATGCGTGACCTAGTCGCGCACGCCAGTGTCTCTAGAAGCTGCAAATAGCCTCGCTTCACGCCTAGATGCCAGTGTCTGAGCGAAGCTGACACTGGCAGAGAGCAGCATCGGGCAAACTGCTATGATCTGGATTTTGAGTATAAACTTAATCCAGCAGATGATAGACAAATGCCACCACGCGCGCGTCCCATCAACAATTGAGCCATGACGTACGGAAAGCCTTCCCGTCTGCATATCCCAGCGCGTGCGGTTGGGCGTTTGCTGCACGAGGGTGATTTAGCTCACCGTTAAGCTAGGGCCGACGTTGCTTGGCCAGGCCAGACGAGACTTCACCGGCCGGCCGGCCGTTCGCCGCACCGGAGCCTTGACTAGTCGCATTGACCAATAACGGCCAGTGCAAGTATCTAGCATTGCTAACACCGCTGACTCTCGCCCACCAGACCAGCTGTGCGCTGGGAGGGTTATTGTATGCGTCTCCGTCGCCAAAGGTGCTGGACAAAACATAATGGGTCCTGGCGGGTGGACTGATTGACTTTGCGCAGTGCGATCATGCGCAATCACGACCGCCAAGATGTTGCTGTTCGCTGGTGATCAATCAGATGTATACTGCATCGATATGTCCGAACCGGGCCGGACCGGCACACCACTAGGTGGTTCCTCGCCTTGAAGAAGCACTTAAACGACTCCTCACAAAATTGATTACTTGCAATTCTTTTGCGCATAGAGTTTACACCAACGGCTCGTAAACATCTCTGACCTCGTCTCGCCCAGCAACATTATACCAGCCTTGGCAGGGCTCACCACTTTGAGACTACAACATCAACCACTGCCATGAGAAGCGTATGGGCACCGCTCGCCCTTGCCGCGCTGGCATCGCTGGCGGAGGCATGCGGTGGCGGCCACCACAAGCACGACGATCGCGTGTGGACGGCAGAGGAGATTGCCGAGCTTGAGTACAAATGGGGCATGGAGGTGAGCGGAGGGACCTTTCTTTCACCTCTTTGGACAACTCGCATGGCAGAGCTAAGCATGTGGGCATGACTTGGCGGAACATGCCCCGTGTCTCTCATGCGGACGCCCGGAATATCATCTCCCGTCAGTCACGGGAGATCGATCTTCGCACTCACCGCCGATGTGATAATTGTGGGCTGCCGTCGGGCCTGCAGGTGTGAGATATCACTCACGGCCGGCCACAACGTCTCATTTAAGCTGTGGCTCGGTTGACGGCTACGACGATGAGCTGACCTTTGCCCGACTACAGTGGCCATTTGCTGGAATAGGCAGCTTCGCCCATCTCAAGCACGTCAAATGTCTTACAGACCCCACGGAGCTCTATGATATCGCGATCGTGGGTGCGCCGTTTGACACGGCTGTGAGCTACCGGCCAGGTATGTTTCCGAGTCCCTGATGCCACAAGTACGGATTCGTTATTCGCTGCTCCGGATAGGACAGGATGTTCCAACCTATCTCTCGTCTTGCAGCGTCAGTGAGTGATGTCTCAGACTGATCAAAACTGCTTAGGCGCACGATTTGGGCCACGGGCCATCCGCCATGCTTCGTCGCGGCAGACGAGCTTCCGGGGCTTCAACCCGAGGGCGAACATCAACCCCTACCAGAACTGGGCCAAGATCATGGACTGTGGGGATATACCCATCGTGCCTGTCGATAATGCTGTGGCCATACGGCAGATGACGGAGGCTTTCACGGAGCTGGGAAGCCGGAGGCCGGTGTCCCCCCTGCTCGAGAAGCCCAAGCTCATCACCCTGGGAGGAGACCATAGCCTGGCGCTGCCAGCGCTGAGGGCGCTGAACAAGATCTACGGCAAGCCCCTGCGCGTGCTGCACTTCGACGCCCACCTTGACACCTGGCACCCGGCCAAGTACCCCTCGAGCTGGCTGACGGACCAGGCACACTTCAACCACGGGTCCATGTTCTGGCTCGCAGGCAGCGAGGGGCTCCTGGTCAACGAGACTTCGCGGCCGTCTGTGCACGCGGGCCTGCGCACCCGGCTCTCGGGCAACGGGTGGGATGACTTTGACGACGACACGGCGCAGAACTGGCTGCGCGTGGTTGCCGACGACATCGACGACCTCGGCACCTCCGGCGTGGTCAAGGCGATCCTGGACGCCATCCCGCCGGATGACCCCGTCTACCTGTCCGTGGACATTGACGTCCTCGACCCGGCGTTTGCGCCTGGAACGGGCACGCCGGAGCCCGGTGGGTGGACGACCCGGGAGCTGATCAGGATCCTCAGGGGTATTGAGAGCCTGAACGTGGTCGGTGCCGACGTTGTCGAGGTTGCGCCGGCCTATCAAGGGCAGGGCGAGGAGACGGCTCTGGCCGCAGCGCAGGTTGTTTACGAGATGATTAGCTCGATTGTCAAGAAGGGTATGGCGGAGATGGGCAAGGAGCATGCAGCTCCGGAAGTTGAGGGAGACAAGACGGAGGAGGAGGAGGTGAAGGATGAGCTGTGAGGTCTAGGTAGGTATCCATCTATACAGTCTACCATCTTGGTGGGGTTATACGTGTACAGCCTACAGTCAACGGCGAAAGAGGCGATAAAGATTGCCAACCAATTCAAATTCAGCATTCTTGAATAAAGAGCATAGAGTTCAAGATAATTTAGCCCCTGATTTGGAATATCAAACCGAAATGTGCTTCAGAATGCGTAGATAGCAGTTAGTGACACCGTTGAGTCAAACGGGACAAGTTCCCTGCAGAGTCCTGGCGGTGACTCAACCTGCCCACTCGAGCTCCCTTATCTTTTGCAATAAATGTCCGACCCCACCATAGCGGCCTTGGGGACTTTGAGAACAAAACCACAAAACCACACAACCACCACACAATCTCGACCGCTGTTTCGATCTCGCCAATTGACTCGAAGCAAAGCCGTCAGAAAACATGGCAGCCATTCAAGACCTTGCAGAACGGGTCAAGCCCGAGAACGACACCTCCTACGTCGACACCGATGCGGGCATCGACGATGCCTCGGCCGACGGCTCTGAGTCAAAGCCATACAAGTCCCTTGCCTACGCCATGATCGCCAACATTGAGCAACCCACAAAAAAGTACCTTTCCCGCGCCTCCAAGACAGGCGACGACCCAGGCGCCGCGCTGCAATGGAAAGAACCCGCCAAGAGCGCCGTGAAGAAGGCCACCTCTGCCGTCGAGCAGCACAAGAAGAAGCTGGCCAAGCAGGCCTCTAGCGCCGCAGTTGAGGAGGAGGCGAGGAAGCAGCGTCTGAAGAACCTCGAGGAGGCCAAGAAGGTCGTCATCAAGCAGGACCCCAGCTTGCCCGAGGCGAGGAAGCTGAGGATCGACGACAAGAACGTGGAGCTGGGCGAAGGTGACAAGAAGGGCACGAGGGTCAAGGTGTCAGGTCGCATCCACCGATTGCGGCCCCAGAAGCAGGCGGTAAGCACCACGTTGGACGTCTCTACTGCTCGTGGACATTTTTGGTGCTGACTTTGCGTGGCCAGACGTTTATTGAGCTTGTTGATGGATATGGCCACCTACAATGCATCATATCAGCCGGACCCCTCACTCAGACCTACGATGCATTGACCTTCACCCAAAGTACCTCCCTGACGCTCTACGGCGAGATGAAGAAGGCTCCCGAGGGGGCAAAGGTGCCTGACAACCGAGAGCTGCATGTCGACTACTACGAGGTGCTGGGATCAGCGCCTACCGATCTCGAGGCTCTCACCAACAAGGTCTCCGCTACTCAGGATCCTTGGGAGTCGGACATGCTTGACAACCGACACTTGGTTTTGCGTGGAGACAAGGCATCTTCGGTCATGAAGCTTCGATCCGAGGTCGACTATGCCTTCCGGCACCTGTACAAGCAGATGAAGATCAGGCAGGTGTCGCCGCCTGCCCTGGTGCAGACGCAGGTCGAGGGTGGCTCCACGCTGTTTGGTTTCAACTACTACGGGGAGGACTCATACCTGACGCAATCCTCTCAGCTGTACCTCGAGACCGTGCTCCCGTCCATGGGTAACGTTTACTGCATCGAGAAGTCGTTCCGTGCCGAGAAGAGTCTGACCCGGCGTCACCTTTCCGAGTACACTCACATCGAGGCCGAGCTGGACTTCATCACCTTCGAGGACCTCCTGACCCACTTGGAGGAGATGATCTGCGGTGTTGTTGACATGGTTCTGGCGGATGAGGAACTGGCCGGCTACGTCAAACAGCTCAACCCAGGCTTCCAAAAGCCTTCTCGCCCTTTCATGCGGATGAAGTACACTGATGCGATTGACTGGTAAGCTGCCTCGGTTGAGGCCCATTTGGTTCTGCCTTATTGACATTAATTTCAGGCTCAACGCACAAGACCCCCCGATCCTCAACGAAGAGGGCAACCCTCACGTTTTCGGCGATGACATCGCCGAGGCAGCGGAGCGCAAGATGACGGACACGATCAACAAGCCCATCTTCTTGACTCACTTCCCTGTGGAGATCAAGGCTTTCTACATGAAGAAGGACCCCAATGACCTGCGCGTAACGGAGTCTGTCGACGTCCTGATGCCCAACGTCGGCGAGATTGTGGGCGGCTCGATGAGAATGGAGGGTTATGACGAGCTGATACAGGCATTCAACAAACACGGCATCAGCCCTGACCCTTACTACTGGTATCTCGACCAGAGGAAGTACGGTACATCTCCCCACGGTGGGTACGGCCTGGGCCTGGAGCGATTCCTGGCCTGGCTGGCTAACCAGCACACCGTGCGTACCTGCTGCATGTACCCTCGCTTTATGGGACGGTGCAAGCCTTGAGCGAAGGTCGCTGGGGCGTCTCTTTGGGGCGCTTGAGACATGAGGACACAAAATAGGCTATTTTTAGCTGGGATGTGGATTGATGTGCGGATAGACATTTCGTAGACCCCCCCTGGCAATTCGTTATAGCTGCTAGAGTCTCGGGTGATACAGGAGGTCGAGGAGGGCCAGTAATGAGAGCTCGAGGGCATTCAATTCTGGAGCCACCACCGCGCAATCGGCGTTTCTTGTGATGTACGCACGACACCCAAGCCTCGTGCTAACGTGTCACAATCATAGCTGACCGTCACCACCAGCGCGGCTGTCGCGTGCCTCTTCTCTCTCGCTAGCCGCCAGAAATCGATAATGATAGGTTCCGCGCCGGAAGAGCCTGCCGCATAGCTGGGCTGGCTGAAGCTATCCTGGCTGGCAACTGAGAGGGAAGGGAGGGGGAGGGGGGCTGCCATGGGCCTTGGCCTTGTCTAAATCCAGGAGCCATTTCCGATACTGCAGCCCATTTGTGGGGATCTGAATTTGTTGTGTACAGCATGTTTTCAGAGCTGCGATGCCTAAGTTTTGTCTTCTTCACTTCTCTGAACGTCCTCGCATTTTTGTCTACTTGACTCGCAAGCCGCATCCGAGAGCAAAGCTAGACTGAATAGCCTCTGCTCACACGGACTTGTTTTTCTTCTTTATTTTAGGCAAAGGATAGGCAATGGCCGACACGGCTAGACGTGATTTGATCTGTGGGTTTTTGTTTTAGCGGTGGTAGTTGGCTGTTCCAAAACGGGGCTCCAGAAGCAGTTCATTGTGGTGTGATGCTGGCTGCGAGCATGGTGCTATTGAAGTGGAGGGTGATGCTTCTTTTCTCTTCATGTCGTCTCCTTTCTCGTTGCAGCCTGCCCCCCTCCCCGTCCCCTTGCCTGCTGCGGCTCCACTCTTTGATTCGATGTTCCTGCAGAAGTGTCGGCGCCGTTGCGTCCCGGTACCTGGCTAATTGGAGAGCTGGGAGGAGACTGCCGGTGCGGGCTGTTCTCCGCGCGCGAGAAGCATGAATGGACGATGCTTTTTATCCGCTGAAGTTTCGACGGCTCCCGATCGCTGCGAATCGCTGCAGGGCGAACGCACCTCACCCTGCGAGGCCGCCATTCAAGGTTACTGTACCCACGCGCGCACGCAATATGTACAGCTGGGGAAAAAGGGTTCCATCTGCTACCCTGCCCGAGCACACGCTTGGTGTGGGTTGGTGGGTTTGGTCGGTGCTTGCAGATCCGCCCCAAGTTACACGGGGCCTTGGGCCTGGGGGCCCTCGTGTCTGAATAAACGGCGCAACCCAATTAGTAGTAAAACCAACGGCCCCCTTTCCAGCTGGGAACAAGTCCATAGGTATCTTGGTTGAAAGACCCAGGTGTCTGACGAGTGATTGGTAACATTGTGAGAAGTCTTGAAAACTGCGTCGAATTGAGAAGAACCTCAACCCCCCACCGCGCTGTGAATGAGTGCATTCTTCTCGCCCGCCTGTGTCTTCGGCAATTGCCAATAGGTCCTGGGTGCTCAACTGCAAATAGGCTGTCCCACACAAGGACAAACTCAAATCCAGCCTGTCCCCCCAGCTAGCTATCCGATGCGGCTTGGCCGCCCACTTGCCTGTGCATGCGAAGGGCCGGCCTGGTTGGGCTGGCCCGCGAAAACCACCCCTGGAGGGTTGGAGGCTTTGTTTCGTTTCTGGCTTCGAAACATTCGGCAGCGATCGATGCATCTCTGCGAACCTACGGGGCGGGCCCCCCTTCACAGCTTGGGGCCGACAGCCTAGGATGGGCAGGCGAGCTGGCCTGTCTGGCCTGCCTGGCCTGTCTGGGAAATGCGAGGTGGTCGAGCTTACACGAAAGATTAAATGGGATGGTTTATCGTAAGGTTGCACGGCGGCGCGTCAAGTCATCAGCCATCTCTCGCGGCAACGTGGATTTGCTGAAATTACCCGGCGCAATCCAACGTTGGCAGCTCGCGCTACTGCAGTCTGCAGTCTGCACCTGGACCATCTGGGCGGCCACTGGCTCGGGCTTGATTCGTGGCCCCAAGCAATACAGCACATGAGGAAAGTACCTAACTGGCGGGATGTTGGAGAGCTGCTGATTCTGATTCCTGTCGTACTCTGGATGATGTTGTAAGCAGTAGACTAGCATAGCATGAAGCGCCTGGCAGGACGGTGAGATGGGTACGGGTACGGACACGGCTACGTCAATGCATTTGTACCCTAGGTAGAGGTATAGGTAGAGGTAGACTAACTGTGTGTGTGTGCTGCACCTCCATGACTGTGCCTGGGCCAATGTGGTCTACCAAATTACTCCGGCAGGCTGGATACAAAAAAAAAGGGAGCAGCAGTCGATCCGTCCCCAGATTTCAAGCGCCAACCAGCTGAGCGCTACTCAGGTACCAAACTAAGGGGTACCCGGCTTCCCGTCACCATGCCTGCATGCGCTGTACCAGTACTGCACGTATGTTCTGGACTGACAGGACCAGCAGACCAGCAGAACCCGCAGGGCATGAACCAACGTGAAATGAAGCACGAACTTCGCCCTCCAGACTGCAACAGGGTTCACGATTTGCTTGTACTGCGCCTTGTTGTACACACCGATTGAAATGTCTCCTTTTGGAACGTCAATCTTGGGGGAGGGGTGGAGGATAAGAGATATTCCGTGCTTGCGGCCAAAACTGCACTCAATACCAGACGGTGGTTGTGAGAGGGAAGTCGTGTGTCTAGTCAGTCTGTCCACCTGTCCACAACGTACTGCTACTTCTGCTGCATACTGCCCAGGAGAGTAGTGCGTACTGAATGAGTACTGCGCAACAAGGTCTGCCGACTTCTTTTCTCCTTCGACAACGAAGGCGCGGAAGAGTTAAATTGCAGCGACGGGGGTCTGCGCACTAGATTTCGCCCTTGCCCCTTTCGGCGGGGACCTTCCAATGCTCACCGCGAGTACAACCCCCGTCGCCTGCCCCAGTCCTCCTCCTTCCCTCCCTACCTGTCCAATTTTACATGTACCTAGTCCCTAGTCTCTAGTCCCTGGCCTGCCAGTCCCTGGTCCCCTCTCTTCTCACCTCCCCCCCTTCGACCAACTCACCACACCTCTTCTTCCTCTCCTTTTCTTGCCTTGCCCTGATCTTGAACCTCTTCTTCAGGCTCAATCTCCCCTTCGTTCGCTCTAGTTCACCTTCGTGTCCTTGGATCGCCCCCTCAATCCGCCCATGACCCGACTACGAGCCTGAGCTTCAGCTTCTTCTCTTCGTCCCTCTTCGCAACCCCTTCTGCCGCCTCTTTAATTCGCTGGCATTTTATCCCGTCGAGCAGCTCCTCGCTAGCTTGCCTGACTTTGTTCGAGATCACGCTCGTTATTCAGCATATATTGGTTGTAGTCTTTTTGTCGTGTGCTCTTCGAACCTAGACAACCCCCCCTAACCCACGCGAAAGCCACCCTTCGAACGAGCTCAGGCTTCCTCCCCGTTCGCCGCATATCCCACTTCTGGCTTCCGCTCCTCGAGATTCTGCTACAACTCCAGTCGCGCCCGTCCTTCCAGTCCCGGCTGTCTGTCTTTGTTCGATATCAAGAGAGTAGAGGAGGGGTACGCTGTCGTCTAATTGTCGCCACGTCCCGGAATATCCTCTACCACCCGATTCTTGACTCGCTGGATTTTGGGCCGCTCGTTCTTTGACCGCCACTGCAACTCGACGCTTTTCTTGGACTCTCCTGCCTCGAGTCCTCGTTCCCGACTGTTATTTGTCGGTTTGAACAACTACTAGCAACTTCAATTGCATATACGGCATTCACTTGTATTCTTCGACTTCGTGGGTGCGGCTCCGTGTCTTCAAGCTCGGGTTGTCCTGCAGATTTTGAACAGCTTCAAGCTTTTTCACAACTGCGTACCACCACCAGTTGTGGAATTTTGAGATACCCATTTGTACTTCCACGGAGCGTCGGTCCAGCCCCACGCACCTCCAACAGCATCTCGACTCGTGCCTTCTCGTAGGGGCACGTCTATCCTTCAAAACGGCTGTTCTATCTAACGTCGGTCGGGACAACCTTGTCCCCCCTCATCTCCTCGGGATGCAGGACCATAACCCAGGTCCCATCGGCCAGGCCGGTCCAAGCAGTGGTCAGGGCCGTTTCCCCGGCCATATCTCGAAGCCTTCGAACAGCGATACTGGGTTCTCTCACGGCGCTTTCACTTCTAACATTTCTGGATTCGCCGACAGACACCCTCGACGTGGCAACATTCCTACGATCAACACGCAGAGCATCAATACGCAGAATGTCCACCAGCAGCCTCAGCCCAATGTGGCTGACCTGACCACTCCAGGCACTGGCTTCGATATGCAGTTCACTCCTCTGCTGCCGTCCCAGCTGCTCCTCGGAAGCCCCTTTCAGCCTGGCACCCCGGCCGCCTTTGCCAACAGCCAGTTCCAGAACATGAATGCCTACCAGCAAGCCCAGCAGGCTCAGCAGAACGGCATGTCGAGCCCCGTCCAGCAGCCAATGTCGCCCGGTGGCTATGTCTCCCCCTCGACCTACGGAGCTCCTCAGTTCTTCTCTCCCCAGTCCCCAACCGCTGGGTACAGCACCATGGGAGGCCAGATGCAGATGCCGATGAACCCTGGCTCTCCCACCATGAGTCCCGTGGTCAGCGGAACCAGCCGCACAGTCTACCTTGGAAACATCCCCCAGGACACTCCGGCCGACGAGATTCTGAGCCACGTGCGCAGTGGCCAGATCGAGTCCGTCCGCCTGCTCCCCGACAAGAACTGTGCCTTCATCTCCTTCCTGGACGCCAGCTCCGCCACTCACTTCCACTCTGATGCCATCTTGAAAAAGCTCTGCATCAAGGGTCAGGATATCAAAGTTGGCTGGGGCAAGCCGTCTCAGGTGCCTACCTCTGTTGCCCTCGCAGTGCAGCAGTCTGGTGCCTCTCGGAACGTCTACCTCGGTAACCTGCCCGAGGAAATTTCTGAGGAGGAGATCCGCGAGGATCTTGGCAAATTTGGTGCCATTGATACGGTCAAGATTGTCCGTGAGAAGAATATCGCATTCATTCACTTCCTGTCGATTGCCAATGCCATCAAGGCCGTATCTCAACTTCCTCAGGAGGCAAAGTGGCAGGCACCGCGCCGAGTGTACTATGGAAAGGATCGATGTGCCTATGTCTCGAAGACACAGCAGCAAAACGCCGCCCAGTACCTCGGCATTGCCCCTGGATACGCACACATGCTGACCGGTGCTGACCGTGACCTCATTTCGAGTGCTCTGGCCCAGCAGTCCGTGGCTGCTGCCGCTGTTGCCACTACTGCTGGTGGCATCAACAATCTCGGAAACAGGACTATCTACCTCGGTAATATTCACCCCGAGACTACCATCGAGGAGATCTGCAATGTCGTGCGAGGTGGTCTGTTGCACCACATTCGGTACATCCCCGACAAGCACATCTGCTTCGTCACATTCATCGACCCCACCGCGGCCGCTTCTTTCTACGCTCTGAGCAACATTCAAGGTCTCATGATCCACAACCGGCGATTGAAGATTGGCTGGGGCAAGCACTCCGGTGCTCTGCCCCCAGCTATTGCCTTGGCTGTTAGCGGCGGTGCATCGCGAAATGTATACATCGGCAACCTGGACGAAAGCTGGACCGAGGAGAGGCTGAGACAAGACTTCTCCGAGTATGGCGAGATTGAGTTGGTCAACGCCTTGCGGGAGAAGAGTTGCGCATTTGTCAACTTTACCAACATCGCCAATGCCATCAAGGCTATCGAGGCTGTGCGCAGCAAGGACGAGTACAGGAAGTTCAAGGTCAACTTTGGCAAGGATCGATGCGGCAACCCACCACGCCAGCTCCAGCAGCAGCAGCAGCAGCAGCAGGCTCAATCCCCTCGCAATGAAGTTCCCTCGCCGCAGGGCCAGGGTGGACAGGGTGGATCCCCAACCAACGGTCAACCGGGCCTGTTCGCGCAGAGCAACCCGCTCACTATTTACCTGAACCAGGTCTCCCAGCAGGCCCAGCACCAGCAGCAGCAGCAAAACCAAGCTCTTGCTGCGCAGCAGGCTGTCCTCTTCGGCACCGCTTCCTCGTCGCCAAACGAACTTTCTCTTCAAATTCCTGAGGGCCCAGTTTCCGGGCATGGTCAGTCTGCGAGCATCTCGAACGGTTATGCAAACCAGAACCCTGGCTCTGGACCAACGACTATCGGCGGTCTGCTCGCTCCCAACACACGTGGTCAACACAGCCGAGCTGTGAGTTTGCCGGTCCTGGCCCCAGGCTTTGAGAATGGCGGCAACAGCCCACACAGCTACGGCGGTGCTGGTGCCAGTGCTGGAGGTGATGACGGTGGCCGACGCGGTCACCAATACCAATCCAGCTTCGGTGGTTACGGCCTCGCCATTCAAGGTGGTCTCAACGGTTGGGTTGAGGAAGAGGTGGCGAATTAAGAACACGTCTTGAAAAGATCCAATATTCATTTTTTAATGTTCGGCTGATTATGGACTTCAAGTAAGGCTTCTGCGTTATTGAAAGGGTTTCCACTTTGCTATCTCTTATAATCACCACATTCCTGTGTACGATTTTGCTGGCGGTGGCTTCTTCCGCATCGTCGCACTTTTCTTTTTGCTTACGTGCACGAGGACAAGAAATTGGTGGGCATAATAAGGTCCGTGGCTTCTGCTGATTGCCAAAGCAAGGATTGGAGGACATTGGTCCGTGGAAACGGGGAAGAGATTTGACGAGGGCATAGCGACTTTGAGGAGTCGAGCGAGGACTCAAGAGCATCGAAGATAATGAACTGGAGGAGGGAAGCAGTGAGAACGCATGGAATGACCCTAAGGGGCGGCCAGCACGCATACGTATCTCGGTACATTGCGGCCGTACGGATGAGACGAAAGGCACGCACGCAGAACGCACTTTACGTACGGTACTTGCATTATGTTCGCTCTGTATAGCAAGGAAATGGCTTGTACGTATGTAAGGATAGGAGTCAACGGAAAGCATGGAATGGATATGAAATTGGCATCAAATGCATCTCGCCAAATTGACCAATTTATATGTGTGAAGTGTCAATGATGTTGGCTTCTGCTTGGAGCATCCCTCACAAATCACGTCAACTCCAGCAAGAGGTGAAGTGAGAAAGCGAATGGCAGCTCTGTTTTGGGGGTGGGTTTTACATAGCCCGTAACTACGTCGAAGGCCGATTGCCAACATTTGCTACGTTTCGTTTTCAGATATTTCCAAGCATGCTGACTTTGAAGAGTGAGAGAAAATATCAAATGCTGTTCAATTTAAATATTTACAAATTCAGTTTCTTTATATGCCCATGCAGGGTCAGCTTGAGGACTGTATGCTAGCTGATCAACCTGTACCCAGAACGCCGTTCCCAGTGCACGCCCGGCTGTCAATTCAATCCCCTGTTCGGGGCCCCCCCCCCTTCATTTCCCTGAAATTCCCAATTCTAGCCACAAACTGGCTGCAAAACAACACAACTCCGACCCAAGCCTCTTCTCGAGATGGGTCCTGCCACTAAATCTCATCTTCTGCCAGCTTCCCCCAGCCCTTGCAGAACCCGAACCAGCCCTTCTTGGTGCAGTGCGACTGGGTCGGCAGCACCGAGGTGGACGTCGAGGTCGGGGTCGGCGTTGCAGTTGGCCTTGGAGTGATCGGCCTTGTGGTCGTCACGGACGGCCCGGTGACTGTGGGCTCTGATGTGGCCGCGGTGGTTGATCCCGTCGTTGTGGTGGTATCCCAGCAGCCCCAGAAGTGACCAGGCGTCTCGCACGTGGTGGTGGTGTTAGTGCTCGTGGTGCTCGTGGTGCTCGACGATGAAGACGTAGTGGTGGTGGTGGTTGGTGTGGTCTTGTCGTTGCATCCGAACCAGCCGGGCGTCTTGCAAGTCGAAGTGGATGACGTGCTCGTGGTCGTCGTGGTCGTGGCCGTGCCGGTCGTGGTCTCGTCCAAGCACCCCCACCAACCAGGCGTCTTGCAGGTCTCCGTCCTTGTTCTGGTCTTGGTGGTGGAAGACGAGCTCGAGGTAGTTGTCGTCTCGGTGCCGTTGCTCTCGTACATCTTCCAGTTCGCGCAGTCTCGACACTCGGGCGTGAACTTGCATTCGGCCACCTCATCATACTTGAGGATAACGTCGTTGATGACCGACCGAATCTTATGCGTGCCGATGCCAACGCGCCAGCCCTTGTCGGCCACGACGTCGTAAACACACTCGCGGCCAGTGTGACATGCGGATTCCAGAGCGTATCCACCGTAAGAGCATGATGCGGTCGCGCCGTTGCATGTCCCGATGTACACCGGGTCTGCGGTATGGCCGAAATGGTAGGCGCCGGTGTATTCTCGTGTTTGAGGGTTGCTTGGGTCGGCACCGGGTGGGACCGGGAGGCCGAGTCGGCCGGCCGGGAGGGCGTCAGGGACGGCCTCGAATGTGACTACGGGCAGGCCATATGTGAGGCCGAGCATGGCACTGACAGCACCTCCCAGGGAGTGACCTGTCATCCAGATGTTGGAGTCTGGGTAGAGTGCTGTGACGTTTGAGTATAGTTCCCTCGCCGCCCCGTAGTACCTGCTTTCATTCCTCAGTGCCTGCACCACGCAGGTGTTGTTGCACGAGTAAGTGCCTGTCGCACAGTCGCAGACTTGATGCCAAAGCCAAGGCCCTTGCTGAGCACAGCAACAACTGAAGAACAGATTGTCGTTGACCTTGTCATTGGTGGTGGTGCCCTCTCCGTCAAAGATAGCCATCGACGTGCCCTTCAATCCTATGACGACGGTCGAGTTTGTCTCGTCGGCAAAGATGTGGCCCCGGAGCCCATCAGTCTCCCATCCAAAGTCAGCGGACCTATTGAAGGGTTCGCCAACGTCTGTCCATTCGATATTATCAGGAGTTTCGACATAGGCGTTTGCAGCCATGTAGGCAAGACTGACGATGGTGTCCCTGTCGGTGATGTTGGGGCCGGGGATGTCATCAACAGTCCAGGCGTCTGGCGATAAGACCGAGACGTAGCCATTCTGCCGCGATAGGGCTACCATAGGATCTATGACACTGGGACGTCTGTCGACTAATCTCTGGATCCTGGTGGCGTCGCTTCGTGCTCGTAATGGTGGCAGCCGCACTTCGGGATGGTCGTCCTCGGCAGCCAGCCATACTTCCTGATCTGTGTGTATCACATCTTGCTTCCTGTGCAGGGTCGGGTGCCTGTGTGTGCCGTGATGGTAGACATGTCTCAGAGTCTGGACAAAGACACGAGTCAATACCGATGCCGCTGGTTGTTATTATTGATGGAGATGGCAAGTAGCGCGGGACTTACAAAGGTGTGCTCTGCGGGAACTGGGGGCTCAGGGGCGGGATGGAAGAAGTCAGGATGTAGTTGCAAGACTGACTGGTCGTCTGCCCTGGGGTGACTGGCAGCGTGGGTGGATGGAGAGAAGGCGAGGAATGATAAGAGGAGATGGGCGGTAACTCTGCCAGCAGAGGTGCACGTATCACCGCCCGTGGCCCTGCGCCGGAGGATCATGTTGATGATGTGCAGAACGGCAGAAAGATAGTGAGTCTCCGAGCAGCGTAGTGAGGACAGAAAGAGCAGTGCAAGTGTGGGATGTAGGGATGTAGATATTGGTGGCCGTCAGGGAGACGATGTCGGAGGCCAGTGAGTGAATGAGACGGACTGCGAGAGAGGATGAGCCGCGGGTCGTCTGCCTGCAGACAGGAGGCACATGAACTGTATGGATGACGACGTCAAGCCAGCAGGGATGGAGAGAGTAGACTACCAGACTACCCGGATAGCCTATGTCCCAGCGTATGAATGTATGGGCTTATCTTGGGCACATGGCCGGTTGCGTTATCAGCCGCTAGGGGGGGACATCATCCTGGCATGTGACCCTGAACGATGATCTCCTCCCCCCCAAAGCGCAGGCAAGCATCGCAACGGCTGACTGACCCAGGTACGCTACCACGTGTGAGGGGAAGGACGCGGGCGAGAAGAACAAGAAAGGGGAAGAATGCAACTCGATGACTTGCATACGGGAGTCCAAAGGCTCCAAAAGCCATGACGGCGCATCAGAGCACAGCCCAGAGCAGAGTCACAGAGCATGACATGTTATGTTCGGCATAATACTGTGCTGTACTGCCCTGCTGGCAGATGAGAGGAGAGAGTGCTTTGAGACGAGCATCTCGCATCGTCGAAGGCACCAGGAGATCGCAATCATTCATGGGGTGGCTTGACAGCTGCAGCTCCGTCGTGGCTAGCGCAACAGACAGCCCGGCAGGGGTCCACCAGATGCTACGTCTTCCCTTGCCTGTTGCCCCACGCCGTAATGCACGTCCAGGTACAAGCAGCGAGTTGCCTGCCTGTTGAGTGGAAGGGCCGGGAGCTTGAGGCTTGAGCTCGCTCCAATCAAGGTACGGTACTGTACTGTACTACTAGACTACTGACAATCACCTCCCCCATGATACCGAATACCTCATGTGCCAACACTGACACTGGCCACCCTGCTCCTCCACCTCTCCTGGCCGTTTTGTTTCTTCAGGTCCAGACAGGCCGCCTGCTTACTCGACTCGACGACTCGCTGCGATCGAACGAGCCAGCTTCGTGCCCGCCCGCTCATGACCGTTTCGGCCTCGTGGACGGCGTAGCTGGCTGGTGACGGCCTGGCCTTGTTTCTTGCCGCCCGCCCCTATCCGTCCTCTGGTTTCAACCACCGCCTTGGTGTTTTATGCGCCTCGCCTAACAACTCACCTCGCCTCGCCCCGACTCGGATGCATATACTGCATAGCATACTGCGTCCCCTATATCCCGTCGTGTCCCGCATATCCGTGCATTCGTCATACCGCCCTCCAGTATGTCATGTCTATCATGTCTTCAGGGTCTAATTAACCATCTTCCTTGCCCGGCCCTTCATCTATCTACCTAGCCAGCCTTCAATTTCCAACCTCCAGCTTCCACTCTCCATTCTCAAGCCTCCGACGCGCTTGCTAACCGCTAGCCATGTTTTCCAGCTTCACAGTCACTCTTGCAGGAAAAGTGATGCCCGCCCCGAACCCCAGGCCCAATCCCTTGAGGACAACCAAGTCCTTCACTCGCGCCGAGAACAATGATCCGCTCTCAGTCGCTCGCCCTAAGAGGGCCAGCACTATCCAGAATGGCGTTCTCCCCAAGATAACCACCACCGGTATCTCCTCTCAGATCGTTGAGGAACCCGAGAGCGCTAGCACCGATGCCTTCGAGCAATCACACCATGACGACGAGCCTCCTGAGCAACCGCGGACGTCGGTTGACCTCGATGACCTGCCCATCGAGTTGATCAGCCTGACGGACAATTTCATAGAGTCCTTGTCCGCCAAAAACCGGCCCACGCCCCCCAATATCGACGACATCTCCCACATGTTCCAGGACTTCTACCACCAAGCCGCCCGACACATAGACACACACATCTCTGCACTGCTGATGAGACACAATCGCGGCTCTTCTCCCGCGCCATCTAACTCCTCCAGAGCGTCCGCTACGAGTTTACTACGGGCCAAAGCAGCTGCGATCGGCAACAAGGATAGGAAGGCTGGAACTCCAAAGTCAGAGCAGCCGGAACAGCAATTGATCACGGCAGAGGAGCTGGCACAGCGCAAGAAGGCAAGGAAGGCCCTCGAGCAGCAACGCGGGACCTTGGAAGAAGCCGTTGAGAGGCGACTCTGTGAGGGAATCTATGCCAAAATATATCGACACCGGACAACACAGGATGAGGCTGCAGACGATGTCCTCCGCTCCAAGACGGCAGCCTTGGCTGTCGTCGGGATCGGCCTAAGCGACCTGGGAGTCCAGCTGACGGAGTCTGGTGAGCCGCCAGAGGCCCAGGCCCAGAAGGCGGAAGAGGTGCGGAAGTGGCTCGACGGAGCCAGGAAAGAGCTCATAGCCATGAACGAGAGTCGCTACCCCCTGGGCAAGCTCAACCACCTGAAGCAGGCACACAAGAGTATTGTGGATACGTTGTCAAATTTCCACCCATCATCTTCGGCTGACGAGATTATGCCCATGCTCATTTACACTTTGATTACCCTGCCACCCGAGAACATGAATGTCACAAGCGACCTGAGATTCATTGAACGATTCCGATGGGAACCCAAGCTCGTCGGGGAGGCAGCCTATTGCTTGACAAATTTAGAGGCAGCAATCGGATTCCTGGAAACGGTCGATTTGTCGACTTTGCGGTCAGATGAGGCTCCCTCAGGACCAGTAAAACCTTCCAGCCGGCCAGGTACGCCTAGGGCTGAGACCTTCCCACCCGCCTACTCGCCAGGGCTGTCTACTGCGAGTACCGCAGTAGAGCAGGTTGATGGAAATGATGCCAGCGGTCTTCTAAAACCCACCGCGTCACAAGCCTCGAAGCTCAGGGAAGCCCAGCAGCGAAACCGCCGGTTTAGTGACCTGGTGAATACGCCAGCACAGGCTTTTGGTGCGGCGAGCGACGCCATGCGCAACACGGCAGATGCAGGGCTGAAGACAATCGGCAACAGCTTGGGAGACAGCTACAAGTTCTTCATAGGTAGACTTCGGGAGCCCGCCGGCGCAGGCGAAGAAGTCGCTGCTCCGAAAACCCTTGAGGATGCCCGAAAACTGATCGGCACTCCTCCTCTCGAAGACGATACATCAACCACCAGTTCTTTGTTGAATCCCGACGACACGGAGAACAAACGGCCACATCCTAGGGACGACAAGATGCTGAATCTTATCAGCGGGCGCAAACCATCGTCCGTGCGGGAGCACAGTGCAGATAGCTCCAGAAGTGCCGGCAGCTCGACTAAAAGACTATCCGCAGTCTTTGGGGATGACAAGGACAAACAGACGCCAACAAGTGCAACCCCCACAGCAGCCAACGCCAACCCGGCCATCATGGACTCGATGCGAAACCTCGGTAACTCACTGAATCCCATGGCCAAGCTGGCAGGGGGGATTGGGTCATTCCGGGCTTTTGCGAGGACTCCGTCACAACCCGTCACACCGCAGGTGCCACCTAAGGCGGGAGCTGCTGAGGGGGGTGACTTGGCTACGGTGAGTAATCGTCCCCGTCTCGCCTCCTTTATATAGACAGAACAAGGAATAAGAATGGAGCTGACGAGAGTATATGGACAGGCTTTCCCTGACTTAGCAGCAACCCTACCTCCCAAGGAGACACCCAAGATCAATCCGCCAAACAAGCGGTTCATGGAGATGCAGAACCCTTCTGACTTACGGATCGGCGAGGTGCTCGAGCTGCTCCGAGACTACAGGAGGTTGGCAGGCGCGTTGAATGAGATGGGGGCGTTCAAGGAGTGAAGTCCTCCTGTCTTCCAATTTTCAAAAACACATAGAGCGTTCAAACAAGGGTCGGGTGACTTTATTCTTTTCTTGATTTCCACAGGTCGCACTTGGGGACAAAATAGACTGGAACTGGCAAGACGGTTTGGGGCCCGGGGCGGGCTTTACAGGCGTATCTGATTTTACTACAGCATGGGCCGGACGTTTGGAGAAAGCTGATTTTCTAGCATGTGGATACACTCATTCAGTCACTGGGCCATTTGCTCATGTCGAGCCAGGCAAATCTTGGTACAGAAGAAAATATATACATCAACTTGGTTGGAATCTTGTGGCGATCGTTCGTCCTTGCGTGTTTTTGAATATCGGTTCTTTTTTTCTCTACGGAAGCTACGCACGTATTTCTGCAGATATCAACACTATTCCCTCTGGTACCAGACCACGTAATGTTGGGGGGTGTGAATGAGCAATACATAGTGGACCGAACCTGGAGGGCGCCATCTCGAACATATGCCCCAAGCGCCCAACGAGCAAAACAAACAGCGATACTGGCCCCTTGGTGTCGTCCCATTCTTGAGGCGTCTGTCTGTCTGTTTCCGTCCCATTTCCGCGGCTGACAGTCAGCCAGCAGTGATATGTATCTGTCGTGAGCTGGGCAATGATGTCCCGTTGGACAAGCACACCCCGCCCTATATACTAAGATTATGTAGTGTTGATCGTGGTGGTGATGGTGATGATGCGCGCAAAAAGCGATTGTCAAGACAAAGAGAACAATGGATTTCGTTCGCTTGGGCATGCAGATTTAGTCTCGTCGAAGCCCGGAACGCCCTTTACACCGTCCCGCTGTCCCCCCCTTGCCCCAGTCACGAATTTGATTCGATTTGATACGTTATGTTACGGTGTATGCATGCATGTTACGACCTCAGAACCGAGGCAACTTTTCTGGTCCCGGCGTGACGGAATCAGTGACCGCCGTTGGACTTCGCAGGGCTCTTCGGGCTGCCGCTCGCGTTGGAGCCGTTGGTCCTCTCCGACAGTGGGCCGCCGCTCTTGGTCGGGCTGGACCTGCCCGAGGCCGACCCGGCCCCAAATGCGGCGGCGCGCTCGTCCGAGATCATCTTCTCCATGAAGGCAATGTAGTCGTACTGCGGTTGGCCGCGGTCCGACTGCATGTCTGGCCCCTTGTGCGGCGGGATCATCTCGATGAGCTTCTCGATGACCTCGTCCGGCACCAGCGAGTGCCGCAGGTCCATCTCCGTGACGTATGGCTTGCCGTCTGCGACCTCACGGAATGACTGGAACACCTGCTCGGCTGTGTTCTGGTCCTCGGTCACGTCCACCATGAAGCGGATGAACTGCTCGAAGCTGACGCGGTCGCGTCCATCGGACGCCTCCTCGAAGTAGTCGTGCATCTCGTCTTCGGAGAAGACCAGTCCCAAGGACGCGAGCGCTGCGCTGAACTCGATTTCTGCCAAATTGTTGGAGTCGTCGCGGTCGAAATGCTTGAATACCGACTCGAACTCCTCGAGTTGGATCGGCGTGAGGTTGGTCATGCTGCGCGCGACCATCTGGTTGTCCAGGAAGGACAGCTTTTTGGACACGGACGTCTTGACCAGGGACAGCTCGTAGCAGAGCTCGTCATAGGTGTAGGTTGTGAAGTCGTTCTCCTCGATATTCGCCTCTTCACACTTGGCGTCAACCTCAGCGATCTTCTGGAGGTAGGCGTCCAAAGGAGGGAGGTTATCGCTAAGCTTGCGGACGTGGTGCAGTTGGTCTTCCACATCACCTTCCAGCCCTGATATGGCCAGTTGCATCGTGTTGAGGGCCATGGCAAAGTCGTTTGCTTTGTCTGCGAATGATTTGCGTAGAGCATTTTTGATGCTGGTTTCTTTGATTAGCATGGGTGCGTACGGTTGGTCAGCTGGGCCCAAGACTTACTCTCGGATGGTCTCATTTATCAGTTGACCCCTGGCCATCTCTGCACTCGAAAGCCTTGTCCACTCTTTGTCCAAGGTCTCTAAGCTCAGCTCCACTGGTGGATCGTATGGCCTCAGGCGGTATGTGCCAAGTTTAGTCTTGATGTTGCCGAGTAACGTCGCCAATTCGCTCTTCTCTGCAACCCATTCCCTCTTCTCCCCTCTTTTGTAAGCCGAAAACTGTGTTGCCTGTGCTTTTGCATCTGCGTAGGTTCCCTCAAACTTTGCAGTCTGCCAGCTTTCAACCTGTTCTCGAATGGCCTTGAGCAGGGCCCTCATCCGTCTTTCGTAGGCGCTTTGCATCTCCCACGCGCCTTGCATGTTGTTCACAAACTTCTCCACTCGTCGACCAGCGTTCTCAACCTTCTCCATTTGCGAGAAAGCGTGGAACCAGTAAGCGATATAAGTCATCAAACTTCGCTCGTCAGGCTTCGGCACGTCGGCAACATCTTCAACATCCAGCAGCTTGGGGATGCCGATCTCCTTATGGGCGATGTCGAATGCAAGCTGCATGTTACCCTTGTGGTCTGACTTGTCGAGTTGGTCATAGTCGATCAAGTCGGGTCTGTGGATGTCCAAGAGCGCACAGAAGGCCAGACCATCGTTCCAGCTCGCACTGAAATCCCGGACATCGCATTCCTCGTAACACGCCGTCTTCCGTTGACACCACAGCAAGAGACCTTCCTTTGCCGTCATGCCCTCCTCGTTAATGTCACTGATCGTAAATCGTAAAATGAGCGTCCATATCAGGCCGAGTATGATCTTCCTGTTTCCGTCGACCACATCCTCGGCACCCATGTTCACCATCTGGATTCCCCTCGACTTGACAAAGTCCAGACCGAGGTTCACATTTTCGAAACGCTGCACCCTGAGCTTCGGCTTCGCGGCGTAACGACCCAGAGACTCCTGAGACAAACATTCTAACAAGTGGATGAGGATGACCTATAGGTGAGGGACGTGTTAGCCATCAAATGCACGAAGTAGTGGATCAGGTGACAGGTTCAAGGGACAAGACATACACCGTCGCTCAGGTCCTTGACCAGGTCCTTAACCTCCAGGCCCCTGACGTCTATCTTCGTGTTGAGCCATTTGGTAAAGGTCTTTTGCTGGACGGTGATCCAGTGCTGCTGCTCAGCAAAGGCCATCTTGGTTAGGAGCTTCTCATGAGGCGGCGCGCCTGGTTCGGTGGCAGCGAGGGCAGCCTGCTTAGATCCGGGGTTGGTGCCTTTTCGAAAGCGGCGGGCGCTTCCAGCTCTTCGGCGGAGGCGAACAGATGGGTCGTCGGGGTCGCGGTCGTCCTTGTGGTCGGCGGCAGGGTCGCTGGCCAAGCTCTGGGAGGCGGCGCGTTTCTGGAGGCGGGCAGCATGCAATTGTTTGGCGTTCTCGCGGCTCCGAGTCAGCGGTCGCTGCGGGGAATTCGCTTGTGATTGTGGGTCGCAAGAACGGGAAGAGGGCGACGAGGTGACGGAGGGGTGCGGGTGTTGTTGATATTGACTTTGGCTTGGAGCTGTGGCGGCGGAGGAGACACTGCTGACTGTGGATCTTCTCGAGTCGTAGCTGCTAAAAGTGTCCGAAAGACAGTCGGAAGCCGTGGAGATTAGCGATGGCGGCCTCTCATAGCCTGGATCGAAAGATGGCGGCGTCGCATTGGTTGTTGTCGACGCCTCGTGTTCCCCGCCTGGTAAATAATACAGCGTGTTGCCGGAGGGACCCACTGCTCCCCCGTCTTGGGCCTGCATTTTGTCGGTAGTGGCGCTAACTGACAGGCCGTCCTAGGCCCTTTTAGGAGTCGCTTTTATTTGCTGTCCCTGTCCCCAATCAAACGACTCGGCCGTACGCAGCAACGACGAAATGAGCACCGGCGACTGGAGATTTGAAAGTCGAGGGAGGCTATTCACACAAGGTCTGGAATTGTGGTATGGTATGATATGATATGATACGACCAACTGCACTGGACTGGTCTGGTCTGGTCTGAAATGGTGTGCACAAATCGGTCATCGACCAAGCCGCGCCAAAACACCATCGCAGGGGCGGGCTGCCTCGACCCTTTTTACATGCTCATGCTCTCGCCCAAGACCGTGGAATGCTTCTCCGATCTCTCCCAGGTTGTGGCTTCTTAGTCCAGACGAAATAGGGGCCGGCCTATTCCCTCTTGGTGTTCTGGGCTGCTCCAAGTTATCTGAAACCATGCCTACTCGACGACGTCCTCATCCCACCTTCTCGGGAGCAAATCACAGCGCCCGGCAGTCTACCACACCTGCGCACCTCGGCGCCGCCCCTTTCCCCAGGCTCCACGCCTGTTTATGCAAATCGCCCGCCCAAGCATGGTGCATCCAGGCACACAAGGCAATCACCACATCCGAGACGTGAGCTTGCGGCCGACATCCCAACGGCCTCCTTCTATTTGCGGAAGCGCCACCACCACCACCGCTGCCTCTCCCGCTGCCGCTGCCTCATCCGGTAGCCTCATACGCGCGAGAGCGCATGATGTTGCAAAGTACCGCCAGGACCCTTCCATCAACCCCCCCTGGACATGTTCCCGGGCAGCACTCAATTCGAGGAGCCTGCCAGGCAGGCTGAGGTGGGCTGCGACAATATACGCAAGACAGTCTTGCTCAGCCTCCCAGTACTGTAATCATGAGCCATGGGATCACCTCATCTGGAGTAGCCACGAGTCCGGGTTGAGTCCAGAGTGGCCACTTTGCGCATACCGCGGGTAGCTTGACTTCGGACGAGGGCCATCCGGCGAAGAACCACGGACCTGACCGGGAGCGGCACGGAGAAACCATACTGGCAACTAGCTAGATGACACCCACACCGAATGCCTATTGATGTAATAGACAAACCTCTAGAAACTAACCCCCCCCCCCCCGAGGGCGAGACACACATGCGGAAACTAGGTACGGAGCATTTTCCTAGTAAAGAAAAAGATAGGCCCGTGAAGTGCCATCACTACTGTGGGAGTATTCCTGCCCTGGTCGAACGAGTCGACTGATGTCACACTAGTTGCTTCCTCTGCAGCTCACATCACAGAGTTCCTTTTCCATCGGCAATGATGTTACGGGTGGTGTGGCGTAAGCGTTTCGATGCTAGGTCACGGGAGTGGCCGCTTCGATAACTACTTACTGTCGATGACGGGTGCGGTTTCAGACTGGGCAGCACCCAGATGCTGCCTGTGCCTGATACAAGTGCTCGCTGAAATCTACTCTGAGACTTTGAAAATGGAATTCCAGGTGCTGATAAATTCGCAGGCTCATAGTGGACGGTACTAATACTGGATTGTCCAAAAACTGGTATTACTTCTGCGCTTACAGGCCTGCCTAGGCACATTGTTTGATCGCCAGCTACTGTCAACTGAAGCTAAAAGCTTGTATCTGAGATGTGGACGAACGAGTGTTCTCGCATCGTCCGAAGAGCTACCTGCCGAGCGAAGATCTGATCACCTCAGTGACGTTCATCAGCTGCTCGGACAGAAGATCCCCAATGAATACTCCGGTGTTGCTTTTTAAATCAGATGGGCGTAACCTAGTCATTGCTGCCCATAAGTGCTCATACAGCTACCGCAGTGCTATTGCTTCCCTTTGCTGGCTAGCGGCTATGCCTCTGGAGCGATGAGCTTATGTTGACAACAGGCACCGTCCGCTCGGCTGACAGCTTCGGACGTCCGGGACGCATCTGCCAATTTTACACTATATCACGGGAAGATATCACTCTGGAAATCTTTAGAGAGAGGCACCCACACGGACACACATCCACACACATTTATCCGAATCCAGTCCGCAGTATGCAGGCCAATTCATTCCCAGCACAACTCAACATCCGGCAAGGCGGAAGATTCGGGAGAGGGGGGGGTTGAAAGCCCCCAGTGGTTTCGTCCTCAAATCCTGCCGGCTGTCAGCAACCCCCTGTTCACGCTGGCCTGATGGGCGGGCAGTCCAGCCGTGTTAGCAAGAGGAGGTTTTGAGCTTCACATTCCCGCCTTAACGGATTTTGTTTGCCCCATCCACGAAATGGTGGGCTGGGCAGTCTGGTCGGTCCATCCAAGTTAGCACTTCTGGGTTGACGTCGGGTATGGTAAGAAGCTTTCGGTCCGTGAGACTGATGCGGACCGAGTCCATGTGCCGGGCAATGAAACGGTGAGCAGCATTGCTAGCCGGACTCGTCTCTCGTCAGATGCGTCATCCGACGCAAGAGACCAGTGGGAGGGAGGAGAGACTGTGGCTCCTTCGAACCAGCGGAACGTGTTTCGCGATGCTGGGGACAGGGTGAGACCATACAGGCGCTTCTGTATACCGCGTCTGTCTACGAGACGATGTCATAACTGCATACGACGTTGCTATGTGTACGGCAGGCGCTCCCACAGTTTCAAGCACAGTGTACTTGGCTGGCATATATTACACGGCTGCCAGCAGGTCGATCTTATAGACCGACTCCGAAGTCGACGGGATGGATTGCATCCCCCAGCATTTGCTCGACTGCATTATCAGTGGCATTCGTGCATGGTCTGACTGGCTCCGAAAGTCGACGGGATTTATAACATCCCGCAGCCTTTGGTCGACTGCATCATCAATGGACGTCGTGTATCCGACTGGCTTGCAGATACGGTCGGCGATTTTGGTGATCTCGGTCAAACTCAGATTTAGATTGACATCCATGGGCACCCCAGATCACGAGATGCCATCACTACACGAAAGAAGCCGTGTAACGCTTTAAAAGGCCCATAACTCGTGTTTCCAATCGGGGAACCATTCTTGGACCCCATCTAGCCATGTGCTACCCGCCATTGGAATGATATGTGTCTGTGCTGACAGGCCTGTGGCTGCTTACCCTCGATGAGGACGTCTTAATCTATGGAGACGAACCAGGACGAGATGCCGACCGGTCTCGGGGCCATGAATCAGCCCAAAGGAATGGGAAATGCCTGCCAGAATGCCCCGCCATTGATGGATTCCGAGGGGCTGTCATCTCAAGCGTGCTTATTTCTGTGCCAAGAGGTTTAAAACCTGTATTTACTGTCGTAGTCCAATATCAACCACCAAACGAGGTGCCTCCCCAGAGGCGCCAGCCTCCCAGGGACAGCTGGGTGTTCGCCGTTTAGCGCCAACGGTCATGTCGAGTATGCATAGAAGCCCGACAAGCAGGTGGACTACATGTATGCAGGCTGACGGGCTAATGCATGGAGTACTGCATGGAACACAACCGTGGCCCCGGCAGGAAGCGAACCACACACCATCGAGCCCTGCTCAGCCTTGCTCGCCCCCTCTCAATACCTCGGCTTGCTTCCCGCAATAAGGGCTCTGAATAGGCAGCAAAATTAAGCCCAGAGCCCCAGCGGCCGCTAATCCATTCCCCGTCTAGCACCTCAATTTTGACGGCGTCGTGATGGGGCGCAGGGACCTTGCTGGGCTGCGGCTTGACGTGATGTAGTCTTGACTATGTATGTGGGCAGAATTGTAGTCAAGGGTACTTGTGTTGGCAGCATGGTGCGATCGACGACACCCCGGCCGTGGGTGATCAACGGGTGGGCGCCAACTTGACGACGTGGTCGTGGAAGCGCGAAGGAGAAAAGAATGGCTGTCTCCAGCGCATCGCAGTAGTCTGGCTAGTATGCCGGTGAGGTCTAGGCAGCAGGATAATGACCAATGTCAACAGTCGGGGTGGAAAGTGCCACGTTGGGATTGTAACAGGATTGACGTGCAGTCAATGGCTTGCATTTTACTTTACCACGCGCATATTCCTCATGTCTCTTTTGGCTTTGTACAACACCACAGACGCGCTGAAAGCAAGATTTAGTGTTAGTAGAAGTACTTGGGTACTGAGAATCATCCGCTCTGTACCTCTGAGCACCGAGATCGAGATATGTGCTCCGCCCTATGAGCCCGAATGCTTGGCTCTTACAGGTACCAGAGTGAACAGTAAGGTGATCAAACTTTCTTCGCCTTTAGCTCGATATAATCTGATGAATGTCATCTCTTCGGGAACTAAGCAGAACTCAGCAGTACCACGCGTAGATGCACTCGGTCTATACATACATAGGCAGTGCTTGTGATGCCCATCCTCAAAATTTCAGCAAACGACTATCGAATGGAAGGAGATTTCGTATGATATCGTAGAATCGTGGGCCCGTGATGATGGTATGCCGTTCTCGCCTACCATTCAGCCAAGTCCATCCAATCTCTTGTCATCATGACACCAGCGATTTCCTGCCCCCTCGAAGCCATTCGTTCTCTAAATGCCCCCAGCCACATCATTTCAAGGGCACCATCGCCGGTCTGGTTGACCAGCCCCGCGTAGAACGTCTCGACAACTTTTACGGGAAAGGCCAGCGTGTCCGGCTGCGTCGTGCCCGCCAGGAGATTATCTAGGGCTCTGCAGACATTAACAGCCATTTCCCTCACCTTGAAAGGGCTATAGCTGTCCGGATCGATGGTGAGATGCGGCGGCAGGTCGGGGAAGGTTTGAGGGTAAGCGTCGACCACGGGCGAGAAGATGCTGTGGACGAGTGTCCCCAGGCATGGTACAAAGAGGACCTGGAGGGCCCAGTAGTATGTGAATAAGAGCGAGGTCAGTGAGTCCTGGAAGGAGAAGGGCTCGGGAAACGGAATCTGGGCTTCTTGACCCTGGGAAATCCAAAAACGAGGCCGACGAGGGTCGAATGCTGCGGCGTACCATTGCTCCAGCTGGGCTTGCATGCTGAGAAAGTTTCCAAGCAGGTCTTGGGCCATATGCCTGCGAGCCAGTGTTGGATCGAGTGTTGTTATATGGTCGAGCTGCTGCAACAGGGATGTGATTTGAGCCATGATATCGAGGAGGCGGTCAAACGAACTTTTGTGGTGCTGCTCAAAGGGAAGTGAAATCCACTCTCGTTCGGCACAGAACGTGCCTGTCCTGTTCAACAGGGCTGTTGTGACAGCGCTTGGTCGGAAGACTCGGGCAAAAAAGTGATGCGAAGGGAACCTTTGGAAGTATGCTGGACCAAGCTGTCTGACTCCGTTCGCTTGTGTTGCAGGATCCTGAAAGCTGGTGGGCGTGAGAGGCGAATTGTGTTCGAACAGGAAAAGCAACACGTTGTCCCCTGCTGCTGAGCCCGGCTCTTCCTTCGCTGGCGAGATGCTTACAAGGCATTGAGAGTGCAACTCAAAATCTGTGTCCTCAAATGTAGGTCGGATGTCGATAGCACTCGTCGGTGCTACAAATATTGATGTTGTTTCACCGCTATCCCCAAAGTTACTTCGGGCCACAGTTCTCAGTGGGACGTGGATAGCAGCAATTTGGAGTCGACGAGTGGTTTTGGACCTCGCAACATGGAGCTGGTCGAGCCAGGCAGGAAATAGAGGTTTCGTAGGGACCAACTCCGTTGCCCTATCCTCACTGTTGCTCGCCGAGGTGCTCGCCGGGGACGGGGATTTCTTGGGACTCTTCACATTACGGGGTGGGTGGCTGCTGCACCGTCCCTTGTCCTCGACTGTCCCGACGATGAAGACCGTCTCGCGTTCTTAAAGGAGGAGTCAGCCATGATTACTCGAGAAGCCGGGTGACAAGAAATCTAAGGGAGGAGATAGGGGCAATGTAGCGACGCACGGTATCCCAAGCACTCACGCCCTGAATCTATACATTTGCGGCAGAGTGGACGTTCGTTATCACACTATACGGCAAGGATGTTAGCTGACGAAGGAATGGTGTTTTTATCATCAATACACACACCTTAATTCTTCGGCTTCTGCACGTGTTGCAGCCTTTGTACTTTCCTGGCACGCCGACCATTCTGTGTGGTTATATCATGAGGCAAGACGCCAAGTCAACTGGGGATAATAACATGTAGAGGCAGGAGATTGTTGGGAAAGATTTAATGATATGAGTAGCGTAATCCTTTGGGGCGACGGGACAGAAGAGTATTTGAGCATCGGTATAAAAGCACGGGAAATGGTGCTGTGGGGGCTAAGGTTTGTCACCTCGTTCTTGCATAGCACATGGCCGCTCTGTGATGCATTTCGACTGAAGATCTACTGCCTCTTTACGGCATCTGAATTCCATATATTGTCTTACTGAAAAAGCAAAAGAAGGATGAATCAGAATGAATCAGGAAAGAAGGGTCGTCATACAAAGACATGTCGCCACTAGCAACATCTAAGAGAACGAAGTAAAGTGAAGTTGGACCGTCTATCCATTGAAGATCTCCGAGGCTCAGCAGAAGACACGATGAGCCACAATGTGGGACGAGAGCCGCAGGACAGTTCTCAGTCCTGGGATTTGCTGTTGCACAGCCATTCACATATATTGGTCGAGGGAACCGGGGGTCGAAGAAGCGGGCGAAGCCTTTCTTGCTTGAGTATGGCTCGCGTGACGATAGTTCGAGGACCGGCCATCAATCTGCAGGCGTTCCGTGTCTTCGTGTGATATCCCTGCTCGGCGCACTCACCGGATGACAGGGTATGATTGGCGAGGCGGATGTGAAGGATTGTACTCCGTAAGCCCATGTTCGTTGCACTGGGCCATAGGGCTGACAGCGCGTGTAGTTCGCTAGCCGATAGGCCACGGGTGAAGGGTGGTTGTTACACAGGAAAGCCTGGTGCTTTATGACTGGAGGGTCGGATAAGTACCGTTTGACATGACTGCATGGACAGCGATGGAATTCTCATGTCGTCCAAGGGCTTTGGTCCCGTAGAATGCGAGCATGGGCCGATATGATTTGCTTGTGGGGGTTACCAAGGATTCGTATCGCGTCCAATGGGGCAGGTAACGTAAGCGACGATAACCGCAGTGTAAGCTGGCGAAGTATCTCTTTGGAAAGTCCCCGGGGAACTTTGCGCCGAGTGTCGCTCAAACGGAGAAATTACTCACTCCAAAAGTGGTAAAGCCACGGTCAAGGGAGCTTTCGTCAGTAAGCTTATAGTCATGGCGCAAAACGAGTTATTGCACCATCCTTATGTACATCATCCCAGATATGGATCGACAAAATTTATGTATTAGTTCTGTTCTCCTGCCATATAATCTATATGTACTTGTATGGATTCATGATCCCGTTCTGGTGAGCATAGAGGTTAGCAAGTGTATACGAATGTAGGAATAGATGATGTCAGCCAGAAATACGGGGGTCATCAAGGCCTACCGGGTCGTAAAGGTTCTTGATTTGTTTCATCAAACCTATCATGTTGTCGCTGCGGCTGTAGCCGATAAACTTCTTCTTCGCCAGACCGAGACCATGCTCAGCACTGATGCTGCCCTCGTGCTTCTTGATCCATTCGAAAACGTAAGGTTCCAGGATCTTCTCGACTTCCTTGTCGTATCGCCGAACACAAACGTTGAGGTGTAGGTTCGAGTCACCCATGTGCCCGTAACCGACAACGTCGACAACAGGATACTCGTCGGTATCACCGATCAGACCAGCGGCTTGGATTTTCTCTTTGGTATCCTCTACCAACTGATACAGCGACTTCAGGGGTATCGAGACGTCATACTTGTAGACGCCACCGAATGCGCCTGAGCTCTCAGAAATTCCCTCTCGCCAGCCCCAGAGTGACTTTAGCTGCGTCTCGTCCTGCGCCACCACGCCATCCGATACGATTTCTTTGCCCATGACGTCCTCGAGGAAAGCCTCTAGTTTCTCAGTGTCGTGCTCCGCGTTCGAGCCGCTGGTCTCGATTAGGCAATAGAACGGGTAATCACTCTCCAAGGGAAAGTTGTTCTTGGTGACTTTCTTGACAAGCTGCTGGCTCTGAGAGTCCATGAGCTCAAATGCCGAAAGGATCTCAGAAAGCTGCCCCTTCGCTTCGCGGAAGGCTTGCTGGACCTTCTCGTAAGACTCCAGACCAAAGAAGGCAACATTGACTGCCTTTGACCTTTGGGGGCAGTGAATTGAGATTCCAGTGATAATACCAATGGTGCCCTCGGCACCTATGAATAGCTGCTTGATGTCGTATCCGGTGTTGTTCTTCCTGAGCTTGAAAAGGTCATCGACGATAGTGCCGTCGGGTAGCACGGCCTCAACACCAAGCACGCTCCCATGCAAGCTTCCGTAGCGAAGGAGCCGCAGACCTCCAGCATTCGTGGCAACGTTGCCTCCAATGTGGCAAGATCCCTTGGCGGCCAGGTCAAGAGGGAAGATGTAGCCCTTCTCTGCCAGGTAGTTGTCGACGACCTCGAGGACGGCGCCGGCATCGGCTGTGAGAACTCCGCTGACATCGTCAAATGAGCGTACCTTGTTCATCCGGCTCATGTTGATGACAATCTCATCAAATACGGGGACAGATCCTCCAACCAAACCGGTATTGCCACCTTGGGGGACGACGGCCAGCAGGTTGTCGTTGCAGTACTTGAGGACCTTGCTGACCTCCTCGGTCGATCCGGGCTTCAGAACCAGTCTGCAGTGCCCTCGATATTTGCGCATCCAATCCAAGTTGAAGGATTCCAAGTCCTCGGCCGCTGCCTCATTGGTGACGGCGTCAATGACGGCGGCTTCACCACCCAACAGCTCTTTGAAGTAAGCGACATGGTCTGGAGTGAGCTCTGAGAACCTCGAGTCTCTCTTGATTTCTGGATACGAGTCGGTAGTGTATTTTCCGTGCCTTGTAACAGAGGGCCTGAATTGCCTTGCAGCCGTGGTGGTGATGGTGCGGGCGGCAGCAACAGAGAAGATCGTAGGGCCCGGCCGTGACAGGGTCGCCGATATGCCGGCCTTCTCCGCTCTGGTCAAGGCGCGTGTAATCCGGGACCGAGACGCCATCTTGAAATGTTCAAGGTTGGTGCTGTAAGACACGCTACAGAACTGCAGAAATTAAATGGGGTTGTGAGGAGGCCTGGCAGTTATCTACAACATTTATAATTCCTGACGTCGTCTCTCTTTTTCTTCCGGCCCGCCACTGGAGTCGACCGGCAAACGAATTCCAAATTTGCGCGGAACGGAACCTGCAGGGCGTGGGCTTGGGGGTGGAGGGGGAGGGAAGGCCGCTGTGAATGGCCTTAGTGCTGGGTTGACCCCACAGCCAATTGGAGCTTTCAGATCGCACCCCCCCTGGCGGCTGGCAGCTGTGGTCCAGTGTGTGGACGGGGAGCTTCGTCGTCAGAGCTGCAGCCTGCCTACCTAGTCTACCTAGTATGCTGCTGCACCTACCTCGACCTCTGCCACAGCCATCACCACCTTCCAAACCGAGCTCCCTCATCGACATCAACTCGCCCCACCACGACGCCTCGAACCGCCCTCCTCGTCCTCAGTCTAGGTCTCTTACCGGAACATCTCGTGTGTAGACATTAAATCGGGTTCCCAGTCAAGATGGCTTCGGGATACGACAGAGCTCTTTCAGGTAAGCACCATGCGAGCTGCGTGCAACTGTTCGTTCCATTTGCTGATCGATCGCGCTTTTAGTCTTCAGGTCCGCCCACATCCTTTGATGCAGACATTGCTACGTACAGTTAATACTTACACACCGCAGTCCTGATGGGCACGTTTTCCAAGTCGAATATGCTGGAGAAGCCGTCAAGAGAGGTACGCGCCACCGGGACGCTGAGAACCAAGAATGCCACGAGGCTAACGGGCGCGGACAGGAACCTGTGCGGTTGGTGTCAAGGGCAGTGACATTGTCGTGCTGGGCTGTGAGAAGCGGTCGGCAATGAAGCTGCAGGATACCAGAATCACACCCTCCAAGATCGGTCTCATCGACACCCACGTCTGCCTCGCCTTCGCCGGACTGAACGCCGACGCGAGAATCCTCGTCGACAAGGCCCGTTTAGAGGCACAATCTCACCGTCTGAACTTGGAGGACCCTGTCACCATCGAGTACATCACCAAGCACGTGGCCGGCGTCCAACAGAGGTATACTCAGAGGGGTGGTGTCCGACCATTCGGCATCAGCACCCTGATTGTCGGATTCGACCACGGCAGCAAAGTCCCAAGGCTGTACCAGACAGAGCCATCCGGAATCTACTCAGCATGGTAGGTTTTCCCAGCTGAGTGCTCAAAGTAAGAGTATAGAAGCAGCTGACAGCCATACCAGGAAAGCGAATGCCATCGGTAGGTCGAGCAAGACAGTGCGAGAGTTCCTGGAGCGAAACTACAAGGAGGACATGGACCGCGAGGCCACAATACGGCTGGCCATTAAGTCGCTGTTGGAGGTTGTGCAGACAGGAGCCAAGAACATCGAGATCGCCATCATGGCACCCGGCAAGCTGATCGAGATGCTGCCGACGGAGGACATCGAGAACTACGTCAAGAACATTGAGCAGGAGAAGCAAGAGGAGGCGGCTAAGAAGAAGGGAGGTCGTTCAACAGGTGCTGGAAGCTCTTCGATCCCCACGCGCACTGCAGGGGAGGAGTAGACTATCGCAGATCCCGACGAATCTGGAGCCGAAGGCTTTTCAGAAACATAGAGGGCGGCTGGACGACTCCTTGAACGCCAGGCAGGGCGCTTTGGGTCAAGCTAAAAAGTTGGCTCAGAACACAATGATAGACGATCACGACCCCCTTTGGCAATGTACAGTACGAGCTCATGACCTGGCGCATTTGAGGCGCCTTGTAATATCATTCCCTAGACGCCGATGCTTAATGGACTCCCAACACTCGAATCCCTTGCCTTGCGTGCGTAGTGGCTTCCTCATCCCAGCTTATCGGCGTCTTCGTCTGGGTCAAATATCAGCTCGTCGAGCATTTTCTGCCTCTTTTGCTTCATCCTCTCGTCTATTAGCATCCGGCTGTCGACTCTTGCGTCCTCGCCCTCGACCTTGAGTTCCGGCTTGGGTGTCACCGCATCGAGGACGAAGTGGTTGTCGCAGTGCGGACAGTACTCATCCGCTTCCTCGAACTCCTTGACATCCTTGCGGAAGCATTTCTTGCACTTTTTGCAAGCGAAGACCATCTCGAGCCGCTCTTTCAGGGGGTGGTCTTCTTGCTCCGCGTGGCACTCAACACAGTCGAACCATTTTTGGCCTATTCAGTGAGCATGGTACAGTCAGCTTGCATGCTCTGTGGACCTATCGATCAGGCATGAAGGGCGTGAGGGACCGGCGTACAGCATGGTGACCGGACGGAGACCTGAGCGTTTAGGATGTGTTTGCTTCGTGGCTGTCAGTTATTCACGCTGGAGCGCTGCTTGAATTTTCCCAACATGCTAGAGCCTGTGCTTACCACATATTGGTCAGAAGTGTTGCAATTGACAGAGCAAGGTGTCGGACGCTTAACGACTGCTTCGTGGTAGGGTGACTGACTGCACTGCCCGACTGCACATGTGAGTGGTGTCGATTTCTAAGGCGGCGCGTCACGTCTGATCAACCGTAATAATTAACGGCCGGACCCACCGTTAAGCTAGCGGCCAGGGGGCCGAAGCTGCCTAGCTAACTTATCGATAAGCCGGCTGTCGCCGAGAGACTTGAACCTCGCCGTCATCACCGTCAAAGAGTTTCGGAACTTTGCCCTTGACATCTCGTGGACAGTGAACCTGCCTGGCTCCTTTGCTGCAGAACTACTCGTGTCGAGTGCTCATCGTATCCCTCCACTCTTCGCCTTGCGATGACCAGTACTCTTTGAAAACGCAAGGTCTGAAAGCGCTCGACTCACGCCCACGATGGCTCCGAAGCGCAAGGCAATGCTCAGTGGCAAGGGCACCGTCAAGGCTGGCCGATCCTCCAAAGTCTCAACCCCGGGACCTGCCACGCCTCGTAGCACGGGTAGCTCGGAACCGGAGCCAGAAATAGAGGAGGAGGACGATGAGCTGGACGAGGGAATCCAGCGCAACGTAGACTACTTCGATCTCAACAATGAAGAGTACAAGTACCGCGAGCCGCCTGCCATTCTCGACATGGCCTCCAAGTTCTTTGGTGCGCAACACGAACGCGATTTCACCAGGATGAAGATGAAGCCGGATCACCAGAACAGGCCGATATGGATTCAAGGTGACTTCAAAGTCGTGCTTGAGAGCTTCCACCCACTCGCGCCCCAGGCACAGGACTTCCTCATCACGATTGCCGAGCCCATGTCTCGGCCTACGTTCCTTCACGAGTACAAGCTCACCACCCACAGTCTGTATGCCGCCGTCTCTGTCGGCCTCAATCCGAACGACATAGAAAACACCCTCGACCGATTCTCCAAGACGCCGGTTCCAGAAAACATCAAAAAGTTCATCAAGAACTGTGGTAGGGCTTACGGAAAGGTGAAACTGGTCCTGAGGAACAATAAGTACTACGTGGAGACTACCGATGCAGAGGTCTTGCAACTGTTACTCAAGGACCCCATTATTGGCCAAAAATGCCGAGTACAGGGCGCCGAAGAAGTCACGACGAGTGCCCCCAAGATGTCGGGATTAGCCATCGCCGGAACAAAGGAAGCGGCTGGTGTGCGCGAGGCGGAGGGCTTGAGCAACAACAAACTCAATGGTGGTCAGGGGAGACAAGGCCCTACAGCTGAGGATGTCTATACTGCACTGAATGACGACGACGACGAAGAAGATGCGGACGTCGTCCATGCGTTCCAGATCCAGGATGAGAAGGTTGGGGAGGTCGCCAAGCAGTGTTTGGAGTTACGCTACCCTGCTCTCGAGGAGTACGATTTCAGAAACGACAACGCCAATGCCAACCTGGAAATTGACTTGCAGCCAGCGACACAGATCCGTCCGTATCAGGAAAAGAGTCTTAGCAAGATGTTCGGTAATGGCCGTGCGAAGAGTGGAATCATTGTGTTGCCATGTGGGGCCGGAAAGACATTGGTCGGCATTACGGCTGCTTGCACGATCAAGAAGGGAATCATTGTTCTGGCTACCAGCAACATGTCTGTTATCCAGTGGAGGAACGAATTTATCAAATGGTCGAACATCAATCCTGATGACATAGCCATCTTCTCGTCCGATAACAAGGAAGTGTTCACCGGCAACACTGGTGTCATCGTTACAACTTATTCGATGGTGAGCAACTCTCGAGAGCGAGCTCACGAGTCGGCCAAGATGATGAAGTTCCTGCAAAGTCGAGAGTGGGGCTTGATGCTTCTAGACGAAGTGCATGTCGTTCCTGCAAACATGTTCCGGAAAGTCACTGGTGCGATCAAGGCTCACTCCAAGCTCGGTCTCACGGCGACACTCCTCCGAGAAGACAACAAGATTGAGGATCTGAATTTCCTGATCGGACCGAAGCTGTACGAGGCAAACTGGATGGAACTGTCACAGCAAGGCCATATTGCACGGGTCCAGTGTGCTGAGGTCTGGTGCACCATGACGACGGAGTTCTACGATCACTATCTCGCAGCACCTTCGCGGAAGAGGTCGCTATTCTATGTCATGAATCCTAGCAAGATTCAAGCGTGTCAGTACCTCATCAAATACCATGAAGAACGAGGTGACAAGATCATTGTCTTCTCAGACGACATTTACGCCCTAGAGTTCTATGCGAAGAGGTTGATGAAGCCATACCTCCACGGTGGCACCAGCAACTCTGAAAGACAGACCATCCTGCAACTGTTCCGGGACTCACCGACAACGAATACCATCTTCCTCTCCAAGATCGGCGACACATCACTCGATCTTCCCGAAGCGACATGCCTCATCCAAATCTCCGCACAGTACGGCTCCCGACGTCAGGAGGCTCAGCGCCTTGGCCGTATCCTCCGAGCCAAACGACGAAACGACGAGGGCTTCAACGCCTTCTTCTACTCGCTTGTTTCCAAGGACACACAGGAGATGTACTTCTCGTCGAAACGGCAGGCGTTCCTTGTTGACCAGGGCTATGCCTTCAAGGTGATTACGCACCTGCACAACATCGAGAAGACACCGGACTTGGCGTTTGCAACGGCCCAAGACCGGAAAGAGCTCCTGACCAAGCTTCTCATGGACCTCGAGAAGTCCGCCGCAGTCTATGACAGGGAGGAAAATGGTCTGGCAGCGGAAGGCAACATGTTCTACGGTCCCGATGGAAAGCCGCTTCGGAAGGCGGGGGCCAAGAAGAAGAACTACGTGAGGAGGACTGCGGGAGCGCTGAGTGACCTGAGTGGTGGACAAGACATGGCCTACGTGGAACAGAACAAGAGCGCGAATAGGGCCATGACAAAGAAGAAGAAAGGACCACAGAGCGACTTCTTCAAGAAGGTTGCCAGAGACAATGATAGACGGAGGAAGGCGGCGGCAGAAGAAAGTCGATAGAGAACCTACCGCTCGCGAGACGGCCATTGGAGAAGCAGACTTGCTCCTGTGGACAAGACGGAAGGATTTGCACATCAAGGCGTTGTGGTACAAGGCAAAATCAAAGAAGGGCAGCATATGGCGTTTTGGATGGAGAGATATGGCATGGGCCCAGATTGTTTGATTCGTTGCGTGAGTGTCGTTCAAGGTCCCGCAATCACCAAGAAGACTCGCTTGGCTTGCATCGGGCGCCTAAATTGATATCTACTCAAATATGATATTGATTCCTGGGAAACGCGGTTACAAAAACTCAATTACCACTGTCCTGTTTTGAAGTGGTCCCAAAGGCGATCACTGAGGCGATCACTTCCAAATTGACTAGCCCGTCAACTGTATGCAAGCGAACTACTTGTAAAAGACAGAAAATATCACGTGCCGTTGAACATCTCATGTTTGACTGCCCCTCGCCGGGCGAACGCATTCACCCATGTGGCAGCTCAACTTCTACGGTATTTGTTTGCCTATGCCAGGCGGCTGGCTCGGGAAGTCTTCCCTGACGAAGAAGGTCGCTGCGATGGGGCATGCTGAGGGATACTCGTCATCCATAGGCTGCTGATCGACCCGAGCGGCAGGAGGGCACGCTCCGGAACGTTATCTTGATGCTATTTCCTGGGGAAAGGTGGGTGTGCGGATGTTGTTCAGAACATGAGATGTCACCTTGGGGATGGGATCATGGGAAGCATCCTTTGTGACAGGTACTCTGCATGGAGCCGCGTCCTCGCTCTCTCTCTTTGCCTTTTCGCAGGCGGTGCTTCCCGACAAGAACCCTACAGAATTTGAGTTTCAACCGAGCCAGGCGTCCTTGCTGGCTCAAAGCTGCACTAGGCCGCCCCCCAGGTAAAGACGCTGTCGAGAGCGCCCCGCGTCCTGTCGCCACGGGCAGTGACTTGTTCGCGTGGCAAAAGCCTCGGTTGGGGGGAGACGGGGAGACGGGACCGGGGAAATGCAGCATCCTTTGCCTGCATGGCCCAACTCCCAGAAGTGGGTCACGACATCGTTTGTCAATGTGGGCTTCGCTGTGTCTCGGCCTATGTCCATGGGTCTCCCTTGAAGGACGCGAGGTGCTACTGTAGGCCGAACAGGGGGTAGATCAAGAACCGCTGCCTTGGAACGGGACACTTGACAGGCGCGCTGGCATGTCGGTCGGTACATAGATGTGTGCTGCTGTTGTTGCTGCTGCTGCTGTTGCATGTACGGATCATAGTCAGCGCCAGCAGACTACTGTACTGTGAGACGGCCACTCGACGTGGCTTCGGTCGGTTCGCCGGGCGGTGTGATGGTGATGGCATTTTTAAGATTATCCAGTGGAAATCTGATCAGGGCCACAAGTCAGACATAGCCATCCCACAGTCTTCGGTGCTTAGTCGTTCATCCCGGCGGGCGAGATTGAAAAGGGGCCTGTTTCCGGATTCCAAACGCGGCCAGTCTATTTTCACACTGGCGATCTGCAACATTTTCATGCTGGATACCGCGGAAGGTTTGGCAAGCAAGGCAGGCAGGCATTCTACTGTTCTGACTGTACAAAACATTTGTGCTGCCCTCTTGATCTACCTCTCTACTTGCCGTTCAGCCCCTCCGCCCGAGCGGCTCAGCCCACTTATCGCCTTGGCAGATTCTTTTCAGATCAGCATCTAACCGTCTAGTCTAATTATTACACGATCTGACCACTGAACCTCGCTCAACGACCCGTCGCGACAGCCTCGCAGACCGACTGAGGCCGTGGTTGTGCTGCCGCAGCTGCTGCAGCATTGGTGGTGCTGTTGTCACTGTCACTGCAGTACCTGGGCGATCTAACAGCCAACAAGATCCAGATACAACGCTGTCGTCATCTAGCCGTCTACCAACATCCCGGGTTCCTCCTCATCAGGCAAAGAAAGCGCGCGAGACCAAAAAAAGGACAATGCCCGCCATCATTTCTTTCAGCTGCTAGACGCCCGCAACGGGGGCTTAAGCTCTGCTGGAGCCGAGCGAAACGCACAAGACACACAAGCCACCATCCTTATGCCCAACGTCATCCCTCTCCAAGGCTAAAGGAACAACAACCTTCAACCTATCGGCCGACTCTGCAACGCCCGTTGCGAGGGAGCAGCATTTGCCCATCCTTTCTGGCTGACAGCACAAGCTAAATTAAGTAAGTCAGATCCAGCTTGGCGCCGGCAGTAGTGCCTCCTCCACGGGCCCGGACTGCAACCAAATAGGCTGCCCCAAATCCACCACTGCGCCGACGCCGTGCAACCTTGGAACAGCATCTCATTGCGCCTTCCTCCAACCCACGACGGCCCTCACTCGTCGACAGCCTTAGCCTGTGCTGCCGTCGCCTTCTTCGTTTGCGGGTCAGGACTCACCTGCTCTATATACCGTGTCACTCGAGTCGCCAGGCCCGTCACACCCTCTCCTGGCTTGTCACCCGCTCTTCTGGCTTCGTGCCCGGAGACAAAAACCCGACCTTACTCGGCCCCGTCTCGTCTCATATCATTCATCTCTTCAGCTCACCATCTCCAGCATTGAGTCTTCAGCCGCGCATCAACGACCTCTGCCAATCCTCGCGACAATGATTTTTTGCACACTGATACCAAAGGACAGCCAATCTGCCGCGTCCAGTTTGTGATTTGTTTTCACCAGTCGCCACACCTCGCAGTTACTGGTTATCCGGTGGTCATCTGAAGCCTGCCCATCATGGTTTCACCCGTCTATAGCATCTTCTGGGATCAGCTCAAATCCCTTAAGCCCTCCTTCCTCTCCAAGAAGCCCCATTTCAACTTCATTACCGTTCATTGTAAGCCATAACGTCCTGCCACCATATCCGTGCCTCTTCTGACCTGGGCTTCGCAGACTTCTGGGTCATAGGATTGACCATTTTGGCGTCCGTGGTTATCTATGGCGTCGCCGATGGGCAACTGGACTACATCGATGCGTTGTTCTTCGCAGCCGGTGCAAACACACAGGCCGGCTTGAACCCGGTTGACGTGAACAAGCTGAACACGGCCCAACAGGTCATCGTCACTTTGTGTTCCATGGCCTCGAGCCCCATTACCATCAATTCCTTTGTAGTCTTCCTACGGCTCTTCTGGTTCGAAAAGAAATTCCAGCACATTGTGCGTGAGGCCCGGAACCGCAGGACTACCATCTCCAAGTCCAAATCTACGGCACAGCCAGAGCAGACCCAACCTCAGAATGGCGTTAATGGTCGCCATATAACGGTCATGCACAATGGCAACAGATCCAGAATGACCAACGACGGGATTGTGCTGGAGGATGCAGGCGAGAAGCCCTCAAATGGTAGCAGCTCAGGTGGCAGCCCGGGCGACACCCCTCCCGAGCCGGATTCCGGTCCAGCCGTAACCGAGAGCCCGGGCCCAGGAATCCGGTTCGCAGGTACGGTAAAGAGAAGTGATGGCGTCGAGGACGACCAGTTGAAGTATCCGCGCAGGAGAACGGACGAGGAACACATTGCTATCCTGGAACGCCAGCGGAACACTAACAATGACGAGATTCTCCGTATACCGGGACCAATGGACGTTGAGAGGGGGTTACGTCCCAGCAGGATTGAGGAGAGCTCTGACGAGCCACTAGAGCCTGTTTCCCCAAGGGCGCGTGTCAACAGTATGGGGGAAGCGGACAGGTCGGCGCGTCCCAAAATCACAATCCAGGAGCCAAAGGAGCCAACTTCGAAAGAGCCGAAGAACAGCAAGATGGACGACATCAACGACGACGCAAGGGCTTTCATCAACGTGCTCACCCCGTTCAGATTTCGAAAACCCCGTCTCTTGACCAATGGCGATGACAAGCTTCACCACGACCGTGACGCGCCATTTTCGCGGTTGAGAAGACGCCAGACCCTCGACACAATCAGGAACGCACTCACGAGGGACAAGGATGACGAGGCACCGTACCTAAGCTGGCAGCCGACACTCGGACGAAACTCGCAATTTCACGATCTGACGGAAGACCAAAGAGAGGAGCTGGGTGGCATCGAGTACAGATCACTCAAGACCTTATCATTGATACTTACTATGTACTTTTGGGGGTTCTGGATCCTGGCGGTAATATGCCTCACGCCATGGATTTTAAACTCATCTTATGGCTCCCTTGTGGATGCTGCCGGTCAATCGAGGGCGTGGTGGGGCATCTTCACGGGCAGCTCTGCGTTCATGGACCTTGGCTTTACTCTGACGCCGGACAGCATGAACTCCTTTAACACAGCGGTCTTTCCGTTGTTGGTCATGAGCTTTTTCATCGTCATTGGAAACACCGGATTCCCTGTCATGCTTCGTTTCATCATTTGGATTACGAACCTTTGGGTGCCTCGACACTCTGGTTTGTGGGAAGAACTTCGGTTCCTATTAGACCACCCTCGTCGATGCTTCACCTTGCTGTTTCCATCAGCGGCGACGTGGTGGCTCTTCTGGTTGCTTGTCATCCTCAACGGGATCGACTTGATATTTTTTATTATACTAGATGTAAGTCAATGTCCACACCTTTGTCTGGTGGATCAGACCAGCTGACATGCTCCCAGCTCGGTAGTGGACCGATAGCAGAGCTGTCTCCCGGGATTAAGGTTCTGGACGGCCTGTTCCAAGCAGCATCGACCAGGACAGCTGGATTCTCATGTGTAAACCTCAGTTATCTGCACCCGGCAGTCCAGACGTCCTACCTGATTATGATGTATATCTCCGTCTTTCCGATTGCCATCTCGGTCCGTCGCACCAACGTCTACGAGGAGAAGTCCCTCGGTATCTACCAAGACGTCTCCGGCGACGACGACGAGGGTTTGCATAAGAGCTCCTTCAGCTATGTCGGCGCCCATTTGCGTCGGCAGCTTTCCTTCGACTTGTGGTTCATCTTCATCGGCTTCTTCATCCTGTCAATATCGGAGGGCAGTCGCCTGTCGAGCAATGATTTCTCCATGTTCGCCGTTCTTTTCGAGATTGTGAGCGCATATGGCACGGTCGGTCTGAGTCTAGGGTATCCTACCGTCAATGCCTCGCTCTCGTCTCAGTTCACCGTGGTGGGCAAACTGGTCATCATCGCGATGCAGATCCGAGGCCGCCACCGTGGCCTGCCGTACGGCCTTGACCGTGCCGTCCTTCTCCCCAGCGAATCCCGGTTCCGTAACGAGGCTGAGGAGCCGGCGCTGATGGGCGTGAGGACGAGGACGATGCCCCGGAGGGGCTCGGCCGTGTCGGTGGCGACGGACGGGAGGAGCCTCAACCGGGGGCGCACCAAGAGTGTGGACAATAGGGTTGACCGCGTCAACTCAAACATAATCACCCAGTTCTTGCATCCCGGTCCGGCGATACCACACCATGACACGGGCCTCAGGCGGGTAACTTCCGATCCGACTGTGGAAAACCCGGGTCCCACTCTTGGGCCTGCGTTCGAGCCATACATGAGCATGCCGCGGCGGTCAGAGACATACTCTATGTCGAGGCGGTCGGTGAACAACGCGACGTTGGCAAGAGAAAGAGACAGAGACAGGGAGGAGGTCTAAGAACCGAGTATATACCGTCATTTTATATTATTACCCCCTTGGGCGCTTTTCTCCCCCCGCCCCCACCATATTTCCTTTTACAAGAGGTTCATCAAAAAGTCGGGCGGTTGGATTTTTTGCATGGGAGGCGCACACAGCGATAGAGAAGAATAGGAGACAAGAGAGGTTCATACCTTGGTTCACGGATTGGGAGGCTTTTTTTTTTTAATTGTTTGCTTGTCTCGTATTTTTCTTCAATGCGGGGATACACATGTATTACGATTCCGGGCGTTTCTTTTGAGGCTTTGGTGGTCTCCTTATTGTAGTAGTGCACAAAAGTGGATAGTAGCATACATTTGTCTTCTCCTTGTACAATACAGTTTTTACCATCATCATTGCGCCGGTGCTTGTTTGGGGAAACATGCATTCCCTATGGCGGCGAGATGACAATGTACATATATAGACTTTGAACCGGTAATAACACGGACGTGCAGTGTCTTTCTGGCTCGCTCTCGTCTTTGCCCTTGAAGGTCCCCAGCGAATTGCGACGCTTCAGCACCTGAACATGCACACTTTTTGAGTGAGCTTGCTTCCGCTCATGTAGCCCCAACGCATCCCTCTCAAAGCCGCATCGAGACCACACAATCCCTTCACAGCTCCACCGACGGCGAGAGCACACGTCAAGTTCCCTCCCCACTCTACCACTCGGTCTGCCTCTTCTTCTGCTTCCTCTTGCCCTTGCCGACGGCGCTGGCAAAGACGTTCCTGTTTCGGCGCCACTCGCGCACGTGGTGCTCGACGCTGCCGACGTCGTGCTTGGGCTTGCGCAGGTAGGTGAGGCGGGCGCGGCGGGCGCGGCGGGTGCGGCGCTTGATGATCTCGATGCCCGTGACGTTGCGGCTGTAGACCTTGAAGGACATCTCGACGCCCGTCTTGGCCAGCTGGCCCCGGAGCAGCACCGACGACTCGATCCCCCGCCGCCGGATGCTCACGCACACGCCCGCGAAGGGCTCCGCCGCCCGCTTCGTCGTCACCAGCAGGACGTCGCCCACCCGCGCGCTGTCCGGGTTCGTCTTGCTGAACAGCCGCGTCCGCGCCCCCGACGGGTCCATCTTGCGGATCTGGTAGGCGTGGTGCGCCGCCACGGGGTTCGGCGGCGGTGGCTTCAGGTGTGGGTGTGTGAGCTTGAGGGAGGGGATGACGCTTGTCGGGGAGGTGTAGACTGCGAAGCCGGTGCGCAGCTTGCCTGGTGTGTGTTTGTCTTGGATGGGGACTGTGTGAGGGTCAAATAGGTTAGCCTAGTCATAACAAGCATAACAAGGCCGGTAGAGTAGTCGAATACTGGAGGGGTAACCTACAGAATGCGGGAGTGGGCGTCTTGGGCGCCGGAGGCACTTCGCGAGGCAGCTGGGCCTTGCTGAGGCGGAACGACCTGTTCTGTTGTCTTGAGTGCCGCAGCAACATCTTAAGGCAGCCCAGAGGCCGCCGTAAAGGTGCGGCATTCATGATGGGCTGGAAAAGGGGTGTGACAGCGACGAGGGCGGCGAGGTGGAGGAGGGAGGGTGCCACATGTGACGGTGGTTCATCGTCGTCTTCTCAAAATCTTGGGACTGCGAAGTTCACGCAGGGGTGCTGCGGGTAGCTCGCAATTGCTGGCTGTGATTGGCTGTTTGTAGCTTTAAAGTGGAAATTCTGCGTCGAGACGCGCTCACGTACCTAAGTACCCTGGGTAGTGCTGGACGGACGGTAACTTTTTTGAACCTTTGCGAGCAGCAGGCGCGGACACTCTTGCACCAGGCGGCACCGAGCTTCGACAACCACAGCCGTCATGTCCAACAACTCCATACGGCCTGCCTTCAGGGCAGGTCGGGCTGTTCTCGAGACCTCAATACGGACTGCATCACCATCTCTGCAAACCAGGTGCTTCTCGGCCTCGACGCCACGGCAAGCCGGCAATGTCATCACATTCTCCAAGACGTCCAACGCCGAGCTCGACGGCCTCCTCCACGAGATGCAGCAAAAGATCATCCTCCCCAGTGTACTACCTCTCGTCCAGAGGAAAAAGATATTCCGTGAGCGCTACAAGGAGAAGCTGGAGCTTGAGCCCATCGAGATCGAGATCGACGGCCAGCGCATCAAGTTCCGATACCTCGACTACAGGAAAGGCGACGTTCCTAACACGCGCAAGATCTTTTTCCAGGCTCTTGACAACATGAAGACCAAGGAGGACTGGCAGAAGCTACCCAAGCTACTCGAGGCTCTCCAGTACAACGCGCGGCGCAAGTTCGAGATCTCGGACTGGCCCAAGATCGTGAGGAAGGCTGGCTTCAGCGGCAACCTAGGCCCCATCATCGAGGCCGTGAAGAGGCCCGAGAGGACAGGCTTCAAGCTGGATATGTCAGAGAAGGTCCAGGAAATCATGACCTTCATAGTTTGGGAGGCAGCCGAGGCCGGGTGGACCGTCTCGTCACTGCAGAGAGCGCTCAAGTCCGCCGAGAGGATACTGGAGATCCTGCAGGAAGAGGGCCATGAGCTTCATACGAGGGACCAGGAGCACGCGGAGTTGATCAAGGGGCGTTTCTCCCTCAGGAAGGACCCACAGATCCTGGCCACACCGTTGTTCCTCACAGCCATGCTGGCAGTCAAGCATGGCAAGACCGAGCACGCCGACAAGATGCACAGGTATGCGCAGGTCATCTTGAGCCTGTGGCCGGAGAATCAGGGGCTTCTGGAGCTGCACCCGCACACGTCCTATGTCGACGTGGAGGGCACGCAGTACCTGATGGAGAAGAACAAGTTTCTGCTAGCAGCGTCACCAATCTTGAAGGGCTTCGACCTGGCCGCGGAGGGATTGAGCCCCGATCTTGCGAGCCATATCAAACTCCGGAGGGACCCACTAGCCGCCGAGGTGAGGAGCGCTCTTGAGGCGGAGGATATGAAGAAGGGGCGGGGGAAATACTTGTATGAAAAATGCTTCCTGGAGCCGAGTGAGGCACATAAGGAGGCCGAGGCCACAGAGGCTTCTTGATGATATGTACAGCTTGTGAATATCGATATCTATCGACCAAGAGGTCACCACCTGTTATGGCAAGACTATGTACCTCTCCAAGTGCTTTGGAATCGACCCTATCAGCTTCTTCTCTGTCAACCATTTCCTCGAGAACAGCCGGTCCTGGTATCTATAAGCCCCATCACACAGCATAGTGACGACTGTGTGCCCCTTGCCCAGCTTCTCGGCCGCCTTCTGTGCGGCAACAACGTTGAGCGTGGAGCTGGCACCCAAATAGAGTCCCTCCTCGTCCAGACAGCGGTAGACCATTTCAATCGTTTCCTCGTCGGGAATGTGCAGCGAATCGTCCACCAGGTCAATGTCAGGCTTCAAGTTATCCGTAATGCGCCCCTGGCCGATGCCTTCGGTGATACTGGAACCCGTCCTCTCCACCAGCTTGCCCCCGGACTGGACGTAGGAGTGCAGCACGCTCCCTGGCGGGTCGGCCAGAAAACACTTGACCCTGCCGCCGCTGACATCCTTGAGGTAGCGCGTGACGCCGGCAAACGTGCCGGCCGTGCCCGTGGCGCAGGTGAAGGCGTCGACCTTGCCCTGGGTCTGGGCCCAGATCTCGGGGCCGGTGGTCTCGATGTGGGCCTGGCGGTTGGCGGTGTTGTCGAACTGGTTGGTCCAGACGGCGTTGCCCTTGCCCAGGCGCTCGGCGTGGCGCCGGGCCTGGTGGTTGTAGTTCTCCGGGTTATCAAAGGCCACGGCGGGGACGGGGTAGACCTCGGCGCCCAGCAGGCGCAGCAGGTCGATCTTGCCCTGGGACTGCGTGTTGGGCATGTAGATGACGAGGCGGTAGCCCAGCGACCGGCACACGTGCGCCAGGCCGATGCCCGTGTTGCCCGCGGTGCCCTCGACGACGGTGCCGCCCGGGTTGAGCAGGCCCTTGCGCTCGGCGTCCTGCACCACGAACAGCGCCGCGCGGTCCTTGACCGACCCGCCCGGGTTCATGAACTCGGCCTTGCCGAGCACCTCGCAGCCGGTCCGCTCCGAGATCTTGTTCAGACGGATCAACGGGGTGTTTCCGATTGCTGCCGAGGGAGGTCAGTATCCATGTGAGACGCAACATGTGCGTGCGGCAACTGCCGCGCGGGTGTGAAGGGCAGTGGTCGTACCTCCAGTCAGTCCCCTCGCGACTCCTTGGGCCTGCGCAATGCCCAGTTTGGGCGACGACGCCTCGGCCATGCGCAGGGCGCTGGTCGCAAAGGACCGTACGCTTTGCCTTATCATTTTGGGCGGATGTGGTGTCAGGGGACTGCGCTACCTTCTTTAAATTGCCTGCTGTCAGCGACGAAAAGAGTGGTCGTCATGAGTAAAAAGATTCCCTGACAAAGCAGACAAACCGTCGCAACCGTGGCGGGGCCGATCACGGCACCGGGGGGCCGCTACCAAAGCAACGGGTCAACGACAGACACCCTTGATTGGAATTGAATTCGACACTACAAATGCAAACGGTGCCCTTTGCTGCACTGCATCTACTCCTCTTGAATCCACCATTATTCATCTCACGAGCCATCATGTTCAGAGACAATCATAAAATTAACATAGAAGATGGGAATTAAGACGTTCTCTTTTATTCCAATGCTTCTATTGGATACCTCCTGGGGCTTGAATGCATCAAGTTGGCCAGGGCCTCGTGACTGATCTGTGACCTGACGCATCATGCACAGCATATACTCAGGATGCCATCCAGGCTGCGTCTTCGCCGAAATGGACACGAACAGCCGGCGCATGCTGCGCCTCTCCTGTACAGCTTATGATCCTATCGTCGAGGCTACAAAATTCTGGCAAATTTACCAAGCCCCCCTAACTTGGGCAATGTCCTTCGAAGCTACCTCGAGAAGCTCAACATCGTCTACAACGATGCAAGTAAAGCATGACTGCTCAAAGCTGCCACCAAGATGTCAAGAACGACTCGCCTTGGACGCTATTTTTGCCGTTGAGCACTATTGAGCTCTCCATATGTGCGCTTCTTAGATCATTCGTGGTCTATCCTTCCGGTCTGTGTTGACCCAGGGATGAATCTTCCGCGATGGCTCCTTCGTCTCTCCATGAAATCAATGTCTGAGATGTTGTCCCACAATCCGGAAGCACTCCGGCTCCAGAAGCTGACTGTGCATTACTACTGGCCCTGAGCAACGTGACGGAAATCGAAGTGGCTGCGTGGCTGGTGGGACAAATAACAACAGTGTTATGGATCGTTGCAGCATATGTGTCTGGGAACCGCCGGAGCAAACGGTCAGCCAATAAAAGAAGGAACCTGCTTACCAAAATCAAGATGGGTCCTTTGTGCATTCGAAGCTGTCTAACGTTCAGATGGACGTTCTGATCCGACTCGATGTGCAAGACATGGATCCTTTACATTTGGAAGCCATATGGAAATACGGACGTCGCATTTCTCACGAGCATGTCATCGTGACTTACTAGGACAGCACAAGGTAAGAGTATCTTTCCAAGAAGTTGCAGACGCCACGTTCTATTATGCCCAACTCGTTCTCCCTGCTCTTTGTTTACCATTGTGACTTCCAATTTTGTTCTGAATGATTCCAGGCCAATGCATGCAGCTCGTTCTCAAGAAGAATGACTGGCTCTACGGAAATCACTGGCTCGATGGAAAATAGAACCCGTTGAGCGACGTCGCCAACGTACTGACCGGAGATGCTGGACTCGTGGTCTTAATTTGCGGTCTCTTATTTAAGCCTGACATCATGCATGTCTCATGAGGTATGAATCTTCTTCGGCGCAGGAGCAATGGGTTTGTTCATGTAAACTTGGCAGGAACGATGTTCAATACTCTTCTTTATTTGCTATCCGGATGAACGAGTGAGTGTTTAAGGAAGGTGTCCATGGCAAAACATCAAAGTAACCACCAGTCCAGACATCAGCTCAGTCACTGATGAGGCAAATGCGAAACCAATAAATTTCATTTCCTACTCAGCAGAGCAATGATCACCGAGTAAAGTATCCAAAGATGCTGTCACACGGGAAACGAGACAAGGCTCAAGTACGCCACGAGCCTACGTTCCACAAGAAGTATTTCTGGCAACAAGCCGACCAGGATCGCCCTCATCATGACCCAAATCACCCCGGCTTCTGCCTTCGCAATCTGGAGACAAGCCTTTATCAGGCAATACGCCTCCACCGTCGTCACTGCTCGTCCGAAGAAAGCACTCCGCAGTCGAGGCGCGTTCGCATACTAGATCCGTCAGAGGCAAGCGCACAATTTTCTTACCCATTCACATTGCACTTAAGTGTTGACATGCCTCAAGCAGGACGTGCAATTTCGAAAGCTGAGTCTTCCAAGGTCAAGGTCAGATTCCTACGATGGTAGCGCCGAACAATCCCGTGAGTCTGCAATTGCTAATGCCTCGACCTCCTCGTGCCTCTCATTGACTGGCGATTGAAGTAGCTACCCTACCAAGATTATCAATCAGCGAATCGCCCGGATCAAGGAACAGTGATGCCAACTTATGGACCAGTGATACCGGTTGGTCTGTATTTCTGTTTCTTTAGTTCTCCGACCCAGAACATGGGGAAAGAGTTCCTCGGCAGGGCATTGAGCCCTCTGCAAGGGTCGGTCGAATAATACTACATGTTCCCTGCACATCACCGGCCGGATCAAGGCAGTGTACAGTGGACACATATACACAGCGCATCTCGATTACCTCCTAAGCTATGCTGATGTATGCCAGCAAATGTTCAATGCGACTAACAAAAGAAAAAGGAACGTGTCGAAGCTTCTCGGACTTTCTGACACCATCCGCACTGCTTTATTCCGAGGCAGAACGCTTACACTATCGGAATTGGAAGACTTGGCTTTTGCTCTGGACATGATGCTCTTGGATGAAATCGGCGACAAGGTGGCCGCAGAAGCTCCAGCAACGAGCCAAGGGGACCGAAGAATCACGGTTCCCGTCATTCAGCATACCCGACTTGACAAGTTACTTTCCGACATCATCCACATTTACGAAACCGAAGGTCACCCAGACCGACCCCTTGCCACAGATGTAGGATTAGGGTCCGAGATTGAAACAGCACGGAGCCTGCAGAAGCATTGGCGCACACGCTTCAAGTCCGATTACTTTGCTCTCGACAAGTACCGACTGGAATATTTGTTTTCGAATGCGCTTCGAGACGTTTCGTTCTCTGCCGTAGCTTCCGATGGGCTGGGAGTATGGTTACCGAAGGAGGTACTCCCGGCGGAACTTTCAGAAGCAGAGGCGAGCCTGCATTATACCCCCGGAACGTGAGTATCTCTCTTACCACAATAGTATGTCGATGGTTGAAAAGGCTGACAGGTTGAGCAGCTGGTGGCTCAATATTGGCTGCGCACACCGAGACGGCATCGTTGGGGATGCTTTCGAGAAACCGACGAAAGGCAGATACGGCGTTGCGGTTCTTCCTCTTTTAACGGGCAGCGAGGAGGAACTTCCCGATGGCAAACTCGAGTACTGCCGCCGAGGAACGCAGCGCGAGATGCATTACAATCTAATCACGCAGGTAGGCCAGAAGACCAAAGTGCTAAGGGGTTTCCGCTTGAAGAGTGTCTATGCCCCTGTGGCTGGGCTGAGGTACGACGGCCTGTAGGTGAATACAACCCTTGATGTTGGTCATCATCAATATTGACATTGCGGTAGCTATATCCTCAGAAGTTGGAGCCTCAAGCTCGATCAAGCAACTGAGATATACACTATGCGGCTTGTCCTTGAACGCATGCCAGGCCAGACACCCATAAATGAGATCCTTCACATCCCGGGACCTTCCCAGCTCGACGACTGGAAATTGTACGAGAAATTGGAAAAAGAGCGCATCAAACAAACAGAAGGTGATGCAAGATTGACAGAATGGATGATCAGGCGGGATCAAGAGAGAATTGAACGAGACCATTGGCGCCGGAGTCGGGCTTTCAAGTCAGAGGTCAGGTCGAACGGCGCAAGAGTCTCAGGTGCCGGGGCCGGGCAAGTACAGCAGCCTCACAAGAGGAAGCTATCTAGTATTGACACGGACCTCGTCGCTCATTCAGAGGAACCCGAGAATGAAGAATAGGAGCGATAGAGTTTAGCTGGAGACTCCTCGTCGCTCCATGATTCTCTGTTTTTTCACCATGGTGTTCGCATTACGATTGTTTCAGTGCGCTCCCCTCGGAAGGCGAGGACAACTTAGGAAAATAGAAGTAGGTCCTACAAAATAGTTCGACCCTTATTCTAAGCATAGAGACGGTGCTCTCATCATTCTCAGTGCCGCTCTCAATTTCCTGTTTCCAGGCGGGCGTGCTTAAAAGTGAACACTGACACCGTCGAGCTTCTTCAACTGTCAAGTGAGAGCTTCTTTCTCGCAAGGCTGCATTTATATGAACAGCCTGTGGGAATCCATACTTGGCAAGCGATTCTGAACCAGTACATGTCTCTTCTAGGACATCCTCTGAAATATCCTCCCGTAGGATGACCTATGGGATTCCTTCCTGGGGGACAACACTCACGAAACCTCCTGAACACTTACGAAATTATCTGCAATGGATGGCTGATATGTTTCATGAGCAGAACAGACAATCCTAAATTTTTTATTTTGTTTTTTTATTTTCAATTTTTTTTAATCTGTTCGCACTATCAGCCCTTATTCCGGATTGTCCCCGCTGCGCTCCACTCTACCCCTTTGCGCGAGGTTACAACGCAGCATCGGCAGCGCTTACTGTGCCAATCACGGCCCATGTACTTTTGTTGGCTACGATGTTGCTTTTCTCATAGATGTCGCTCTGAAAGATAAATTCGCTCAGTCACCATGTATCCCACAAAGCATTTTCATATGAAATCACCGCGATTTACAGTGATGAAATGGCGAGCGATGTTGCTAAAGTGGGCGACCGCGAGGAGCGAGAGTCCTGCTCAACTTGTCAAGATTTGGCCTTCCGCGATGAAATTTGGACTCCATTTCGAACTGCCCGAGAAGATGGTAATCTCTGGAAAGTCAACGCGTCATACGAGTCGTTGCGTCTATCTTCGGCCAAGGGGTGTACCTCCTGCGTCTTGCTTTATCAATTGTCAAGAATCATGTTGAAAGACATAGATCTCGTCACGCCCGAGCTCGTCGTATCTAAATACGGATGGTGGTGGGAAGACTCGATTTTGTCTATAGATATGGAACATGGCGATACCAAGTTGAAGCAATCATTTCACATGTATGTGACTAGAGGTCAGTTGCAAATTTACGGGGCATCATTCACATTATTTGTTCTCTCGACAATCTAAAACTCTACAGAAATTGATTCGCCTTCGAAAATTATACGGATTGCGCGGAATATATCCCAGTACCGTGCTTCCCCAGATTGTATTTCAATAATGAAATCATGGATCTCTGCTTGTCTCAATTCCCATCCTCAATGCTACACACCGGACTTGCCGACTCAACCTGATAGAATTCTCCATATTGGCCCTTCTCTGGATCTTCGACTCATTGAGAACTTCTCTGGAAAGGCCTCTGGCAACTATATAGCACTAAGTCACTGTTGGGGGTAAGCACCTTCTTCCAAGTTTTGTCCTATTTCCTTTGTTGCCCATTAGATGTGGAATTGAGATACTCCACACAGGATGTTCAAGTGTCTATGCATATGACCTGCACCTGGATACATAGCTCATGGTACAATTGCACAAATACCAGTAGCATCACTCTTACGTACTCTTTTTTCTCTCTTCCTTTTTTTTCTTTTTGCTAATCCCAAAGAAATAGTGGCCAAGTGGCTTTGCAGCTCACTGCTCATACCATCAATGACTTCAAACAAAATCTCCCTTTTGAGGAACTGCCAAAAACATTCCAGGATGCTGTTACAATCTGTGCTTCTCTTGACGTCTATTACATCTGGATAGACTCACTATGTATTTTGCAAGATTCTCCAGGAGACTGGGCTATTCAGGGCTCAAAGATGACCCAAATATGTAAGTGACTATTCAGTCTTAAGGATCTTGGATATGTCTTTTCTTGATGTGAGATATGTTAGATAGAAAAAGACCTTACTTTGTCTGCTCAAGCCATGATCTGCACCAGTGCCTTCATTTCTGAAACATTCCGAACTGACTAAGCTCCAGATTCTCACTGCCTTTTTACTATAGCAGCAGATGCTGCCCCGAACAGCAGGGCAGGGTTTTTGCAACGGCCATCTGACCCGCTAGAGTCCACTGTAACATGGCCAAAATCAGATGGAAAGCAAGCAAAAACGCTTGAGACCCAAAACTATCAGGTCCATATCCGAAAGCGTGTGGAGATGACTTATATGGGCGGATTCCCTCATCATCAGTCTGGAGTGTATGACGCCGACGAGGGTCCGGATGACGAACACCTGGGGGGTTACCTATCGAGGCGCGGTTGGTGCCTCCAGGAAAGCTATCTCCCAAGCCGCCTCCTGCATTTCGCCATCGACCACGTGAGCTGGCACTGTGCAACGGATGCATTTTGCGAATGTGAGTACGGTCCCCTCGACAAGAACAAAAAGCGGTCTCGCTACCTCAGCGATGGTCTGGAGCCAGGTCGTATAATAGACCGGGAAAACCTGAAGGAAGACTGGGAAGGCGTCGTCACGGAGTATACTCGCCGACGACTTACCTTCTCTTCGGACCGACTGGCGGCTTTGGCCGGGCTCGCGGCTCGCGGCTCGCGCTTACAATGGGCATCCTGACACCAGATATCTGGCCGGCTTATGGAGTGATACCTTGCCGGAGTCACTCATGTGGGAAACGAAGACCAGGAGCGAACGAATTCGACCCTATATAGCACCTAGTTGGTCGTGGGCGAGTGTGACCGGCTCAGTGAGCTGGCCACTCCAACAATACTTCGATACCCCGGATCGGACAATGGTGGAGATGATCGACTTTGAATGTCTTCCTGCTGGACCAAACCAATACGCAGCTCTCAAGGACGCTAGATTGACTTTGAAGGGTGTCCTATGGTGCATCAGGCTACTTGGGGTAGAAGCATGGGGTTTCAAACGTATGCAAATCCTTGGGGAAGACTGCACCACAGGCATATACGATATGCCGGATGGTGAGGTCTTCTGGGATGTACGTGGCGAGGTGAGTGCTTCGGGTGGGGATACAAGCTCGTGCGAGTCGAAAAATTCCGCTGCGTATGGCAGTGGCGAGGGGGAGGTAGGCGACTCTGATCCAGAGTTCGATGACGAGGACGATGAGTCTGATCAATGCTCTCGCTCTGATGGGAGCAGCTCCGTTGACATTGACAGCCTGAATAGAGCAGATGGAGAATTTGCATTGCTGAATGTTGTGGGTTTTGTGTGGTTCTTGGTCTTACGCCGATGCGGCGAAGGCGAAGGCGATTATACATTCCGACGATTGTGTCCCTTTATCAGATATGCTGGGTTGAATATCCAGGAACAAGAAATGGGAGACGTCAGGCAAATCACATTGGTATAGTCAGCTGGAAATGTCTCATAGAAGTAAGCCAAAGATCAATTTCAGATGATGAGATGAGCAAGACACATGCTTTGTACACATCACATTGGCCAATGTTTCTTGGGAACCGCTTCCCGTCTTTCTGTTGCCCTCGTACGAGTGGCTCGGCATTTTGGGACTTACAGTAGTGCGCAGCGGGTCAGCAAGCTTGTCAGACGTCCCGGGGCTGTGCTGTCAACTTTGGATTGTGGGGTCAAGGGACGCTCGGGCTGGTTGCGCAGACACCAAAACTCATCCCTCCTTGGTACTCCCGAGCAGGCTGTCTGTGAGCTCTCCTGACAAAACTCCGGTCGTCAATAATCACAATGGCCAAGAACAAGGGCTCCGGTGCCAAAAAAGAAGACAAGGCAAATGGAAAGGGAAATAGCAAGGGCAAGGGCAAGGCTGGCAACAAGGGCGAGAAGGATACGGAACCTGGAACGAAAAAGGACTTCAATGAGATCTATGTCAGACACATCCTCTGGTAAGTGCTAGATATAGTCAAATCTCCACTAAAGCCTAAGTGTGCCGACGCGTCTCTACAGTGAGAAGCACTCCAAGAAGGAGAAGGCTCTTGAAAAGCTCAGAGAAGGTGGTGCGTGGGACGAAGTCGCATTGGAATTCGCCGAGCACGCTGGCTCAAAGGGTACGTGATCTCTTTGAGCGTTACGGGATTCAAACACGAGAGGGGCTAACATGGACTGAAAGGAGGGCTGTTGGGCTGGAAGACCAAGAAGCCTCCGTCCTTGAAGGCAGAGTTCGAAAAGGTAGCATTCAGCTTGGAGCCGAGCTCCCTGAAAAGCCCCAACATAGGGGAAGCAAAGACAGACCAGGGTTACCATCTTATCGTGGTAACAGACAGACGGTAAATAAGTCGGCCCATGAACCTTCACAATGCAGGATTGAGGCACAGCCAGCTTCATAAAAGGGCCCGCACCCGTACGGGCGCACCGGGCCGGCACGGGAACCGGGTGACGTTCTTTCATGTCAAGGCGCCGGGATCGAGATGTGGCGCACATCTCAAGAAAGGAATGCACGTACGTTGATGTTCGGTGCTTGTTTTTTCATGACTCCGTATGTGCAGGGAGACGCGGACAACAGTTGTATTGCGTTGGGATACATAAGGCATTTCTGTCCACCCAGACCGAAGGGATCAAGGCTTGTGCCTACTCTCTCAAATTAGCTCTTTGCACCGCAAATCTTGGGATAGGGGAGTAGCCGCGCGATGAAATGATGTACGTCTCATTCATGATCTTTGCGCGGGAAAGAAACTGGGCGGTTCCGGAGATCATGATCTCTCGCATTGAGCAGGTCAAAGTGACGATTAACCATATCACATTTTGACCGTGATCAGATTGAAGTTTTCATGATCCTAAGTGGTTGAATGACGCGGTGCCTACGCTGATGAATTGATTCGCATTCACCTCCAGAACGATAACGGGGAGTGGATTCAATAATCTCTTCCGTCCAAATCGACCCAGGTACCGGCGCTGGCCGCGTCGTCTCTATCTAGACACGATTCAACAGCAGTGGCCAAGTAGACTTGCATCAAGTCGCCTCGATTTGAAGAATTGAAGAATCGATTCCCCGTGGTCTTTTCCCGGCCTTTGAGTACCGGCAATCTCGTCCAGCAGCCGAATGATACTGGGTGAACATATATCACCTTCTCTCTGGATATGACAGAAAGTGGGCTAAAGTGAGGCGTAGGATAGAACACAAAGGTCTGGATATATGGAAAGAAGGTTACGGGAGTGGTTCGGGCAGTGATTCAGCACAGCAACACGTGAGCAGCAAAGCACAATAGCATAACAGTGCAACGTATAGACTTTTGACGAGGAACCGTGAAGGCCCTGTGCTCAATTTCCATTTTTTTTTAATCCGTACGTGAGGTGTCCACATCTCAAGTGTCCCAGATCCGTCCTATGCCAACCGTAGAAGCTCGTCGTACATCCGATAAAGTCGTTGTGGACTCGATCATCAAGTAGCCCCGATGCCTCATCTATAACTGCCCGGAATTGTAAACGCCCCGCCCCAGTCGATATGACATGTCGCTTATTGCTCGGTCTGGAAGTAGTTGAGGAGGATGGAGCGCTCCTGGGACTCCTCACCCCAGTCCTTGACGACGACGCAAGAGCAGTTGACGACCTTGCGGGCGTTGCCCTCACGGTCGAGAACGCCTATTCCCAAACTGTTAGCTACAAAGTCCAATGTCCAGCCTGGCCGGATCCTAACAGAACCCGCGCAATGGATTGAGGCTACTCACAGAGACCGGCCCACTCGCCGAGCTGCTTTCCGTCGGGAACCTTGATCAGGGGGATCTTGTGCTCAGAGCAGAGAGCAATGACGAGCTTCTTGTAGGCGTCCTCCTCGCAAGCCTCGTTCAGGACGCACATGTGGGCCTGACGGCGGTCGAGAGCCTTGCTAGCCTCACGCAGACCACGGGCAAGTCCATCGTGCATGAGCGCCAGCTTCAGCACACCCTTCAGGGCGTCCAGGACGGACATCTGACCCTTGGAGGCGGCATCGGCGGAGACTTCGACCTCCTCGGCGACTTCGGGAGCGTTGCTCTCTTCTACGTCCGACTGCGGTAGGAAACAAATCGTGTCAGCTCGATTTGCTCAAAGGGCAGCGCAGCGTTTGGTCGGGTGGACTGCATTGCAGTGTTCAAGTGCAGGGCGGGCAATTCGCCCATGAGGTTGCGCCAGGGCCACCTCTTGGGAGCCGAACATGTGGGAGCGGGTCGACGGAGATAATTGAGGCTATCCTTACCATTTTGCTTGTTTGTTATTCAAGTTGCTGTCAGAGCGATCCTCGAAGAGATTTTGTGGTTTAGGAAAGGTGAAATTTGGCGAACGTGGGGGATTTTTGGAGTGTCGTTAATTGAAGATGCGAGCCAGCAAAAGCGTGCGAAAATCCAGAGTGAGGAAGCAGGGTGCACGGGCCCATTAGAAGTCCGTGCCATGGTAGGGCACTGCTGGCAGCCCACAAAACCAACCTTTGAGCCTGCCAAGCCTGCCGGAGCTCCACCTTCAAAGAACTGGCTTGGAAGGGAAAAAAAGTTCGAATTTCACCTCGTCAACTCAACCCCGTCAACTTTTGTCTGCCTCCTCAACCCCCGCACGACAGACCATCACGAGGTATGTGAACTGCTTGCAATCGTCTCACCATGACTTGAGCACCTTAGGAATCTATGCCCCTTCGCGAAGGCCGGGGAGAGCAATCGAGGATGGATTACCCAGTCGCAACCAGGACGCACGATCAGGGGGCGGTGATGACGGACGATCCCCTCGATACGCCTCTCTCCATCGACGCTGGGCGGGCAGAACCCTCCTCTTGAGATTCTCAAGGAGGAGGGCACTCTCCACGCTCTTAGAGCCTCCGAAGGCTAACATGATATTCTTCGTTGGCAGATACCTCATTTCTTGTCCGAATTGAGAATCTCCTTCACAACCACCACAACACCGCCAAGATGGTCCGCACTTCCGTTCTCAACGATGCTCTCAAGAGCATCAACAACGCCGAGAAGGCCGGCAAGCGCCAGGTCCTGATCCGACCTTCGTCCAAGGTCATCGTCAAGTTCCTGCAGGTCATGCAGAAGCACGGTACGTCGCTCTCATCTCGTCCCTCGACCCTCCAGGATTGCATTACAACGGCCTCGCAAGCCACCTCCCCTTACATTCGGCATGATAACTAGACGACGGTCTCAACATTCCAACGACTCCAGTCTTTTAAGTTGCCGATAGATCAACTTGCGAGGATCTTACACGTTCTCTGAAATCCATATGTGGTCTTCGTTTAATCTTTCGCAACATCAACTGACGGTTTTTTCTGCAGGCTACATTGGCGAGTTCGAGGAGGTTGACGACCACCGCTCCGGCAAGATCGTTGTCCAGCTCAACGGCCGGTATGTACCGAGAGGAACTTGTTTTGGACCGAACACGCCCACTAACCCCTTGATAGTCTCAACAAGACTGGTGTCATCTCTCCCCGCTACAACGTCAAGCTGGCCGACCTCGAGAAGTGGACTGTTAGGCTGCTGCCCTCTCGTCAGTTCGGCTATGTCATCCTGACCACCTCTGCCGGTATCATGGACCACGAGGAGGCCCGTAGGAAGCACGTCTCTGGCAAGATCATTGGTTTCTTCTATTAGACGATGGTCATCAAGAGTTGAGGAGACAGGGCGAGATAGCAATGGCGTTCAAGGACGGCGTCTGGGAAAATATCACTGGGGTTAAGGGATCATGTGCAATGAGCACCTAGTACCGTTACTTCAAATGGTCGGAATAGGACTTTGATTTTCGATACACACCCTCGGGATCCAGACATCAATCCAAGCCAGTCTTCGCCACGTTTGTTTATTTGTTCTGCATTGCATACAGCTCGTGCCCAGCCTATGATTTGCGTAGTCGCGTGCCGAACCTGAATTTTTCTTTTAAAGGAGCCATGTTTCCTCAAGCCGACAGAGGTTATATAAAATGAATCAGTAATTGAACCATTTTCAATCTAACATCAACAGCACGCTCTTGATCCTAAGTGCGTAGTCCCTAAGACTTTGGGTATGGCCTAGTGCTACTAGAATTGAGAGATCGGCCTAAGGGGCCCAAAGAAAAATGGACAGCCAATTGATACCGGCTAAGTGATTTGGATGAGTTGATCAGATGGGGAAAATGAGCAGAGCTTCTCCTGCTCTGATCACGCGTCTTGTGTAAGACAATTGGATTCTCACATTCGCCTGGGATCGAAATATCCGGATTCGACTGCTGAGATCTGCATGGCTTCCGACGTCGTTCCTTGGGCAGGCTGAAAACGGTCGAGGCTCTTGCGACATGTTTAATGGGTACTGGTTAGCTCCCCACAACTGCCCAAAATCCGGTGGCCACGGCGCGGACGCGGAGGTATTCGTTAGCGGGAGAAGCCCCTGATTGTGTCAATGCTTCGGGCGTAGGACCTTGGCACCAAACCCTGCCCTCAGGATCCAGGGAAGTCCAAATTCATATGTGAAGCCGCAACTTGTCCTATCTCCTCACCTCCACAATTGGCTCCGGGCGCGGAATCAAAAGGCACAAAGCTCCCAATGCCACCGTCTGCCCTCGCATGTCATACGGAGGCTGTCCTTTCGCTCCGGACCGACAGAGGAACTGGGGGTCGGCCTGCTGCTGCGCTCTGCAGATTGAACTGAGACAGTCTGGAAGATGCGACCGCGACAGATCCTCACACTCGGGGCGATTGTGCTCGCGTGTTTCCTGACATATACCGTGCTGCGACTCGGCGCACCTCAGCCGCCCAAATACACACCAGATACCACGCCTTCGAAGCCGATCCCTGTGGATACTCGACCGGCACACGATGGCGACGGCTCGAACGACGCAGTCGCGGGTGGCGATGCGCCCACCCGCAGCAAACCCAAACCAGCACCGGGCGGCTCACACCCAATGTGGCACCTTATCAAGGATGCCGAGACGAAGCTCGAAGATACAAAGATGCGTCAATCAAAATCCCTGCAAGAGGCCGTGACCGAATACCGCCGGCGGTATGGCATCCCGCCCCCGCCCAACTTCGACAAGTGGTACGAGTTCGCCACAAGCAAGGGTGTACAACTCATTGATGAGTTCGACACGATCCACGAGTTGATCACGCCCTTCTGGGGACTGAAACCGTCTACAATACGCAACCGTGCCACAGAAGCACTCGGGTTCGGAAACGCGTTGCTGGGTGTTCAGATCCGCAATGGCAAGATCACCAACCTACAGGGCGGAGGAGATTGGCAGCGCGACGCGACTGAAGGCATGATGAGGCCGTTCATAGAGCATCTCCCCAACATGGACTTGTGCTTCAACATCCACGACGAGCCACGGGTGGTCGTGCCGCATGATGACATGGTGCGGCTCGTGGATGTTGCCAAGAACAAGAACATGAAAGCGGCCAACGCCGTCGCACACCCGCGAAACGAGTTCACCAAGAAGCCCAAGGGCCTCAACGAGGGATCCCACTTCACGGAGACGAAACTCACGCGCTTCAACGTGTTCGCTCACCAGCCGACCTGGACCCATTCGCGTATGTCATGCCCGCCGGAAAGCCCTGCCCGCGCGATCGAGGAGTCGGACCGGATCGACGACGTCGAGAAGTACGGATTATCAGAGTTGGGCTTTGTATACAACGAGACAGCCATGGCGGATATATGCCAATCTCCCTCGCTGAGCGAGACATACGGGTTTTTCGATCGGCCAAACGCCTACAACATCGTGCATGATTTATTCCCTATCTTCTCGCAATCCAAGATCTCCTCGTACAATGACATAATATACCCCTCTCCATGGTACTGGTACGAGAAAGTCAGCTACGACGAAAGCAAGGATCAGCCCTGGGACACGAAGAAGGACCAGCTGTACTGGCGTGGCTCGACCACGGGCGGTTTCTCTCGGAATGGCGGGTGGAGGCGACAACATCGGCAGCGGTTCGTGCAGAAAATCAACGCGGCGGATCAAGCCAAGATTCTTGCCAACCGTGGCGACGATACACACCCTAAATGGGACGTCAAGGAGGTCCCGAGGGGAGACTACAAGGACATCATCAGCGTGCAGTTCTCGCATGTGGGGCAGTGCGACCCGGGCGACTGTGACGCGCAAAAGGAGTTCTTCCAGGTGACGAGCCGGGTCGAGCAGCAAGATGCCTGGCAGTACAAGTACCTTCTGGACATCGACGGAAATGCCTTCTCGGGCCGGTTTTACGCCTTCCTGAGGAGTAAAAGTCTTATCTACAAATTCTCAATATTCAGGGAGTGGCACTACGAGTGGATCAAGGGGTGGGCACACTACATCCCGCTGAGCCTGCAAGGTGACGAGTGGCTCGAGGCTGTACGCTTCTTTGGGGACGGTGACCTGGGCAAGAAAGAGGCAGAGAGGATCGCGCTGCAGGGACGGGACTGGGCGAACAAGGTACTGAGGAAAGAGGACATGGAAGTCTGGTTCTTCAGACTATTGTTGGAGTATGCCAACCCCTTCTGGTGTCTTGTTGAAGTACTTTTCGCTAACAGATTGACAGATACGGCCGAGTTGTCGACGATGACCGTGAGAACATTGGGTTCTCTTTCGGTGGGTCGCCTGTCGCCGAGTAGTGGCTTCCACAATGCATATACTTCTAGCGTAGAACTCTTCGAATCTTTGAGATATCCATAGGATTGTAATATTTTCCTGGGCACAGGAACGTTCGGCATAGGCATGGGCGTTTTGTTGTGGCGGATTCGAGCTGGTTGTACATTGCTAGAGGCAGGTTGAGGTAAAACATAGAGTGCCTTGTAGACCAAAGGCAAGTTCGAGTCCCGCAAACAATAATGGTAGTTTATTTCAAAGTGGAAGCTCAAAAGAATAATAACACAGTTCATTTGAATCGTGCTCGACATGTTCATGCTCAGGGGGGTATCTTGTTATGCAATAGTCAAGACTGCTACTTGGACTTGGCCCGTATATCGTCATACAAGGTGTCGATGACTTGGAAGACGACTGTCACGTCCTTCATGACACGCTCGTCCGCCTTTTCTCTTCCTCCAAGTTTCTGCTGTATCTTATCGGGATGCCACCGCACTCGCTGTTCCTTCAGCTTCGCGGCAAATTCCCTTTCGCCTAGGGTCTCCAAGTCCAAACCCCTGACGAAAAAGGCCCGGACTTCCTCCTCGTCAACATCCTGGCGCCTGCCGCTCTTCGTCGGCCAGGGGATGCTGCCCACATCACCGTCCCAACCATCCCAGTTGGTGCCGTACTCACGGAAGCGCTCTGTCCATTCCCGTCTCCTTCTCCTTTCCTCACCCCGCTTCAGGCTCCTCTCCACCTCGCGCTGTATTCTTCGCTCCTCCTCCATCCTCGCCTCTGCCTCTTTGCCCCGCCTGGCGTGTTCCTCCCGCTTCTTTGCCCGCCGGGCCCTCTCCTCCATGAGCCCCGCGTGGGTCTTCTCCCACATCCTCTGCCTCACATGCGCCGCGTACTCCTCGTCCGTCATGCGCTCCAGCTCGCCCGTCTCCTGGTTCGGCACCTCCTGGGAGTAGATGTGGATCGGCTGCCCGTATATCCCCTCCCAGTACGCCGCGCCCTCGTCGTCGGCCATGGCGTCGAACAGGGACTCGCGGAAGGCGGCGTCCGGGTCCAGGATGGGCCCTTCGTCCGCAAAACCCGGTGGCGGCGCCGCGGCTTCTTCGCGCCGGGGTCGCTTGTGCCGCGGCCGGCGGTGGCTCCGCTCGGAACGATGGCGGCTGCCTGCTCGGCTGCGAGTGTGCTCGTCATCCTCACCTTCCTCCCGGCCATCGTGATCGCGCCGAGAAGAGCGGTGGTGCCGGTGGTTCCGGGACTCGCGGTCCGGTGAGGCGGACCTAGAGGCCTTCTTCGATTTGAAACGGAACTTGGTGCGTCGCTCGCGCACACGTTCGTTGTCGACGTCTGTGTTTTGCGTAGGCTCTGTCGGTGCAGTGCCACCGGCGGCGTCCATATTCACCGTGGCGGGCCGAAATTTGGAGCTGACATGCGGGACATTCACTCCGGCGTTCGGAAGGTTGATAGATGAGAACTTGGGCGGTCCAAGGTTGATCGAGAAGTTGTTAGAGAAAGCTGAGGTGAAGCCTGGGGATTGGAAGGTCGACTGGAAGGTTGACGAGAATGGCGCGGGCGACGTGGGGTGTTGTGTGTTCGCCGATAGGTTCGAGAAGCCCTTGGATAATTCGTCAACTGTCGGGTTATACGACTGTGGCATGTTCCAGGATGAGGATGTTGAGCGCAGTCTCGTCGCTCGTTGCCTGCTGTTTACTCCGTAAGAGTCCAGTTGCAAGTTCGCTAAGCCTTTGAGAGAAGTGACGTTGGTTGGAGTTGGAGTGATGGCAGCCGAGACCAGGGTCCCTTGTAGGTGCAAGCCACTCCCTTCTTAGGTACCTAGGTACTTGTGGCCTTCCATCCTTAGAGCTCTTGATTTCTCAGACAGCTTAGAGTGCGACCAGACAAATAATATCAGAAGTCTGCCCAGTCATTTCCCAAGGGAAATATCGCATCCAGTAGCAAGAAATTTGATGAAATTCATTTTGGAGCTACGGTTCCTTTTCCCTTGATTCTGTCCCTTCACCTAAGCTCTGCAGCACACATAGAACCTCTCACGCAAAGGTCAGACTTATTCAACTTGAGAAGTTATAGGGCGAGGTTCGAGGCAAAACAGCCGAAAAACAGTCAAAGCCACCGTATTTTGTTCTTCATTAAAGGAAAATGTGACTGTACCGGGTTGCAACTTAGCCTGCGCCCAGCCCTCCTCCCCTCTCTCTTTCCGACTGACTTGGCTCATAGGACAACAGACGAGAACAACAAAACATATACGGAAGTCTTCGCTGGTCTGGTTCATGGTGTTCATTGGCTCCAAAAAGAAGGTCCCTTACGCAAGCGAACAGCAACGGTCGCAGCCGTTAATCATTTGAGCAAAACAGATAAATTACTCCAGATTGGTGCCAGCTCCGCCGCTGCCAAATTGTTATGAACCGTGAAAGTAGATGGCTAGATAGACTTATTTGACCCAGACGACCTTTTAACTTGGCGGCCGTGAGACGATTGATGATGCGCAATATGGTTGCAAGTGCCAGAGTAGCCAAGTTACAGTGTCCAAAGAGCAGACTGAGCCCGATACCACTGAACTTCCCTGTCTGTCTTACGATCTCTCCTTGCTTTTACGCCAAGTTTAAGTCGCATTCAAACCTCGATTTACAAAGACCAATAACATTTGGGTCGTACTTGTGATGCTGACTGCCTTCTGATCACTAATCTGGCCGACTCCTCGGTAGTATCTTATAACTAATCATTCAAGCAAGTCCTGCTTACCCCGGACTTGGATTGGAGCCTCAATGCGGCACGACCCGATCGATTCGGCACTTGTTTCAAGTGCTCATTCGTGTTGACTACCCTTTGAGCTTGTGGTGCGCACTCAGGCCAGTCTGTCCGGCTGTCACGGTTTATAAATGAACGTCAACTCTCCAAGCTCAAACTCTCGGGGTATGTAGCGTCTTCTATACTGCCAAACAGCGACTACAATCTACTCCTGTTTCCTCATCACGACTTTTGCTATCACGACCGATCTGTTTACCGCAACCACCATGCCTCTCTGGACTTTTGGACACTCTGCTGGTGCCTTCACCGCCGAAGAAAAAAGAGACCTAGCTCAAGGAATCACGAAGATCTACGCTAGCAGTGGTCTTCCTGCTTTCTATGTCAACGTACAGTTCATCCCCCTTGGGGCGGACGATCTGTGGTATGGGGGCGAGCCTCACCCCAAATTTACCATGATAGGCATCTACCACATTGCCCGGAACATGGAGGACTTCCCAGAGGAACGCCAACAGGCGTTCCTCAAGGCGGTAGATAATATCCTGACTCCGATAATGACTAAGAAGGGCATGGGCTGGGAGTATTTTCTGATGGAAGGCCCACGGAAGTTTTGGAAGATCAATGGCATTGTGCCTCCTCCTACCGGCTCAGAGATGGAGAAACTTTAGTGGCAGCACAATGGACCGGTTATAACATCAGAGTCCAAATTGTAGGACCGCTTGGACTTGAGACATTATGTTGTGACCGGCCTCGCAGTCATCGGTAAGCTCAGTCCCTGAGGTCGAGACGGCCGATCTTGATATTGAGAAACAGATTTTCAGAATTCCTAAAATTTGCCTTGATTATCTTGGATTTCGCCAGAAACAGGGGCTGGGTGCAAATTGAGAATATGCGTGGGAGAAAGCGGGAATTGATCAGGCTTCAACAATATGACTCAAAACTAGGCTGAGGGCAATCTATCTCTACCACTTGCCACTTCAGATACCTGAGGCTCGTTCAAAGTATGTTGAGATATCCGATGGAACGGATTTGTTTCACCGCAATAAAAATTGGCTGATTGAGGTAATTACAATTCGAGTTGGCACTCTGAAAATTATCGAAGATGATCTGTCTCCTACGCATGTAACTTCACAGAGCCTGCTAATAGTAATGAGTGAGTATTGGAACTCAACAAATATGTACCGAAATCTCGTGGCAGTAAGCTCATGCAAACACTCATTCTGCGTTCAACCTACCAAATTAGACCACAAAATGCACATAACACGATGCTTGAAATCGCAACCTGAGCTCACTTTGAGTAGCTCCTTGGGCCTTCCACAAATTACTAGAAGTCAGCTATATCACGAGACAGAGCGGGTCAACGGTTGTGAGAACGCCCAAAGCCGTCAATCTTTGTGCTGTACTCCTTTCCAACAAGCTGAGGTCTTTGCCTCCACTTATGTCGTGAAGCTATTGTGCGTTCAGTACGTTCGAGATTGCGAAAAGTAAATGATCGTGCCATGAAAATTCAATCTTGTACTAGATCCAGGACACATCTTACAATACATTCTTTTCCTGGTTACTACCAGCACCGTAGATATCTTGAGAATATATAGAGATGCCGTCTAGATCCTGGCCTGTTCAGGGACCTGAAATGCCCCTCCAGCGCTCCAAAGCACGGGCATTCTGTTGAACCTGTGCGGATACAGCTTCACCATTTCCGCGTACAGCTCTTGTGGGTCCTTGGGAGACTTTCTGAGCAGGTTGCCCCAATCGAGGAGGTACTTCTTGGTATTTGCAAGATGCCACACCGCGTCCGGTTCCTCCGCTTTCTTGTGACCGGGGACAACATAGACAGGGTCCAAGGCCTGGACGCGCTCCACTGCGTTAATCCACTCTTCCCGCTTGGATTTCGTGTTTGCTTCAAGCAGCATCTGATGGACCTCGCCGTAAATAACATCACCGCAGACTGCGAGTCTGAGGTCCGGCACCCAAAGGACGGTGGAGTCGTACGTGTCAGAGTGTCCAACCTCGACAGCCTTGAAGAGCCAGCGCTCTTGCAACCTGAACTCATTGCTGTCTGGTAGGGGCTGGGGCTTGGTTATGGGCTTATAGATTTGACCATCTGGAAAGAAAGACTCCCAAACTCTAGGGAAGTAATCCTCTGCCAGCTGTTGCTCGACATGCTGAATAGTGGCCTTGGTGGCCACGGCAACCGCCTCCGGAAAGCGTTCAATGAGCTGCGACAGGCCCAAAAAGTGATCAGCGTGGCCATGGGTGATGTAAATGTACGAGATTTTTCGGCTCGGCGCAACCTTCTCGATCCACTCGATCAATTCCCTTGTCTGAATAATTGTAATTGGTGTGTCGACAAGGACCGCTTCCGTATCTGAATACACCAAAGTGCAAGATATCGGCGACCAAGTGTTCCCTTCCTTGTTCTCGCTCATAAAGTCGACACAAGGAATGGGGGGCGCAACATAGACAGCGAATCTCAAGGCGGAATCGGTGGCCATATTGACTCCAGATTATTGTTGAGCGAAGTGAACTTGGTAGAGGCAACTGCAGCGCTGTGGACCTGAATTTGGACTTTTCTTTTAGGGCGATTCTACAGTTGGGTTCCAGGTGCTATATCATTGAACTCACATGGTTATGTTACAAGAGTACTGAGAGGCAGCAGAGTACTGAACAAAATGTATAGGAAGCAACCGTGAGTGAAGCATCGATGTATTACTGATCATCTCCGCCATGCGGTACGTGCGCTCGGCTCCGGAGCTGTTCAGTAATAAAGAACCACACGACTCCGACCGATATCATGTGTTACCCATAAAGCAGGTCTACAGTATCATTACAATGAAGTCGATTCCCCACCTTGGCATACTACCTCTGCTGCCCTATGAGGGATCGAAAGTTCATTGCGACCTCCATTTCGCCGCTTCACACCAGCCGTGCATAGATCTGGCTGCCTATATGATGTAGTGTAAGCCCAAAAATAACTTTAACTTCACTACTGTAGAGCATTCTCATCCCTCCAATCAACCTACCTTGTCCTTCGGCCTTTTCTGCATGCAGACTTTTCCTACACATTGACAGCCTCTTGCAAAGTGCAGTCCAAGACCGTCGATCGCTGAAAACTAAGCGGCCGACTCTATAGTAACACAGAGGCTCGCCCTGCTTGTAATACGAAGCTCGAAATGCGCTGCTGTGTCATGAGAGTCCTTTGCTGCTGCTCATCAACCCGTTTTCCATCTTCAATGAAAAGTCTCTGTCGGGCCTTCACCAAGGACTCTCAGCATAAGCAAAGCGAATTTACCGGAGTCGATGATCTACATTGGAGGGGCTGATCGTTAGATTTGATGTTTGAGAAGACGATGGCCCTCTAGAATGCTCTGGATTCCTCGTTTCTGTGGCTAGTAGCAGCCATTAATAAAATCTTTCCACTCCTCGACTTATAATTATGGTGAAGAAAAATGATTTCACTCTAATGAACCAGCAGCCAGGCCCATTTGAATTGGCAAATAAGCTTGTTTGATCAAACACGGCGCCTTCTGCGCAGCTCGGCCGTGCAATTCGCACATAGATTATCATGTGATTATATACTTTGTAGTGTTTGCCAATTCCATGTCCTGTCAACTGCTTTAAGGGCCTGCATAGAATCAAAGCTATATACCGTCTTTGGAACGATTTGTACGGAGAAAAATTCGAAACATCATGAGAGGAACTAGTCGTCCCAATTAAATCAATTCATCTGCTCTATGCTTGTGAAGCGCAAAACTTCTTTCTATCTCTAAGAAGGTGTAATGCGCGTCGGATCAGCGCAGCAGTCCATATTGCCGGGCAGCGTTGCATTTTGGACCCCCACAACCCGGTTGGTCTTGTACATATGTATGTGATATCTTCAAGCTGTTGCGTGCTCTTAGCTTCACTCCCCCCGGGTTGCAAATGGGCCTTGGCAAAGCTGCTGCGCCAATCACCCCCCTATCTACTGCGCGAACAATGATACCAGCAGACCAAATATCGCATGGTTTGCATAGATCTCATTTTGGTCCACTATTGCACACTGCCGGATAAGAAGTAGGATTGCAGATTATGTGTACTAGGATGCTCAGTCGGGAGATAGGCAATGAGGTTTCCTGAGGAACATGGTTGCCACGAGCTGTCGGGTGAGTTTGACTCCAATATAACTTGTTGTAGCTGCTTTCCTGAGGCATTTGACTTCCAGTGTTGTCTTTATCAGAGTAGCAGCAACTGCCGACGTGTTGATGTGAATGAGACATTTGATTTTTTATTAGAAAAATGTCGACACCCGCGGACGAAAAGAACCCTGCCATATTCAATGTGACGTTGAGCGATGGCGACGAGAAAGACATCAAAGTCCCAAAGGAGCACGCGGCTTCTGTCGATGAGCAACAGTACGACTTCGAATCGGAGGAGTTCGCCAGCATACCAGATCTAGTTCGAAACGTTGTCAGCTTTGAGGACGATCCAACGCTACCAACTATTACCTTCAGATCGGTGCTTCTTGCCGCTGTCTTCTGTATCATTGGGAGTATCGTCTCTCAACTATCATAGTGAGATTACCTTTTTGAGTCGCCCATGAAACTCATTCTCTTCATCCTCGAGGTGATGATCTGAACTGTTCAATTAAGTATTGGATTTTGTTGGTTATGCTCTGACTCTTGTACGCTCTAGTTTTCGAACAACCGTAGGCTGCACCCAACCCGCTGACACTTGAATGTGTGGATATAAGCTTACCTTTGACAAGAGTGCTTCCTTCCCCGTGTTCTTCGTAATATTGGTCTCTCAGCCTCTTGGTCGACTCCTAGCTCGCGTACTCCCAGATTACACCGTCCCATTGGGACGGTTTTCGTTCACGTTGAACCCGGGCCCGTTCTCTGTAAAGGAGCATGCGATCATAGGGATTGCTGCAAACTCGGGAAGTCAGGGGCAATGGGCAAGTGAGTGTTTGCTGGGATGGAATGTGGCCAATATGAACAGGGAAATACTGACGTCCGCCAGCGTACCTACCAACAAATGCGAGCTTATTCTGTACGCTATACCTGTCGCCAATTTTCTTCTTCTCGATTAAGAACAAGACCCACGGAACTTGGTTTCGGTGAAGATACTAATTCATAAAATGCACTAGATGGCCTAACGATGAGCCCGGCTGTCTCCCTGTTCTTTGGTTGGGTGAGTTATTCAGAAACAATAGGACTTGAGGTGTTAATGCTGACCAATTGGCCAGGGAGCTTCTCTGCTGGGCTTCGCCTTTGCTGCTATGGGTTTGTTCTTCTTATAGTCCATTGTCCATTCGTTTTTTCCCGCTAATAGCTGGAACAGTCCGCAGGATCTTGATTGACGACCCAGAGTTCATATTCCCTCCGTCCCTGCAACAGGTCACATTGTATCGAAGCATGCAAGGTACTTCGGAATTGCACTCTGCTATAGCCAAAAACAAGATGAAGGTCAGTTCAAAGACGCCAGTCTTTCCTTTTTCGGCTTACAATTCTTAGCGGAAGCTAACATTTTCTCGACATAGATATTCTATGTCATATCGACAGTGACTTTCGCCTGGCAATTTCTCCCCGAGTTTGCTTTCCCAATGGTAGCCGCTCTAGCACCGCTCTGCTGGTTCGCTCCCAGCAACCACAAAATCAATTTCCTCGGATCTGGGAAAGGAGGTATCGGCTTGCTAAACATCACACTCAATTGGTCGAATATCACCTCCACGGTTATCACTTATCCGTACAGGTTCGTCGTATAATTTCCCACACGAAGCCCTGATCAGCCATACCCAGCGAGATAATGTCAAAAGTTTAACATTCCCTTGTCGATGAAAGGGGAAATATGAGACATAAACTTTTTCATGCTCCCACTACTCCCAAGGCTACAGAGATGAACAGTACTAATGTTCAATTTTGAGCAGTGTCCAGCTTGTTATATTTATCGCTTTTGTTATAACAGTGAGTTGACTTTTGCTCACTTTTAAATTTATATCGGCTAACGAAGCGCGTTTTTAAGACTTGGATTTTAATACCTATCGCATATTTTGGCAATATTTGGGGCTCGCCTACCTACGATATAATGTCTAACAAATTGTTCACAAAGAACGGGACTTCTTACCCTTTCCAGACCCTGCGTGAGTCTATCAATTCAACACAAGATGTATCTTTTACTAATAATCTCAAAGTTTACACAGACTCGAGCGGCAGCCAACAGGTAAACGAAACAAGATACGAAGAAGTTGGCCTATCCTATGCTGGAGCCCAATTCACGTGGGGGATCTTTATGGTATGCTTGGCAGCTCGCATTCGGCATGCCAGTTCTCTTACTGATACTAGGCCTCATTTAGTGGTATGCGTCGTATATCTCATCATATGTGTGGGCCGCGCTGTTTCTTGCACCGAAGCTTCGGCAATTGTGGAAGAATAGGAAAAATCTGACAGCCTTCCGCACTGATCGCCTGAAGTGAGTCACCAACTTCTCACAGCACAATATCCTGATCCATATGTGTACATGTATGAAAACATGACTGACCAGCTTATATCATGCAGTCGTATTATCCAAAGATATCCTGATGTAACCAAGTGGTAAGCTTGTTGTCTGGTGCCGTTTCAGGAAATCAATGGAACTAACAATCACTTAGGGAGTGGTTCACACTTGCTGTAATCCCTCTGTATGTATAAGCCTTCCCCCGCTACAGTTGCCTATCTGTCCTTTTTCATAATCTTCTACAACTTATCGATTCGGGATCCGTGGCAGGTGACTAACGCATAACAACAGGGGCCTGCTTCTCATCATTGTGGCCACGGGCTCTGTTTGGATGTCTACATGGACTTACGTCGTGGCGATTGCTTTTGGCGCATCGGCAATGTTGCCCATGAGTCTTGTCTATGCGATATCGGGATACTCAATGAAAGTCGGTATATTTAACGAGCTCGTGTATGGTTGTAAGTGGTCTCCAAACACTGGTACCTTGGATATCGAATTGACTTTACGACCTCCGCAGATATGATCGAGGCGAAAGGGTCGAATAGGCATCCACTTGGACAGCTTGCCTACCGTATTGTAAGTGCAAACATTCCCAGTCACGGACCTCCCAGGATACTCCTGAGCGTGTATTTTCACGAATCATCCCTTTGAGCTAATTTGCAGCCGCTGATATTTCATTTGACAGATCTCAGGGAATACATGGTACGATTCTAGGGCCGTCCTTGAGGATCAAAAGGTGAGTCTCCTGATGCTTGCCCCATCTACACTCGCAAGCGCCTCAACGAGCAATGAATCTCATGCCTTTTCCTTTATCACAGATTGGACACTACCTTCACATCCCGCCACGCGATGTCATTGGCATCCAAATTATCGCCAACATGATCTCACTCCCGGTGAACTATGGCGTAATGCGATGGGTTCTCGCAACCAAGTACGATTATTTGACGGGCGTCCTAGACGATCCGTCCGGTCAGTGGACGGCTCAAGACTTTACAAGCTATAACACCGAAGGTATTATGTACGCGCTTGTTGGACCCAAGAAGCTTTTTGCCTCTTCTTACTTTAGCCCGGTGCTCTGGGGCTTCCTGGCCGGCGGTGTGGCGCCGGCATTGATATGGTTCCTGCATCAGAAGTACCCTCGCGCTCGTTTCGACCTATGGAACACCACAATTTTCTTTGCGAGCGCGGCTACCTTCCGTGGAAACCTGAGCACAGGACCCTTCACCACTATCATCGTCGGGACCGTATTCAATTACTACCTGTACAGGTATCGCCACGTGTGGTGGAACAAGTGGGCGTACATCAGTGGTGCGGCGCTGGACACGGGCTTCAACTTGAATCTGCTGTTCATATTCCTTTTCCTCGGCACTACGGGCACGGCGATGGTGAACTGGTGGGGCAACAACAAGACAAATACTGAGAGGTGCTTTGCATTGGACACATGAGCATTTTCTGACTGTATTAGCCACTACAATGGGGTAAATGCAGTCTCGGATGTACTGCGTTCCGCTGGAAGCAGAATCATTTCCCCCTCTAACAGCGACTAGCGGTTGATGTCAACAGTCGCCAGGGCAAATTTGAAAGCAATCGCAGCATGTTACGCCTCTAGCATCTCTAAATTAATACATAATTGTCTTTCAGTTAGATTTCTAGATTAGAGTTAAAGTCCTGCTTTCCCAATCCTGAAACCATGAGACCTTAAACGATGGCAACATAAATGTGCCCACCCGCTCATAAGTTATATCTTCATCGGCCATTCGTCCATAAACTGGCTTAATGACCAAGCCGTCAACAGATTTAAGTGTCTCTGCCCAATCGCCCTTACGCTCATAAACGTAGACAATCAACGCAAGGTACTCTTCTGAAGTAAACAAGCTGGGATCGATTTCCAATTCAGAATCAATGCTAGGGAGACTTGATGTGATAGCGAGGAGGTAAACACCATTGGTATTTTTCGCTCTGAACAGCAATGGCCTTGTACGGTCAACAAGAGCAGGCATGTTTGGATTGTCATCTTCGTATCGAGGTGGGTCATCATCGAGTAAAAGGTCACCCTGATATAATCCTCTCCGGCTCTGGATGTGTTGTCTACTGCGGATTAATTGCAAGGTGAGACCTTGAACGGTGATAAAAGCTGACTCGATTTCGCCGTATGGATTATTTTCGTCCTTGAGATGAATGCTGTCGTCGACAAGTCTGATACCCCTTGAGCTCTCTGGCACAGCGCCTCTCTTATCGTAGAGGATTTCTTCGTCAGTGACCGCCCATGACCAAGAAGGTGCGCGGTATGTCTTCTCATGCTTGCATGTGGCCATCTCCTTTCTCCACAGTAGACCTGCCGCAAGATCTGTCGTCCAAATCCCTGCTAGATATCTTCCGCCAATGACTGCATGAAGGCGCTCGCTTATGCCAGAAAATGCAGGCAGCTTGTCAGAGCTGAAGGTAAGACTGCGATGGGAATACATCTCTACCAAAGCGTAGTAGTCTTCAAGCAAGAGTCGCTCGACAGGTATCTCATCTATCTGAGAACGCCGAATGTCACGATAGAAAACGGAGGACACATGCGGCAATGTATACTCTGGAAGTCGAAGCCCAGATGAGGTGCCATCGGCAGCCTGGTAGCCGGTAGGACAGCGCCAGTAAAGTTGACTTCTGCCGTAATACAAATGTCGCGGTGAGAGTATGGACTCTTGCAAGGACCAGCCCCGGCTGGACAGAGGACTGCGATTGTCCAGTCTTTTTAGAGTCTCTTCGTCGAAGTCCTGGCGCAACACAGTTACGACGTCCTCGTTGCCATTTGAAACTCGAAGGCTGGCCGGTAGAGGAAGAGTTGGTTCCATTTGTACGTCTCGAGGGATGATGCCATGCCTGCTGCCTCTGGATGCCATGGCGGAGATGGTCACACTTGAGTTGCGATACACCAATCCCATCTTCTCGGATTCTTGAGCCCAATCTTCCCTTGAGTCCTGTATAATGCACAGTGAATCGATCCAAAGATAACGGAACCCAAGTTGCCTAGTGATAGTGATTGCGTCCCGAAAGTTAGCAGGTAGTTCTAAGAACGGTAGTTGATCCTGGAAGCTGTGGATTGTTTTGCTCGTCAGCATGGGTGTGATGGGCCCGCCCCAACAATGGCTCAATGCTATGTACGCAGCTCTCTCCTTTCTAGCGTGGGTGATACGAAGATCCATCCAGTCGTCTTGAATCCCCACGTCAATCACCCGAGTCGGTAACTCTGATATAATGCTATCCAGGCACTCCAAATGTGAGGTCTCGCATGTGTGCAACCATTCTTTAGCGATCTTGATATTACTTTCAGCATCAAGTTCCCTGTCTACCTTATACCGTCCAATACGAAAACGTCCGAAGTTAACAGCGTTCGCTTGATTCGTCAGCAAATAGACATCGAATAACCATAGTATACATAAGTTCCACACGTACCTCTCGACGAGGCCAGAGTTAACTTAAGCAATGGGAAGTTGAAAGCCTCGTCATATTCTGGTTCATCGCCATGGAATCCTGGATCATAAGGCCCAACTTGAACCGAAAGAGTGTCGAGGACCCTTACATCAGCAAATGTATCTTTGGGGTCTGAATCGTCAGACACGATGCAAATCTTGACCTCTGACTGTGGAAGTCGCCTTGCGAAAGCTAGCAAAGACGTCTCAGGATTGCAACCTTCACCTTCCCACTCGTCTGCGATCCAGTTCCCGGTGTCTGGATAGCCTTTCAAGCAAGCCAGGAGCAATTTACAAAAATGGCAGCCTGCATCTGCGGCAATCGCGAGATCCTCTATTGAATCATGGAGCTGATAACACGCTGCGCTGGGTACCCTGCCATCTCGAGAGAACTCTTTGTGGGCGAGGTCGACCAAATGCTCGATCGTCAGATTGGCGCAGTTCACACATTGCGTGTAAGCTTCCATTGCGAAATACTTTCATGCACTCGAGCGATGGAAACCTAAGAACTGAATGCAGATTGAACTGTCATTGCAAACAAGATGGAGCGAGATGTTGGTGTTGAAGCGGATGCTCAGCTCGAAGCAGGTGCTCACATCGGCATTCTGGATTCATTGAAAACAGGAGTTGGAGCCAATTCACAAGGGTGCAAGGGACATTGTTGTGTTACACATGATCACATGCTCGCAGGCCAGTTGCATTTGTGACACAAAGCAAGCTCCCAACGGAGCATACTGTAAGTGCGTTGACTGGTGTCTTCGTGCCGTAGAGCCACGAGCCATAGCGGAGCCTGGGAAAAGAAGAAGCAGTAAGAGAGGTGTAGAGCTCAAAAGAAAGGAGTAGGAAAACTTATTCATCGATTGAGCCACGCCCATCCATTAATGCCTTGTTAATTTGCGTGTATCGAGGCTAGCTGCCATAGCACTTTACCGTTAAGTCAAGGAATCTTTTACTTTTTAGATCTTTGCTCCTAGTTTTTATTTTGACTTTTATTGCATTGTAGCCTAGAGTTGCCACTTTGGGTCTCGAATTCGTCCATTCTTTCTTGAATGGCATGTCTGTTGAGTCCCACGAGGGTATGGTGTAATTATGCCTTTCTCACATCCTTTCGCGCCGGGTTCTACGAAGCAAGTTCTGGAAGGGGCCCGTTACTGCTGCACTACAGAAGAAAAGGATACCTATGCCACTGTGGACGTTGTCAGGTTGGAAGTTGCCGGGGACTTTAATAATCCCAAATAGAGCTCCTGCTGCCATCGAGTTGCTAACTCACCTCTTCTCACATCCTCACAATGTGTCGTTGATAATCGCAAACTGGGCTTTACCTGTTGGGCGAGTCGGCGTACGACCCATTAAAGCGTTTGATGCTGGCATTGACTTTTTGTGCGATTGTAGACTACTTGATAGAGAATTCCCAGAAAGTAGCCTCGGTGTTGCCTTTGGTCACGGCATATGGTCAAAGTTTCACCAAATCTTAGAAACGCCTGACCGGGGAAAGACCGAACGGAAATGGAAACAGATTGTGCGGCGCCGTCGGAAGGCACGTTCCGGCACATGTTGTTTCGCTCATGAGAACTGTATGCATATCTGACGCCTCGCCCTTCGAGTCTCTTCAACCATACTTCCTCCGCCATTTCGACCTGAATTCATACAATTACCCGTTGCATTACCCGAATTCCGTCAGCATGGCTTCCAACGATACATATGCGGATAGTACCCACGAAGTAGTGGCCAAAATGAAGGAGGCAAGATAGTTACTTGACGCCCTATACGCGAACGGCAAGCCATTCTTTACCAAGCAGGCCATGCAAAGCCTAGCCTCTCAATTTGACGACAGCAACTCCAAGGTCAAGTGTGGAGATACATCGAAGAAATTCTTTGTGACCCCGGGAGTTGACGGCAATGATGCCGAGATCGAGATTGCGACAGGCAGGGTAGTGGCTCAACGTGACGGGAAGGAATCCATCATGTGAGCATATATGAGCCCCAAAGATGGGTATCGCATCATCCATCGAGTGCGGTCAACGACTGATAGTCGACAGGATGGACCCGTTTCTGGATTATATCCCATACCAGCGCCTCATCAGTCAAGCTCAAAGCATCAACACTTTCTGTCCGAATCTGGCCTATTGCCCTTTGCGAGTGAAATATCACATCTGCCAGCGCAGCCAGGGTTCTACACAAGTGCTGCCCGCATGGACCCCTGAGCCCCTCGATGCCGTGCGGAAGACATTTGCGGCTAAAGTCAAGGATTGGGAAGCCAGTGAAGCCTGCAAACAGCTCAGAGACTGCCTAGAAACCGCTCACATTCCCGGTCCGATTAAGAAAATCGTCGCCTTTGCTTGCTCGACAATTGCAAGCCGACCGGTGTGGCCTGCCTCCATCGCGCAGCACTGCTTGATTCTCACCCTCAGAGACTTCTTCAGCAAAGCCGGCAGCGTGAAAGCTCCGCGTAATATCCAATGTTTTGCCCAGGATTCTACATACACGCAAGTCGATCGCGATGTTCTGAAAGAGAAAGGCATTCACGTCTTGGACGACCCAAGAGCATTCCTCGAAGTGGATGACTCGACCATCGTCTTGTCCTTTTCGCCCGACATTCCCGTCCGTCAAATCATCACAGATCTCGCTCGACCAGCTGCTCTTTTGTGGGATCAGGTCCACACTCAGGGGGGGATGGCGTCAGATACGTAAGCAACTACCCCGAGTATATGCCCCTTCTTTCTGACATCTTTGGGTCGTAAAACCTCATACTAATGTTCGAGTCGTGCGTGAGGACAGAATCGATTCAGAGTCTTCTCGTTTACGAAATATGGTCCTCTATGAATACACTGAGGTGGCAAGACTCAGCGAGGACGTTTCATTCAACGCTAGGATTTATGCCAGACGGAGTTGATGGGGTGGTGCAAGCTCTTCCCAGGTCGTCTTCCAAATCCATTGTTACTTCGAGTGGTCTGAAGAGGAAAATTCACCAAGCCAAAGCGGTTACTTGGTGAACGAGACCCAATCAGGTGTGTCTTACAGCGTGGATTGACTGCATTAATTAAGAGGGGAAATTCAAATTGTCTTAGCCTTTATGAGCGATTGTTTCCAAATAAATAAAAAGTTGCAGTTCCTACGGTCGAGAAGACTTCTCACAATTTCCAGCATGAATGAATCTAGCAAAATCTTTCAGAGCCGTGCCATAAATCGAAACAATCGAGCGCAAATCGAGGTTTCATTTTTGCACAGCAGCGCACAGCGAGTCGGTCTAAGAGTTTAGAGGAATGACACACCCAGGGCTACATCAAGTCACTTGTCCATTCAGGCACTGAGTCGAACTTGATCTGGCGTGGAACTTGGTCAGTTATGACGATGTCTATCTCGAGCCACCCTTATAGAGTCCAACCACGTCTCCTGTCTACGCCACGCGCAAATAGTTACCACTTACACAGGGACATTTCAATTGTAAATCATGGGACCCTCGTTCTGGGGGGCATCGAATATGTGGTGCTACCACATTGACAGGCCTCTGGGATTGCTTGCAGGGCAGTCTGCAGGGAAACGGCAACATCTAGACGGCGTGGCAGCAGGTAGGCCGTGGGCGCCGCACCATCAGAGTAGTCTGTCATATACCGGGTAGTACGGCAGTATCCGACAAATGGATCATTCCTATACAATTGCAATCGCATCTCGCAGACCCTTGCCTTCCCGCCCGGATCCGACTGCCGATCTTAGCTGTAAGTAGTGGGCTCGCGCTGATCGCGGTCTATTAAGTCCGGATTGTTCTAAGCGTCACCATCCTGACGTCAAGCACCCTATGACAATTCCACCTTCAATATTTCTAATCTGACGTTGTGGTGGGTCGGATCATACTTGTCGCCATATCGACCGAGATGCTCTTCCTAGGTGCTTGTAAGGTACTTCCAATCCAGCTGCAGGAAATATGCATCCTGCTGTCAGTTATTAGATGTAAATCATAGTTATCATAATTTACTTAGTTGCTTTCACATTACCAGTGTGTCTATACTCGTTTTAGTTACAGAAGGCATATCCAAGGACAGCCCACATCCACCCAGCATGGTGGGCATATCGAGGATACTCTCCCGGCCGACGGCCAAACCGTACCGAAACCACCACATCCTACACTCCGGAGAACATCCGCCGACACTTGACGAGGATGGCCTTCTCGCCTTCGACGAGGATGATATCGAGAACCCTCATAACTGGTCGAAAACGAGGCGAGCCTACATTACCATCTGCACGGTGCTGCTGGTCGTCAACGCTACTTTTGCCTCGTCCAGCCCCTCGGGCTGCCTCGAGAGCATCAGCGAGTGGTTCCAGGTGTCGAGCGAGGCTGCGGCCCTGACGGTGACGCTGTTCCTGCTGGGGTACTGCGCGGGGCCTCTGTTGTTCGCGCCGCTGTCCGAATTCTACGGCCGCAGGGCCATCTTCTACATCACGTTTCTTTTGTACATCGCCTTCAACTTCCTCTGTGCGTTCGCGCCCAACTTCGGCAGCCTGCTGGTGGGCCGCTTTCTGTCGGGCACGTTCGTGAGCGCGCCGCTGTCCAACGCGCCCGGGGTGCTCGCCGACCTTTGGAATCCCATCGAGCGTGCCAACGCCATGGCCGGCTTCAGCCTGATGGTCTGGGCAGGGCCGGCCCTGGGGCCTGTGATCAGCGGGTTCCTGCAATTGACCAAGGGGGTGAATGGGTGGCAGTGGAGTTTCTATGTCCTGCTGATGCTGGCTGGGTTCTCGGCCATCCTCATGTTCACCATTCCTGAGACGTACGCGCCCGTGATCTTGCAGAAGAAGGCGAAGCGGATCAGGAAGGCAAAGATACCGAATTACGAGGATGTCAAGGCGCCGATCGAGACGACAAACCAGTCGTTGGTGCAGGTATACAAGGTTGCGCTGACGCGGCCGTGGATTATCTTGTTTGATACCATCAGCTTTTTGTGTGCCATTTACTTGTCGGTCGTGTATCTGCTACTGTACATGCTCTTTTCGATTTACCGTGAGTCCAAAGCTTCTTTTACTGCCTATCGCCTTTCTTCTGGAACATTCAACTGCTGACACTGATCACCAGCCATCGTCTTCCAACAAATGCGCGGCTGGAACTCTGGTGTGGGCGAGCTACCACTCATAGGAACCGTCGTTGGCGCGGCCATCGGAGCTTTAATCATCATGATCGACTCACGTGGTCAGAACAAGAAGGTTCAGACTGGTTACAAGCTGGAGCCAGAGGATAGGTTGCGACTGGCCATGTACGGGGGCGTTGGGTTCGCCGCGAGCATGTTCTGGCTGGCATGGGTATGTCACTCGAGTTTCCCTCTTGGCTGTTGATGGCCCTGCCCTTCAAATGCTTTCCCATGATCTTGCTCTCGCCTGGTCAACAGCGAGTATCATTATTTGCATCTCCGGACCCATGTACAGTCATGTACGCGCGAGGAAGGGAGCACCATCATAGGTGTACATCAGTTGAAGAATTATGTTTTGGCAATCGCTGACGAGGAGAACGAACAGAGCGCGAACTTCAACTACGTGCACTGGGTCGTTCCAACGCTGGCAGGAGTCTTCCTCGCGGCTTCGATGCTGCTGATTTTCGTTTCCTTCTTGAATTGTAAGTCGTCATTGATAAATATATCGTCCCATCATACACCACCGATTCTAACCCTCGTCTACTCGGTCAGACCTGGTCGATACGTACTTGATGTATGCAGCTTCTGCAATAGCCGCGAACACAGTCCTCAGGTCCGCAGCCGGAGCAGCAGCACCGCTCTTCACGAGACAGATGTTCACTGCGCTCGGGATCGGCGGCGGCGGCTCGCTTGTTGGAGGTGTAGGGGCTCTTTTGGCGGTCATCCCGTTCGCGTTCTACAAGTATGGCAGAAAAATTCGGGAAAGGTCCCGGTTCGCGCCCACGGAGGTCAAGAAGAAGGAGGCCCGTGATCAGACCGACGAGGCCGAGAAGGGGGCTGCGGACGTGGGTGATGACCCGGCTGGTGCGACTTCAAGTGATAGCCAGAGTGTGGAGGGGGAGAGCGAGCGCAGGGGAGACTCTGAGAGGGAGAAAGAACCGCGAGATTAGCTCAGCTTTATCTATGTTAGCTCGTTGACCCAGAAATGGAACGAGGCATGAAACTAGCAAACTGCTGGATGCAGGGTAGCTGTTCCAGCACTGGAATATTTGATATAGATGGGTCGAGGTCAGGGCTAGACGCCCAGGCGGGCATTAAAATTGTACATAGATCTTTGATAAAGTTCAGCATAGCGAATTGTTTTTGACACAGAGTCCTGTTTATCCTGACCAGTGGCACATCCTCATGTTGCTTTCGGGGCTGGTGACGGACCCGGCAGCTCACCGCCGATGATTGCGGAGTGGGTCCGGGAATATCGACCCCGAGGGCATGGGAGCCGTGCAATTGGTCATCTTTACATGAGACTGTCTGTCTGGCCAGTATGATTCCCTATGTTGCGGACAACTCCAAGTCTTGCTTACGACCGCAGTGCCGTCCTGCACATTTGCGCCACAGGATGGTGATGGCCTCAAGAGTCGAGTTGATGAGTGGGTCACTCAACCCCCCGGAAGGGCCCACCCCCAGCGGCGACAAGCACGGAGGCGGGTGCGGTCCGCGCTCGTGCCGGACTGCCTATCTAGATAAGATGCAGATCAAGTCGTGCCCGCCTCCCCTTGTCTGTCTCGCCCTGTCCGTGTCTGGGCAGAATCTGGGGACGGTCCCCTGGATTTCCGCACGTGCTGAGGAGTCTGGGCTTCCTTGACTCGGGTCAAGATTGCATGCTCGTCTGTGCCCACAAAGTCTGTCTCCTTCACGTTTGAGGACTTTTGGGATTGTATCTCCAGCATAAGGACGAAGTTTCGCCGTTGGAGGGTAGCGAGGCAGATGGCTCGTTGCCCGAGCGTGCATTGCAGACCTTGATCTGGATGTCTGCGTGGCACGCGTGGCTAGGGGGTTCTGCCCTGCGGGGCCAGGAGGGCATTAGCTTGCATTTGCATTGATCTGCATGCAGGACTCCCTCACCGCCAACCTGCCCTCTGGCCTCTCAAGGCTGGCAGCCTGTTGCGGGCTTGCCTGTTCGCTGGCAGCGCTGAAGATTGTTCTCGACTGCGGATCACGGCTGACTTACCCACCGCGGAGGGAGCTGAGCTGATCGTTGGCCGACGGGTCTCTGGACCTGCAGGTGAGTGGACAGACACCGGTTTCACCTGGTGGATTAAACTGCCAACGACAATGCCAGATGCCCCGTGCAGCCTGGCAGCCTGGGCTGTACCCCGTATACGGGGTGGGCAGGCCGGCGGGCTCTGCTCCTCTCGATCATGCCCGCCTTTCTGCAGTGCAACTGCAGATTATTCGTGGACCCACCCATCCCCAATCACCGCCTGGCCAGATAGCCAGACAGCCTTGACAACAACCTCGACCGACCGACCGACATCTGGGCCCAGACCCGTCGGGTGCCGGAGAGTCATTGTCTCAGGGCGGAGCGCCGGTGACGGGAGCATGTGATCGATCGTTGCTGTGTGCCTTGCTTGTTAGCCGTCGTGGGGCCCGGTGATTGATGCCTCGCTGCATGAGGGGGATCTTCGGCGATATACCCAAGCTTATATGCCAACAACACGCACAGTCGAATCAAACGTCCAAGCATATCCAACTTGCGAAACATAGCCCATTGAAAGCTTCATCCCAGGTCTCCCAACCTAGATGGGCATGACTCCGGGGCACGGCATGCTACAGCTGCCACAAAACCACACCACCTAGAAGGAATAAGTTTGTGCGCGATGACCAAGCTGGACGACTGTCGCAACCTCGTCGTGTTTCTGCCTTGGCATGAAGGCTGTTGAACACAGCCATCCATCGACTGAGCATGATGACTTCCGAAAATCCGTGATATCTCCCGGGCTGGCCGTCTGCGGGCGGAAGGGGGCTGCAGTCCACGTCCCATGCCAGTTGTTCCTCGAGCTCGAACGACGCCGGGCCGGCCTGGCACCACTGCGGGCACTAGAAGCCTGTCTAAGACCTACCGCTTTAGCAAATTTCTGCCGCAGACATCGAACGGGTCCTGCGGGCCACCTGGCGTTCCAGATTGTGGGACTCGGTCGAGGAGAGAAAGATGCCCCCCACTCCTGGCTCGAGGCGCTCACCTCGGGGGCCGAGGCCGCACATCCTCGCCAAGGGTAGTGGCGACCATGCCGGGGCCGTATTGTTGTGCGTCTCCGGGACCAGACGACCCACAATATTCCGGCCCCGGGATCATCAATTGCCGGAGCAGTGATACCCCAGTCACCAAGACTGCATGGCTCCGTGGACATTGGTAGATACCTCACACGGATGATTCTCATGTCACTCGAACGAGGGGCATTTGTGCACCCGATAAACGTTCAGACAGCAATACAATCAGGTGTAGTGACTACCGTGCGGGCATGCAGGACTCGATCGCCCTGGCTGGGCTTCCTTAGCGAGATAGCAAGTCAGTCACCCAATGCTGTAGACGAGCACACTACCCCCCTATCACAGCGACAGAGCCCTCCCCTCCATAGGTAGGTAGAGTGCATATTAGCTCGTCGCCAGTCGGTCATGCAGCCGAAACATGCGCCGCCCAACGGCATGTGCGTGGTGACTATGCAACAGCAGTGTGCATTAATATTAGCACGACTCTAGTAACCAACCTGAGCTGCGACGGTGGCCCCCAAGAAGGTCGAGTCCCAAACTCGCGCGTGGCCTGCGACCCGTGATCCCCCGTCGTAGTCCTGAAACACACATGCTCCTCCAGCTGTTGCTGTTGCTACTGCTGCGTCTGCGTAAGGTGCTGACCTACTGCGGAGGACGACGACTATAGTCGTCGGTTGCATCGGCACCGCAAGGGGGTGGCACGGAGGAACTGTGTTCCTGCTGACACGCGGCGAGGCGTCGAGTTTATGTCAGCCGATGCTGCCATCCGACTGGGGTATCCCGTGCTGTGCCGTACTGTCTGTTTGTTTTGTTTGATTTTATTTTTGACCACGATCTGTCGGTTGGTGATTTCAACAGTCGCAGCGTATGTGGCCTATTATCAGGTCTGCTCCATCGCCGTTGGCGATGCGAAACAAGAGCCCTCCCGCTGGGTGGGCCAAGAGGAAGCCCGTCTCATCCAGTTAGTTTACTCTTGCCCCAGATGTGGTCCTTTGCATGGTCGGCCGGGGCAAAAGGACCCATCTTTACAACCCCACCTGGAGATTTGAACCATCGTGGCTTTGCGCTGCCGGCTGAAAAGAGTGAAAGATTGACTGACTGACCTGACCTGACTTGGGGCACGATGGCTTGGGTGCAACGCAATGCGGGGACATTTTCTTCGGGGGCGGGTTGGTCGTGCGCAATGCAGTCACGCGGCCAGAGGCGCAATTTCAATCTCGAAAGGATCCGGATTCAAGATTCATTACCTGAGCCGCAGCCGCAGGTGTCAGCCAGATCTGCGGGTCTGTGGCATCCATTCCCAGCGCCCGGAGAGATTTCCATCCGTGCTTGTCGTGTCGTGTCCGATAGGCAGCGACAATGTGTACTGTAGACAGATGCATGCCGTTGATTGCGATCGGGCACACTCCGACGGGATTGTGATCGCAAGTCATAACCTCGGCGATCATATGCGAGGAATAGTGCTCAATTACCTCAGCACTGATACCGGCCAGAATTGCTCAGCAGCTTTTGGTGCGCGGCTGATGATGAATCATCCGCGTGATTGGAAAGCAGCAGCAGTAGAGAGTCCACAGCAGGGCAAAACGCCCTTCCGCCAGACTGACGATCCCTGGGCGAGCCAAGGCTTTCCCAAGGTTGGCTGACGCCCGCCTTCAGAATCCGCTCGTCTTGGGTTCCTGGGGTCTTGGGTCGCGGAGGAACGGGCTTCTGTGCAGCTCCAGCCCCAAAGGGTCGGCTCCTGCGGGTATGGGCAGTTGGAAAAGGAAAAAAGCCGTGCGCCCGGCCCCCCCTGTCGAGACAAGACTGCAACCACTCTGGGCAGTTTATCGTACTAGGATACTAACGTAGGTAGAGATGAATCATACCGACCCGACGAACGGGTACGGGTACTATGTCGCTCGCGAAAGCGAGCACTGGGAAGCCGGGATAAGGGCGGGAAGGGCATCTCGCACGCGCGAGGAGTCCGAGGCGAGTCTAACCATACACGGACCGATGTACCCCAAGCATACGCAGTCATGTCACTGTCAGTCAGTCACTCACTCAGTCACCTCACTCCAATTAATCTATCTATCAATCCGATCTCGGCAACGGGTTCGTGATTGTGTCATGGTTCGCAATCGAGTCCTGTGATCAGCAGTGGGCAGGCACAATAGACTTTGCACCTGCAGTGCATTGTCTGTCATTATCTTCATGTTCGAAATGTTGCTTACGGGCACCATTCACTTTTGAGGGAGACGGTCGAGTTTCAGAAATATTTTTGGTCTGAATTGATTGTTATGCTTATGTAGTAATAGTAGTGGGATTTCTGCCCCTCTGTGTACCTCACTCAACCTAGAGCTTGATGAGCCAGGGAGCGAGCTACCCGTAAACCTGTGAAATCCCCCGTATATGCCTGAGTGGTGACAACTGTGAAGTATTCCTCCTCAACCGGAGGTGACCCCCTTTTTTGGTAACCATGACCGTAAAACATTGATGCCGAATGTGGTATCAATAAAACAAAATCCAACGCCGGTGCTATGCAGAAGTGGTATCAAAAATCGCTGGACTAATACAAGACGAGGAGAGGAAAATGCAAGGTGGGTTGTGTGGGTATCAGGCTGTCTAGTAGACTGATATCGCAGACACAAGCCTTGCAGGGTTCCTCGCAGGCAGGTAGTACCCGTCGTCGTAGAAGTCGGATGCAGCGATTGGTGAATCCTTCTGCTTCTGTTCGAAGGTTGGCAGCATTGTTGATGGTGGTGAAGGAGGCATCGACTCGTCCTCTGAGGACTCGTCCAAGTCCTGCTCCAGCTCTGGTGGTGGTGAGGATGTAAGAGAGTGTGAAGGTGACCTCGTCAGGGTGAGCTCGGCATAGTCCTCCTCGTCGTCATCGTCCTCCATGTCGACCTCGACGACCTCCATC